CAAAATATTGCACTTTGTTATATCCATAGTTTACAAATCTTTCCTCAAATAGAGGAAGTGTGGGAGAGTATTTCACCATCAAATATCTAAAGAAAATCACAGAAACAACTCATATTTACGGCTCCATGAAATTGGTGATAAAACAGCGAACTCGAGATACATGCGATTCTTTTGACGTTGTAAACCATTCAGGCATTACATACATCTATGCTAGAGAGTACATTCAATTTCAACATGAGTTCGAATGTTGTTCTTATTTGATATGCAAATCTTCCGATTGATACACTCAATCAGTTCCAATTTGTTTTCTGGTTGAATCCAATTCGATCTATTCACAAATGATTGAACATTGCATACAAGTAAGAACAACTTTCGATTGAAGAACAATGATCCAATATTTGTTTGCCTTTATAGAAAAACACGGGGAGAATAACAGCAGAGCGATTGCTATGATAGAGGAATTGTGGAAGACTCATGACTTCCTTATAAGTATTTACTAGTGATAATGAGAAAAGAAGATAACAAATACCAGATAATCGAAGATCCATATCAAGAATCAAGAAATGAGTGGTTCGAATGTTTCGAATAGCAAGATTTCGTAAGCGATTAATAGGAAACACAGTACTGGATTTGAGATAACGACTGACTAGATAAAAAAGAATTGTAACACGTTTGGGAATGAAGTGAGTTGAAATGTACCGCACAAGGTGGACTTCCTGGGTCGATGTGGCATAAATCACAAGAACAATCGGTCTACAATGAACATGGAAATCGATCGTATTTACCCTTGATAACGATACATGAATTGACGTAGTGCAAACAAACGATTGTATCCAAAAGCGGTGACAATGGCAGTTACATCGAATTTATGATCATTGGAAGGAAACCATGCTATATCTCAGAGAGAAACCCATCAATGATTACGCGTATCTGTATATTCGACTTCCTCATTCCCCACAAATTTACGGATGAGCAAGCCGTTCTGATAGTTCAATATTGCTTTGAGCTTCTTCTGGTTTCTTGGAATATCACATCCATCACAATGGATTGGACTATCCGAGTAATGACTCACATTATAGAACTCAGAGCGCAATTGTAACTTCCTCGTTATGAGTACATTTTGAAAATTATGGTATTGTTCAATCAGAGTTGAAGTGGCGGTATGGTTACTGATTGCTGCACGAACATCTTGTATCCATTCATTTTCCTTAAACTCGAGTAACAAATGAACTAAGTCATATTTTTCTAGAATTGGACGGAAGCATTCTTCTTGACTCCATTGTAATGTTAGGTTTGATACAAGTTCACCTTCTGTTTTGTGAATTGCACGAAAATGTAAAACAGAGTAGTAAACCGAAATGTGATCTTCCGGGAAAAGGCCATCCAATTCTTTGTTTTGCATTAGCATTAATTTGTAATCGGTCGAATTATGCTCTTCTTTCTCTTCTTCGAGTAATACTGCATCGATTCTTCGATTTCGTTTATCACACTCATCGTCTGAAGAGAAAGAATAACTGGAATAATCACTCTTGTAGAGTTTAAGGGAAGTACCATTCATTTCAAAAATACATTCTGACTTGCCAGTAGAATAAGTTAGAGGCGACTGGTAAAGACTCATGAGAAACGTAGTACGATCATTATTACTGGGAAGTGAAGATGAAACAGCTTCTGTTGATAAAGGAATGGGTCTGGAGTTTATATCGATTGTTTGCTGATTTGATATCAATGATACTGAAGACAATCCTTTAGTATCAAGGGAAGGTTCTGAGTATAAAAGTTCATTCTGGGAATGAAACAAAAGTCTTGAAACGAAATTCAATACACTATTTGAGGTCGAAAAAGAACGTACGCTCAAATCTGGATACAGACCATGCGATAATGATAATTCTTTTCTGGTAGTTGCAGAAACCACATTATGGCTCTTTATACATTTCCAAATCTTTCGAATATCGAGTAGACTGAACTTATTAATATTATTATTATTGTAATATTCTTTTACAGAAGATAGCTGTTCACTTGAACCTGAATTTAATGGACTATTTCTTTCTATATCACTAGCCTTACCAGTATTCCCAGCAGAATTCCCAATATCACTTGTATTCGTGGTAGTGGATGAAACTCTTTTGAATGGGTTTTCTAAATCAACTATGTCAATTCTCTTGTCAGTCATATTCTCTTTGTAGAAAAGAGACACTGGCTTATGTAAATTCTCGCTGTTTTCTATATAGGGTAAGTGTATTAACGAATTACTTGTTTTTAGGATACAACACAAAGGACAAAATAGCATATTCGATGGTATAGAGACTTGGCCATTTCTAGATTGTTATTCCCGATTATTACCCTACATATATATTTTAAAATTGATAGTAATAAGGAAAATGAATGCAAAAGTTGTATACAAAAGTACTGTTGAATGAAATTTCATTGCCATATTCAAGAACCACACACAAGTAATAATGAATATTAGGTGTTATTTGTCAAATGTATAACAAGATTGTTTTATTTCAATAAATGCATTAACTATAATCAAGTATAATACTATTTAGTTTTTGAAAATAGTCCAGTTCAAAAGAGTGGAAATGAAAAGGCTACAGTGCGCAGTGCACAATTTTATACACAAATATATTTTACAAATGAATCTCTTGATAATGCTTCATCTTCAAATAATGACATGTAATAAATAATAATAAACATGTAAGGGTCATGCTATTTTTATATATTAATCGTTTGGTCAAGCTAGTGATATAATAGAAAAGTATCTATATTTGAGTTATGCATCATATGTTTATGATATATTCTTTTGTGTGTTGATCAGTTGATAAAACACTTTTGTTATTTAATTCAGGGTATTTGTATTTGTGCTCAAAGAATTCCTCTAAATAGTAGCGTGAAGACATAGAACAATTATTATGGTTTTTCTATATGGTCTCATCAGAAGTTATGTCATAAATGTACTATATAAAACAAACGTAGGCGATGGTTCATAAATTAATAGAATGTGTATTTTGTTGGATAATAGTGTAAAATGAATATGCGAAAATGATCTTTCCATATCACATTCAAAGAGAAACTATAAAAAAGAAAAGATTAATTACGATACTGGGAATATTTAGTTATTCATACACTTAGGGAACAATTCTAAAATACTCTAAAATGATATGAATTAAGGTGTGGTTGTTTGAAAAAATTAACTATTTACATTGAGTTTTATTTGTGCACATACGACTATTGTGCATGTACTCAAACAGTCCACATGAGTATTATAATTTATTTGATGAATAAAATACCAGAAGGTTTTTTTTAATGGCATAAGTTGATATAAACACAAAGAATACTCCAAATATAAATAGCCATTAATCTAATGATACAGAAAGAGAAAAGAACAAATTTGGTAATAAAAAAATATATAAAGAAGAATTGAAATTTTCATTATGGGTTATCAAAATCTCATTATTTTTTTTATTTTGAAATTATTATTTCTTTGTTTTTTTTATTCATGTATATTATGTTCCTTACTATTTTAATTTGTATATTTTGATTGTATGTGTTGAATGAGCTAAATATAAATTAAAAATACTGGTGTTACTAACCCTAGAAAAGCAATAAAAAATATATATATACATATATATCATTTGGATAATTTCCCCATCATCATGAAATGCAGTCTGTGAATAGCATATAGTTATTTAGTATGGAAAAATTACTAACCTTAATTATACACCAAACTAAAATAAGATACAATTTATATCGATACTGCAGATAATCAATATTGTACAACAGTTGGCATCCATTTTTTAGATTTAATATATGTTGTTTTTGTGAGAAAATTTTATATTTAAAACGATTGCTCGATATACATTAGGAAAGTATTGGCGGTGATAACACATAGGGTAGTTTATTTTAAGTTTTGTATAATCGGTTTTCAATATGTGTGATACATTATTCTCTTTATTCCTGTACGCTAAGTCTTAACCTTAAGAATTTGTGTGAAAGGAAGCTCTCTTTCTACACTCTTCAAAAATGGTCACGCGAATTATCAATACTATAGTGATACGAAAGTACTCCTACCATTATTTAAAATAGCTCAATCAGTTCATTTTTATGTTAAGAACCAAACTACTATTTAGAAGGTAGTATATTAAATGCACTCGGTTGCGAAATAATTATGTAGTTGGTTCAGAAAAATATTTATTTTGTAGCCACTGGAGTATTTTTTGGAACAATCTAGTAAGGTTCCTTACAAACACTATATGGATTACAATTATAGAAGAAAAATGAAATAGCGTTTCACGCAGTATCCGTAAAGTAATGTGAGTATCTATTTCATTTATTTATTCTTATTATATGAATGTCGCACATATATATCTTCGTACTATGCATTCACATGAATAATTTGATTGTTGTCTCCAAGAATTCTCTGATATAATGCACAAAACCTAAAAAAGCACTTTTTCATACTCATTGAAAAAATATCATATTTGACTATATCTTTATGATTTTCGGTACTTAAGCATTCTATGATTGTATTTTGCATCACTCAGTTCATGCATCTCATTCATAAAGAACAATTTCCTTTTTGATATTATTTACATACTACTATTAATACCATATCCGTTTTCATTACTGACACCATAGAAATGTTCAAGAAGCATATAGATACCATTCGTAAATGAACTTTTCTCATTATTTGCATTAGTATCAGATGTGGTTGGTCTTGTGTGAAATACCACACAACTTGGTATTTGGAACGTGATATCAGGTTTTTCCCCACATGAAGATTATAATAATAATAATTATTATTATTATTATTATTATACCAGAACTCTTAACTTCATTTTGATTTTTAAGAGTAATTTATTTTCTCAGAGTGTATGAATCATGACTCTGTGAAGAGACTACTAATACTCCTTATATAATGGTTCAAAAATATACTTTGTTAATATATAACTCCCTTAAAAAAACACATTATATATGTGAATAATAAAAAAAAATTCACAGTTCTAAAGTTATTTTCCTTTCATATTTTGTTTTGATATCATACATTTAGTCCCGAAATGAATCAACCAATTGTCCCTGAACACGAAATAGTGAATAATGTATTCTTTTCCCACATGTTTGTTGGTGTAGGCTTTGGAAATAAATAACTATCTGATCTCTGCAACAATCGAAAATCAGAACTTGGCACGCTTTTCTGATGCTGTAGAGTAACATTTGTTGCTATTTTATCTCTAGTCATCTAGAGACTCTGTCTAAGAACTTGGGATACTTGGATAAAATAGGTGAGCGGGATGTAGAGGCCTCAAGTATTCCTAAACATGCTAATCTCTAATTTCGTATTGTATGGGTTGTACTTTTTTATTTTGTGAATTATTATAGCCTTTTATCTGTTTCTTTGTTATATTAGCCTTTTTAATCCATGTTTGCCATTTCTTTTATATTTTTTCATGTTTGCAAGTATTATGTCTAAATATAGAATATTGTGGCATTCACTTTCCATTCGTGTGCTCTCTTTCGATTAGCATCTTAGTCTTGTCAATATGTTCTCTTGTGTAAGGCTTGCACGCTTAGGAGTCCTGTGGTAGCCAATTGATTGTTTTAGATGAGTTTGATTATAATATGGCCTTTCTTTATTATCAATGGACAAGTGATTATTGAACATCAAATGTTAATTATGAACCATCACGCGTATAGTGATTTATTGTCGAAACTTGATTCATGGTTACTTTTTGTTTTACTAGGTATGTTCTTGTGATATTGTTTGCAGCATTTGTTTTCCTTTGTCTCTTAGTGGTCTGGAATATGCCTTTTCTGGAGTATTCCGTCTCCACAATAAGAGAATAGTACTAGTGTTCTGATAGCAATAAGGATGCCTTTTCCATTCTTCTTGTATGAAATTCACTAACATTTCGTAGGTTTCAGCGTATTTCCGGAGGATCTCAATTCCGCTTGTTCAGATAGTATATTTTACATTGTGTTTGATGTTTGTTGCTGAATTCCTTGCAATAATTGTTTTTGTGATATCAGGTAGGTCATTTTTGTTGAAGAACCGCATGTAAATCATGTTCTGGTTGAGGAAAGTGTTCGTTACGCTATCTTCTCACCATGCTACTGGCTAGAAATGTGCTATCCTGTTTTGTTCGTCATATTATGGCAGTGCTTTTCGAAGTGGAGCAATGTATTTGAGTCAAAAGGACTTCATTTGTGTTTTATATCGACAGAACGAGTTGTGATGATAGTTTCTGTATGAAATTGTGCGAATCGCATATTGGTGATTTGTATACAGATACTTCTGAACTGATATCTATCTCTTGTATAGTCAACTTATCATTTTTTTCTATTCCGAGGATGTCTAAGCGTGATGATTAATAGTTCAAGAGAATATTTTATATGTATATTAGTAACTATATTTTTCACTTCAGAGTTTGAGGTATTTGAGAATCAAGGTTATTATTGAAGCCTTTATAGCCCGTCTGCTATAAACATTAAAGATCTCTGACGTTTTACCAAGCAAAACAAATGACATGTGCGTTGAATGCAGATTTCAAGCACAGAGTGTTCACAACCGAGAAAGTTCATTATTAACCATTCCATGTCAGATGAGGAAAGGCATACCATAAAGAGATTTGTCATACATCACTCACGAAAATACCATTTGAGTACGAATATCGACATACTTTATTGAAATAAACAAAATATTCGTGCTGCTTTCGATAACAAACCAATTTAGTTCTTGCGAGCAACAGCTTCGGTTCCCTCTCTGAATCCGTTCTTGAAACGGCGAGTCATAGTCTTCAGGTAGCTCATGCGACCGGTTCCCTGACCTCGGCGACGAGAACTCTTCAGAGCCCAGTTGTCTATCCTTCAAATTAGCCTAGAAATATGTACAGTGACGCATCTTAGCATCAGGGTATCCGCAAGAACCGCAGCGGCTCTTCTGAATGTGGAAGGCACGACGACCGCATCTTCTGCAGATGGTGTGCGTCTTTGTGTGTCTCTTACCGAAAGAAGAAGTACCCTTAGTCTACAAATATGTTATTATTGACATTCTTCAAAACTGCGTAAAACACATTCATCGGGCATTTCCTAACATGAAAACATGTTTTAGCCTGGGTTACCGACTTACCATGATCTAATTGGGAAAACAGCAATTCTCTAAAACGACCAGAAGGTTGTGACGTACAGTGATCGTTTGATATGATTATCAATACCACTGTACAATTGACTTATTGATTCATATCTCGTTGTTTTTGACTTATATCCTTTGTGTATTTATTTATTGAGCAAGGTTTCTTTTTATGGATGTCGCCTAGGTCTGTTGTTTCTAGGTTTTGTTTGTTGGCTTCGTGATGTCTCTCTATATTATTGTTATTGACTCTGTATTTTGACTAACAGTAAGTAATTGAATTGTTATTAATGTGTGTATAATTTGAACCTTTGCCTATTTAGTATCTTTTATCAAATAATCCATATATTTTTTATTTTTAGACGTATTTGATTATTAACTATTGTAATTTTTCATCAATTCTCACAATAGACTTTGATTACACTCGTTTGCAATGTAGGTTGTCTGTACATGGTTTGGTAACCCGATTGCCCATTGGAAATTTTGGAATTTGTCGTATTAACCGATATGTAAAGAATGTCTGCTCAAATCAGTCTTCGTGGATGCCTTCAGGGCCATAACGGATGGGTGACCTCCATCGCTGCTTCTCCGGCTGATGCCAACACTCTGGTGTCTGCTTCTCGCGATCACACTTGCTTGGTGTGGAATCTCCAGGCGGGTGACATGATCGACGACCCCTCTCTGGTGATGTCTTGTGGAACCCCTGTGAAGTCGCTGCAGGGCCATTCTCACATTGTTGAGGAGGTGAGTCTGTCCGTGGACGGTCAGTACGCTCTGACGGCATCTTGGGATGGAACGGTGCGTCTGTGGAACGTGAAGACGGGTAAGAGCGAGAAAACGCTGTCGGGTCACAAGAAGGACGTTCTGTCTGTGTGCTTCAGCCCTGACAACCGCCTGATCATGTCTTGCGGCCGCGACCGTACGATCAAGCTGTGGAACACCCTTGGCGAGTGCCAGTTCACTCTGGACAAGGAGAGCCACAACGACTGGGTGACGTGCGTGCGCTTCGTTCCGAACATGGAGGAGAAGCCTCGCATCGTGTCGTGCGGGTACGACAAGCTGGTGAAGGTGTGGAACCTGGAGACGATGAAGGTGGAGTACAACCTGATCGGCCACTCGCAGGTGGTGAACAAGGTGGTGGTCTCTCCGGACGGCGTGCTCTGCGCCTCGGCCGGCAAGGACGGCTGCGTGATCGTGTGGGACCTGGCCAACGGCGTGGAGAACTTCCGCCTGACGCTGGAGGACCCGGTGACGGACCTGGTGTTCTCGCCCGCGAACTACTGGATCGCGGTGGCCACCACGAACGAGATCGTGCTGTTCGATCTGGAGACCAAGGAGCGCGTCGCCAGCGTCAAGCCCGAGTTCCCGCCTCGCTCGGCCAAGGCTCTCGTGGCCTACTGCACCTCGCTCTGCTGGTCGCTCGACGGAGCCACGCTCTTTGCCGGATACACCGATAATGTGATCCGTGTCTGGGAGGTCAAGGCCATGTAAGCGCGGAGAAAAAGCGGATTGGAGGGGAATGTGAAGAGAATGGGAGTGATACTAATGTATATGTGTTGTGTAAATTCAGAATGTGTTGGTGGTGGTTCAGAGAGATAACAGAGTAGTGTAGCAAGGCAGAGAGGAAACAGAAGGCAATGGTATTGCAAAGAGAATTTGGAATGTGTTCACTACAAAGATATTTCAGATACATACGGTGCACAGAAGAAATAGGAGAATACACATAGCACAGAGAAAATACAATAGGAGAATACACATAGCACAAAAAAAATACAATAGGAGAATACACATAGCACAAAGAAAATACAATAGGAGAATACACATAGCACAAAGAAAATACAATAGGAAGACATCTCAAACTCAAATCCATACACATCAACCCTCCATTCTCAAATCCCTAACCTTGACGAATCCACCTCAATTAGAAACTAACACAAATAGGAAAGGTCACATAACAGTAAACAACAAAGTAATAATCTCTATGTTTGTATCAAACAATCCATTCGATGGTTACTTTGTCTGAGAGAAAGACCGGTTTGCCTTTTTTATTCCTGATATAACTAGATTTGCATGAACTACTAGCATATTTTGGTAAGCATGGCTCTTGGAGAGTTGTATATTCTTTTCGTAGTGATTCAGTCTAGAGACCATGGCGCGAATTCTTTACAGGGTTTAAAGTTCCCGAACTCGTAGGGAAGCGTTTACTTTCTCGTTTCTACACAAACATTGTCTTCTTTAGTGGAAACTATCTATTTCTCATTGTGGCAGCCTTTATTCTTCAAATGTTGCTCTTTTTGACTCTCCTTTCCTCCATAGGATCACAGATCCATTACTCGTTCTTTGCAACTTCGCAATTGCTATATGTTGGATGTTTGCCCTCTTTTGTGAGGATCATGTTGTAGAGTTTTGTATCTTGTGAGTCATCAAGGGTTTGCTATCAATGGGAAGAGGATAGAATCAGTTTATTTTGTAGTTCTTGGCTTATTCTGTTTGTCTCCTTTTGATGATTACTTATGTTTAGTGCATCTCATTCTTCTTTCGTTTTGTCATCGACTTGCTCAGTTTTTGTTAACACTTTTCCTCTGCCTAACTTGTTCCTTTTTGAAAGCAATTTTATTTGCAGGTGTATTTTTACATGCTATCCTTCGGAAACGCTCACTCCGAAGTAAAATTGCCATGAGAGCGGTGAAACTACCCGTCCCTTTCGACTTTCTTGCTGTTTTGGATTCTATTCCGGGTTTGAATTGTAGGGGTCGGAAAGTGATTTTGTGCCACTCATTGTCACACAAGAAAAAAGTCCATCTTTGGGAGTTAGTAACCGTAGCCAAAGTCAGGCAGTTGTTTCTGGGCCACAAGTTACCACAGATACGGAGAGTGATTAGCTGACGAGTTGTGAGTGTTATGTTATATTATATTATATTTGAGCTATTGTTTGCTTGTTTGTTGTTACTGGATTTTCTTGATTATTCCACAATAAGAAAACCAAATGAGGTTATTCGATCATCGCGGTTATATATCATTTTGTAGGCAGATTCCTGGATTAGACTTGCCACATGGAATCTATCATTTCTATTCCATCAGTAGTGTAATTACAGGTAGGAATATCTTTTTTAGTTATGGTTGACGAGTGTCTCGTCCACCGCTTCTTTGCTCAGGTCTAACACCTTTCTAGTATAATGGCTAAAGGAAAGAAGGCTCAACACTCTTCTGAAGACGAATCTGATATTAGTGTTTCAGATATTTCTGATATTAGCGTTTCTGATGTCTCCGACATAAGTGTGTCTGATGTGTCGGATATCTCGGATATTTCTGAAGAGGATTGTAGGCGCATACATTCTCTGGTTTTATTTCTAAGCTCCTGTTGAGAAGAAGAAGGATAAGAAGAAGGATAAAAAGAAGGACAAGAAAGACAAGAAGGATAAGAAAGATAAGAAGGCCGATAAGGAAAAGAAGGGTAACAGCCCTCGTCCAAAGCCAAAGAAGGGGTAAGTGTTTTTTGATGGGGTTCATTTGTAGAAGTGGTAGGTACAACCAAAGTTGTTCATTCTAGATGAATCGTCCGATGAAGATACGCCTCTTGAAGACGAGGAGTTCTTGGTGAAACATCAGGAATGGATCGACAGTGTAATGAAAGACGAAATGACATTCACCGTATGCGCGATGAGGCAGAGTCATATGTGTAGGTAACGGATCCTCGTACCGAAGGAAACCGAATGCGTCCCTATACGACTTATTTGGTGACTCTGTATCCGTTGAAAGTGGAACTGCGTCGTCGCTACAGCGAGTTCGACAATTTGCGCGAGATCCTTCTTCGCCGCTATCCTGCAATGCTGCTGAATCCTCTCCCTCCGAAGAAGGCCGTGAACAACACCAGCGAAGAGACGGTCTTGCTGCGAATGAAGAGTAGGGGCCGCGTGTTGGCGATAAGATCACAGGCCTCGAGAAGTGGCTGAATGACGCGGTGGCCATTCCCTACATCCGCATGGATGTGACCTTCCGTGACTTTATCAGCGCGCAGTCCATCAACTGGGGCCGCTTCCCGGAGAAGGATTCGCTGAATCTGCACAACGTCGAGGTGAAGAGCAAGAAGGGGAGCGTGCAGAACGAGGGATTCGAGAAGTATCAGGAGTACATGCAGCACATCAAGTGTCCGGAGGATGTCGAGGCGTAGGAGCCATCGCTCGGGTCTGCTAACGGGTAGCTCGCTGAAGACGTTCAAGGAGCAAGTGGAATCGCTGGTGGCGGTGACGCGGAAGACAGTGGAGTCGATCCAGACGATGATCGCGCGGCAGAATGCCTTTACCCAGTCCATCGACGTCATGTCGACGAACATGAAGGAGTTGCTGGAAACCACCAAGAATATGAACTACCAGAGCTTGAAGGTGGACGACAAGATGATGCAGGACAACGAGGTCATCGGAAAGATCCTGGAGTCCACGTCCAAGGCCTGCGATTCGTGGTTCTTCGCCGCCGACTTCATTCCGAATCGCGGTGGTCGCGCTCTGGGCGACGAAATGGAGTTCGTGCTGCTGCAGACGGAGGGACTGCAGGAGCTGTTCGACCGTCGCTGGCAGTATCTTGTGGGCTTGGCCGGCCTCGCTGACCCCTAGAACCGCTACGTGGACATCTGGCACAAGAAGGACGCCGCGCTCTTCGAGGTGCACGTGAACAAGCGCAAGGGAAACAAGGCGAAGATGGAGAAGGCGCAGGCCGTGGTGGACGAGGTGGGGCGCGATTCGAGGACCTCATTCTTCTGTAGATCGAGCATCAAGTGCGTCACAGCAAGAAGCTGCTCACGCGCTTCACGAAGCTGCTGCTCAGCGTGGAGCTGAAGATGTACGTGCAGAAGCAGTCGGTGGCCATCCTCACCGCCTTCTCCAAGTACGCAGCCTGCTCGCACGTCTCGTATCAGGAGCAGCTGCCCGTGTGGGAGGTGCTGGGCCGCGAGATCTACACGGAGTACGAGAAGCTGTACAACAACTACAAAGAGGAGTTCGAGAAGTTGCGACAGCTGGGAGATGAGGACGACGATATCGAAGAGCTGGATTCTTCCGAGTCCGATAAGGAGGAGGAGGAGGCTGCAAAGAAAAAGCCGAAGTTGGGATTGTTTGGTAGAAAGGAGAAGAAGGAGGAAAAGGAGGAGGAAAAGAAGAAGAAGAAGAACGACGACGATGACGATGACGACGACGTTTCTAGCATTTCCGAGGTGGACTCCAGCGTGTCAGACGTTGATAGCATTTCGAGCGATGTGGATGAAATCAGCGATTCTGACAGCGAGTCGGATCTTTAAGCATGCTTTCTCTACTTGATTTGTTTGCATTTCCTTTTTGTTGAAAATAATCGCGGTTTCGGAACATGAAAGCTGTACTTATTTTCTTCTTGGAAGAGCAAGTATACCCTTTTCTATTCAACGATTCGATATGTCTCTGCAGGAAAGACAGAAAAGTACAGTTTTCTCTCTCCTCGAATCGTAGACTTGATTACTTCGATACTTGATATTTCAAGTCAGTACGATGAAATGCTTCCAACGTATTGATAGAAATGCAGATTTTCATCTTCTAGGAGTGACACCGATAACGGGGCAATGGGAAGATGGAAGGTATTGATGTAGGTTTCTGTGCAGATCTGTATGATCCTTTCGTGTAGTTTGGATGATTTTACAAAACAACAAATTACTCCGCTATTTCACAACTCGGATCTTCGTAAAAATGGAGTAACGCTCCACCTGCAGATTAATGACAAACGCGAGCCTATAAAGGGTGTGCCTGCAGTGTATTACGTCGAACCAACAGAGGAAAACATCCGGCGAATTGTAAAAGACTGTGCGGTCCCTATATATGAAATTAACTATGTTAATTTTTCTTCCAGTCTCTCTCGTGAATTGATGACCCTATTTGCCCAGCTAAGTGTGGAAAATAACTGTTCTCAGCGAATTAATCGTGTGTATGATTGCTACATCGGAGGCATTGCTCTGGAGCCCACTCTCTTCACCTTCCAAAAACATCACATCTTTTCGCTCATCAACAATCCGCAGTCCGACGAATCCGAGATCGAAGCTGTGGTGGGGCAGCAGATTCCTCAGGAGTTGCTCTCTCTGGTGATTTCGATGGCGGCCGTCCCCACCATCCGCTGCTCCAACGGCGGAGCTGCCAGTATGATCGCTTCGACGCTCTCCGCGTTGATTCGCGACCAGTTGGTACGATTCGGTGTGCGAGATTGAGTGCTTCTAGAAGGCGGGAATCAACCTCTTCCAACAGAACAAAGTGAATAAAGGTCCTTGTCTTCGCCATCCGCTGCTCGTCATTCTGGATCGCGACGTGGATCTGATCTCGCCCCTTCAGCATTCCTCTCATTACCAGGTGCGTTTTGGTGTCCATTCTCCATGCAGCCGCTCGTCAACGACTTGCTTCCATGCAAGAACAATCGAGTCTACATCCCCAACTCCTCGTCCTTCTATCTCGATAAAAGCAAGGATGATTTCTGGAACGAATATGCCTGTCGTGTCCGCTTCCTCCCTCCATTCTAGATGCGCTCTTCCCCGAAGCCATCGAAGCCAACAAGTCGCGTATGGACGACATCGTGAAGCGCGTTGAGTCGGTCCGCAGCATGACCAGCGGCTCCGCGCCCGCGGGACATCAAACCAGTAGCCTTTTCGCTCAATCTGCGACCAATAGCACTGCTGAAGAGCGCGGTGGAGTCGCTGCCCGAGCTGCTGGAGCAGAAGAAGGAGTTGGAGAAGCACACGACGATCATGAAAGGTAGTAGAGAGAGAATGGAGCGCGTGATGGCTAGCCGTCATGGAGCAGATCGATCTGAGAGAGATCCCCAACTTCTACGACCTCGAGAACACCGTCAAATCAGACGGCAAGCTCGACCTGCCCGCGCTGTGCTCCTTCCTGACCGAAAAGGTTCGGATTGTCGTGTCGGTTTAACCGAAGGGAACCCTGGAAGACAAGATTCGATTGCTCTGCATCTGCGCGCTGTGCCGCGATACCGAGGGTGTTCCATGGCGATGGGAGTGACGTGCAGTGGCGAAACAGATCGAAGCCAAGTTCGAGACTTATGTGGGAACGCTGCCTTCGGCGGAGCAGCAGAAAGCGCAGGAAATGCTCAAAGCGTATCGCTACATTTTGTCCTCCAAAATGACCAAGTCGATGTCAGAACGGAACCTTTTGTCCAGTTTCCATCTCTTGCTCGCTCCTACTCTTCTCTAGACGACAACTCGATTCGAAGCTCCATCTTCAAAGCCACCTCGGGCTTCTTGAACTTTGCGAAGGCGGGAGTGAAGGGAATTCTGGGCGACGAGGATCGCAGTGTCGTCGTGCAAATCGTGGACGAATTGGTGAATGGAAGGTGCGTTTACTCTTGTTCTTTTTTTTTTATCGCATAGATCGTCCTCACTGACAGAGTCCTTCGGGTATTACGACCCTGCAACGGGGCGAACCATCATGCCGAGCGATGGGGGAAAGATGAGCTTTGAAGATGTGATCGTGTTCATGGTGGGAGGCGGAAACTACAGCGAATACCAGCACTTGCAGATGTATGCAAAGAGCCAGAACCCAGCGAGAGTGATTCTGTATGGAAGCACCGATATCTGCCCGGCCAATCAGGTAGAACTAGGAATTGCTTCTTCATGGTGGTAGTTCATTCCAGAATTGCAGATGTGCTTCAAGGAATAAGGGACGGGATGAAAGCAGGATGGAGATGTGAATAGGAATAGGAATATAGGTAGAATACGATGAATGTTTGTTTGGAAATCACTCTTTGGTTTGTAAGTGGAAGCTTTTGGCACAATGTCTGCGCGGTTGCTGTGTTGTGGATTCTGTAGAGCTGCTGGCACTTTAGCGCCTCAATCTCTCAAGTTTGGGCTAGGTCATCTAGGGGTACAGCAGCGATCCTTTGGAGTGTTCTCGTCGATTCGAGAAAACTTGACCGATAAGGTAGAGCAGAAGAAACAAAAGGAGATGGGTATTTTTGCGCAGGTAGCTCGATTTTAGATAAGGGGTTTAAGGAACTGATGGAAAGACTTGCATCATATGATAAATTTGGTTTGAAGGAATATAAAGAAACGTTTATGGTATTGGCAAACATGCTGCTGTTTTTTAGTGGCTTTCAGAGAAATCAGGAGTGAACGGGTGGAAATCGCACATCCCCGGTGTAGGAAAGATGGTAATACAGTGCGTTATTGTTTCTTGGTAGGAAGAAGTGCAGGAGATGAAGAAATATGTTTCTATTCTGAACGCTATGACTGTATCCTTTTGGGTGGGTACTGACAGTTAGCCATTGCAATTAGCCAAACCGCACACAATCAAAGCACCAGATCGAGTCAAGCTGGCTACAGATACGCAACTCGTTTTTGCTCCGTTCTTGTTTTAGTTTTAGACTGTGGAGTATGTTAACAAGGTACTTCGTATGTTTGATCAACAGCTGGGTAATTCGTCGTTCATGATTGCGTCTATTGTTTAGTGATTTATAAGTGGGTTCATATGCGAAAGGAGGGAAATAAGCCGATCCCCACCACAATGAATGAAATGAGAGATATGATGAGTCGCGATCATTCGGGGATTACCGTGAAGGATATGATGAAACTGAATCCTCAGCAAAGCAAATATAAGAATAATCGGGCGAAAGTGCGAATGTGAAGGTCGGATATAGAATGTGCATGTTTGTTTTTTTAAATGCATCTTGTCAATCTGTGACTTGTCAATCAAATAGAGATGAGTTTCTTTTTTATTTGGTTTTTTTGTTAGTATCATTATTTCTTCTACCTAGTATTCAGCTGGTAGCTAATTGACTGTGAAGTGAATTTTCGAGTATTGCTGCTTAGAAACAGGACCAAGAAGTTATTGCTACTGATACAACTGTTTACGGAATCTACCACCAGCAACAACTACTATAACTACTACTGCTAATACTATTGTATAACATCTACAACTACTACTTACTACTTACTACTACTTACTACTACTTACTACTACTTACTACTACTTCTTCTTCTTCTGCCACACAATCTATACATGATTCGATCATCTCCCAGAATAGAAATTGAAGACAGCTCGCTAGACCCATATAAAAACATTATTGAGGATCGCTATGATTATATCGAGGTACCCCTATCATAAGATTGACTATCATTTCCAGAATTACATCGACTCAACACTCGAGGGAATAGATATTGTAGAATTTGCCAGATTCTACAAGCAGCTTGGTTTCTCAAGAGGCGAAAAGGTATATTCTCTTTCCTTCCCATAACAAAACAGGATGGGAACTACGGTATATTTTTCCGAGAATGGGCACCGCATGCCCTCCGACTGAGTCTAGTTGGAGATTTCAATAATTGGGATCCCAAAGCGAATGAAGCCACCTCCATCGGAAACGGTATTTACGAGCTATTTTTACCTGATACGATCGAGGGGTACTTTTAAATCCTTTATAGTTACCATCCAGAGAGGCAATCGATCACTTATCAAAAGTGAAGGTCGCGATTACAGTGGAAGACAAAAAGACCGGAGAATCGAAGGTTTTATATCGAGTGCCTTCCCATATTCACTATGCCATACCGGATCCACTGAGTAGTTCCAATCATTTTCTTCAAATCTAGACAATGAGTGCTACGTTGGATTGTACTGGAATTTTGAACGTCATAACCACCGATTTAAGTTTCCAACACGGCAATCTCCAGCCCTCCTCGAACATTCTGGATTAAGGTACACGATTTTCCTTTCCAATTGATGGCAGAATCTACGAGTGCCATATTGGCATGTCTGGAGAAGATCCCTGCGTGTCATCCTACTGTTCCTTCGAATACTCGGTCCTCCCTCGAGTGATCGCTGATGGATACAACTGCGTAGGGGATACTTGCTTAATAAAACGTAGATTCAATTCATGGCCATTGTGGAGCATGCATATTATCCCTCTTTTGGATATCAGTGCAACCTTTTCTATGCCATTTCGTCCCGGTTCGGAACGCCGACCGATTTTATGGTAGAGAATGAAGTCCCCTTCGATCGTAGAGATTGGTCGATGCCTGCCATGCCGCAGGATTGTTCGTCATCGTGGATATTGTTCAGGGACATGCTTCTCCCAATGTTGAGGACGGAATCAACCAATTTGATGGAAGTGACGACCTCTACTTTGCACCTGGAGAAGCAGGCAATCATTCGCAGTGGGGATCAAAGTGCTTCGATTATCGAAAACGCGAAGTTCGTCTTTTGATCGGATGAAATAATGTCTAGGTCACCCAATTCCTATTGGGTCAATTGCTGTATTTTGTAGAGGTCTATCACATTGACGGGTTCCGATTTGATGCAGTGACTTCGATCATCTACAACGATCATGCAATTACGCGCGGATTTACCGGGAACTACGAGGAATATTTCGGGTTTTATAGCAATGTGAGCTTCCGATTGGGTCTTGAAAGATAGATTAATATCGATGGGTTGGCTTATCTGGCGATGGCCAATCGTCTTCTTCATTCCCTCGAACCTCCCGCGTTCTCCATCGCGGAGGATGTATCCGGATATCCGCTTCTTGCTTCGCCCATGAAGAACGGAGGGATCGGCTTCGACTATCGAATGAATATGGCCGTGGCGGGTACTGCTCTCTGTGGGAGGTTTACGAGATAGATAAGTGGATAAAACTGATGAAGGAGAGCAAATTGGAGCTTTGGAACGTTACAGACATCGCGTACACAATCACAAATCGACGGTAGCACCGAGATCTTGTGATGATTGAACTAGCTATGGAGAGAAATACGTTTCGTACAACGAGTGCCACGATCAGTCTCTGGTGGGAGACAAAACGCTCGCTTTCTGGCTGATGGACGCAGAGATGTATTCGGGAATGTCCAAACTGCAGCCGCGAAATCACACCATCTTCAACGGGATCCACGTGCTGCACCTCATTCGTCTGCTAACGAAAGTGCTCGGAGGGGAAGGCTATCTCAACTTCATGGGGAACGAGTTTGGACATCCAGGTAGTAATTGGCAAAATTGGTCGAGAATAGAATGGGTGGACTTTCCGAGAAAAGGGAATAACTTTTCCTACCATTATTGCAGAAGACAGTGGAGTTTGGTGTAGGAGTTGGCGCTTGCTCTCATGGTAGAGATGACCGAAACTTGCTGTATCAGTATATTCTGAACTGGGATGTGGATACCAATCGTCTCTGTGCATACTATTGTAAGCGTTTCCCAACGGTGCCCTGAAGTGTAGCTCTTCAGGTAAATGGGTTTGAATTTATCACCCTGCGTGACCAAACGAAGCAAGTACTAGCGTTTGAAAAGGGGGGACTGCTCTTCGTTTTCAACTTCAGTTACAGCAATAGCTACTCTGATTACCAAGTTCCAGTGCGTAATCCTGGCTCGTATCGCTGCATTTTGTCTGTATTCTATTCTCTTGTACCTCTTATTTCTCTAGAGCGATCTTCCCGAGTACTATAGTGACAATCGAGTAAGTCTGACGTCGATTCATGACACACGGAATAGCAATTCGGGAGTTTGTAAATTCTATATTATGATTTACATTCCCACCCTGTGCGCCAATGTCTATAGAAGAATATGATTTGCTATTATGATTATTATTATTATTTCCTTGAAGTGTTTGATTTCAAAACGAGGGGCCATGCATATTTCAACAAACAAAGTGAAGTCAACAAAGAATTACCATCTTGTAGCCTAAAGACCAGCATGGAGCCTTGTGGGACTATTCCTTAGATGTTCAGCTTAGTGCGCTTCCAATGTCGGCGCTTAGCATTGTATCTAAAGCAGAATTAGAATGAGCTCATATTCCACAACAGCGACCTACCTAATGGTGTTACCGGTACGCAGACGGAACCACTGAGGAAGAGGACGGTTTTGTCTCATCTTCTTTGCAAGAATACGCTTAGTGCGGAAAGACTTCTGAGAAGGCTATAAAAGCGATTAGAAAACGTCCACAGACCAAAATGCGATAACTTACCATATCTACCTGTTGACTTTGATAGAATTGATAATGGAAAGGAAATAATACCCCCTGGATTCGAATTGAGTATTTGGTGTTATATAATTCTGTATGATCCCCATACACTCTATAATATCACATTTGCAAATGATTCTTAGGAATTAAACAAACAAACAAAAAAGGATGGAAAGGAAAGGGAAGGAAAGGGAAGGATAGAGAAGGAAAGGGAAGGAAAGGGAAGGAAAGGGAAGGATAGAGAAGGAAAGGGATGGAAAGGGAAGGAAAGGAAAGGAAAAGGATAGGATAGGATAGGGAAGAAACGACTATAGAATTAAAAACAGTATCCAGTCCATACCGCATTTTCTATCTTGAATGGAAACCAGTGGAGGATGCATGATACTCAGTTCCCAATTGAGGTTGATGAGAATCCCAGTGAACAGAGGGAGTAGAACAAAGTCCACAACCAAATCAAAACATGCAATTGCCCTTAAACCTTCTCTTAAACTCGCCAAACAGAATTCCTATACGATGTTCACTCAGCTTCGTAAACGAAATGTTGAGTCTCCGGAGAGAATAGCTGCTTTTCGAGTCAAAGAAGTCAAGGAGCGCATAGGCACCAATCTTTGTCATCGATGTATAAGAAATATCGAGCTCATAAATCATCGACAACACGTTTTCGAGATAACAAATTCGGATAAACTCCTGAACAAAAACGTCATCCAACTCAAAGTTGCCGGAGAGCTTCAGCACCTGCAACTGCTTGCAATAATCAGACGTCTCGAACGCATTTATTAAGAACGTCAGGTCTGCCTTGCATAGATTACAATTCATCAATACCAGCTTTTTTAGGCAGGCGGAGGCAGGCGAGCACAAAAAGTCCCTCAGATTTTTCCCAATGCACCGCAACGACAGCGAAACCACGCTCAGTTGTGTCAAATCGCACACCTCGTTCTTCGGAAACCCTGATAAAAACGTCCCGATTCCGCGCGACGATACATTGTTATCTTCAAAAGAAGCCTCCCGCACATGTCGAAACGAGACATACTTTTGCATAAAGCGGGTCAGCCAGATCACGTCGTCGTTCTCCAGCGGATTATGTCGCAAATCCAGCGTGTAGATTTCGAGCGGCTTGGTAGGGAGAAACGGATTGGAGTACACGATCTGCTCCCACAACGCCTCGTCGAACGAGCCGATCAGATTGCTGCTCACATCCAGCATGTGCAAGGCGTGCATATTGGAATGGAGCAGTCCTTGAAGCAGAACCGCGTAGCACTTTTGATCCAGCGCATTGTTGTTGAAGTCAAGAGTGGAAAGATCCTGCAATTTCGCGCTGTGCAACCAGTTCTCGATTTGAGGCAGCGTCTCCACGCCGATATTGATCCCCTCCAAGTTCAGAACTTCCAGATGCTTGCATGGAGAGCCCGATAGGCACTGGAAGAACTGATAGACCGCGGCTACGATTGCCGGATTGTTCCCCAAGTTCAGAACGCGGATATTCTCGGAGTAGGGAGACATCAAAAACACGCCCAGACCGTCCAAATCGGTCACACACAGATTACAATGATTCAGCTCCAGCTTCTCGATTAGGGGACAGGTACCCCGACTGAATCCCAAAAACAGCGGAGCCAGCGATCCTCCGGCGAGCTCCACATTGTCCGACAGAACGAGGGAGAGAAGATTGGGCAGAAAGTACTGCTCCATCACTGCGCAGAGATGGTTCACGGTCTCATAGGTCAGTCGGTTGGCGGAGAGATCCAACACCTGCAGGTTCGACAGATAGCCGCGAGAGATAAACTCGCACAGCGTTCGAAAACAGTTGTCTGTGAGGTTGCAACTCGCCAGTGAGAGCGTCGTCAGTCTTGGGATCTCCGCGCAATTGGACTCGAAGGAGGAAGACCACAAGGATCTCGACAGCAACTCAAATCCATGGCGTCCAAGGGGAATGGAGGAAAAGTCGAGGCGGACCAAACGACTGCACTTCGACAGTTGGAGTTCTTTGAGCAAGATCTCGATGCCCTCCATTTCCTTCACAATGAAGTGAAGGCTTGTGAAGATTAAACAGAGAACGGAGTTTGTTAGATCCGCAAACTTCTTGGCAAAGAAGGGAGTGAAATCGGATTCTTCGATAAGCAAGTTCGCGGAAAGCGAGTCATTGAGAAAATTGATTCGCATCGCACGTTGAACGCGGCGACTCAACGCCTCAATTATCTCGAGCAAAGCCCACTCGCCAATGAAATGAACTTCGAGAGTTGTTAGCTCCGTAAAGCCGTCATTCTCCAGCAACTTGGTAAACGTGTGCAGATCCCGTTCATAGGGTTCTCCGTATAACTGAATTCGTTTCAAAAACGTGCTCAAATGGATTATTTCCGCCCATCCAGAACGCGTTGTGAGAGATACGTCGCTATGGGATATTGATATCAGCTTGCGAAAATAGCGATTCACCAGCTTCAGGCGTAACTGAGTACGAGTATCTAAATACGAAACCAGTTCCAGCATGGAGGCAGTTCGGAACCTTGAAATATTGATCGTCTCTGTCGCGGACTCAGCTGGATACATAGCACTAAACCTTGCTTTAAAACGGTTAATCCGCATGTCATAGAGGAGTTGCACCTTCTCTCGCATCTCCGAAACGTCTTTTGGATGAGTTACTTCTTCAATGTCCGAGATATCTTGATAACAACAGCACTACATACCCTACCTGAATCTGTATCTACAGTTGCTACATTCTGCACGCCCATATCCAATAATACCTTGTCGATATTTTGTCCACTTTCCAACCCCCCTAAAGATCGCAAGTTGATTTTATTACTGTGGTATCTTTGCGATTTACGACGTCTTCCGCGTTTTACAGGAGAGACATCCTTTGTGACCGGTTGGCCGGAATCAATTTCTTTTGAAGTCTTTGATCCCATGGGCGGCTGCTAATGGTAATAGAATTGCAGGAAAGAATCCACAGGCTGTGAATGTCTGTTGAGTTTTGGCAATAGAGTGCACTTTATATCTTGTACAAGATTCCTTATTTACGAGGCCTGCTGGTCTAGTGGTATGATTCTCGCTTAGGGTGCGAGAGGTCACGGGTTCGATTCCCGTGTAGGCCCTTTTTTCCACTTTTATTTGAATCGTACACATATCATTCCTTTGAATACAGAAGAATACAGAAGATTGAATGACGACGGATGGAAGGGCAAACCGAATGAGTTTGTTTCTTTTGTTGCCCTCTGACTTCAGAGTGAATCACATTCCCTGTACAACACAAGTGAGTGAAAACAAACAATCCAAAGGGACTTTTCGCCAAGAGCGTACCAGGAATCGATGTAGGGACAATTGTTTGGATTCACCTCTGCATTCGCAAAGCACCGATAGAACAAGGTGCAGCACCCACAAGGGGTTGACGATATGTTGTCATACGTAGTTGTCCCATCGCGTAGTCTCCACACGGTTTCCTTTCCTTTCGACTATCCTAAATTAGCCTCATGCAAACCCTACATCAGACACCTCTTCGATAAGATTGTCAAAGCTCATCTTGTTGAGCAGCTGGAGGATATCAGCTTCATTTAAAGGTGACGTCAAGGAAATCCGTTTGCGGATGGTCTGCAGCCATTCAATGCTTGCTAGAAAGGATATTGACATTCGATATATTGCTAAGCGTAATCCTGCGCAGAATCTCCTTTGTCCCCATACCATAGTCCTATGTTCCATGCACCTAGCATCCTTACATCTTCACGAAGCACTTTCTGGACGAATGTACTCATCACATTTATAAACTCGAGATCAAACTCCTGTTCCACATACCACGGACCGCCAGTGATATCCTTAGGAAGTTCTGGAGGGAGAAAACGATACATAAAAGGTACCTTTGTCGTATAGAATGTACATAATCTTCATTTTACTGGCGATGGATTTGAAACTCTTGATTAGCTTCCGCTTTACCATTTTCTCAATTGCACGATTGATGGCGGACTACAATAATATCAGTGTTACATAGCATACAGCGTGAAGTGATGTTTGGACTTTGATATCTCGAATCCAGATGCCCTGGTCTCCAGCTGCCTCGATGCATTGATAAACGATCATATCTTGCTCGCCCAATTTTTCGAGCAGAGTTTGCTTAGCAACTTCTTCATTTGTAGTCAACTGGAAGACATATCCATCAGGACCCTGCAAAACGTGAATGCGTTTCTAACGATTCAAAACAAGACCAATACACAACTTCGTTCAGTAAATCCTGAATGACGACGACAAGATTCTGATAGTCCTCACCAAACACCGATTGAAGGTCCCGATTTTCCATTCCCTACATCCTATACAGAAACCATCATCACTACATCAGGACGTTTCTCTAACTCAGCGATTAGCCTTTCTTTTAAGCTCATACACTCAATGATAGCCAAAAACCGCACAGAAAATGGAAAAGCGACAGGTTTATGAATCTTGGAATGCCAAAAACCCGTTTTCATTTGGATTTCTACATCAAGAAAACAACATGGAGTCGCAAAATCTTATTCTTCCTCCCTCTCTGCGATCTGAGGACATAGCTGAAATCAAGAATACGTTCATTGTATTCGCTGGATCGGAAGATGGTACGGGGTAAACAGAGGATGTCAAACTTGTAGCAAAACTGTCTGTTGCTGAGTTTAAGAAGACTGTAGATAATATGGAGGAGCGAGAGAAGAGTCTACTGATTTTACAATTGTTGGACGATATGTTGGCTCTAAATACTGAAGAAATTGATTTCGACACATTCCAGAGACTAATAACGGCAGAATCAGTAACTCTTAGTACCTTGTTTGAGAAGATAGAATAAGTGTGATGCTGCATCACTGTTCAGGCTGTTCGACGTGGGTGCTACTGGATCTGTTCGCGTTTCGGATCTCAAAAAGGTGGCTCGTGAGCTGGGCATCGAGATTAAGGAAGAGGAGTTGGAAGAAATGATTAAACGAGCGGATCAGGATGATGACGGTGAGGTGTCGGAGCGAGAGTTTGCAGATTTTATGATGAAAGCTATGCACTAAGTTTGTTTCTTTGTTCAACAAACAGAAGGAAGAGACACAAGTTAAAAGCGCTTTTTTCGCTGCTCCTCGATCAACGTATCAGGGAGCTTGGGTGCGTTGGATGGCTCAGTGAGCTGTATTCTGGCTTGGGGGCGTGTACACGGGCTGAGGGTAAGCAGGCTGAGCAGGCTGAGCAGGCTGAGCAGGCTGAGCAGGCTGAGCAGCATAAGCAGGCGGGGCATATGCGGGCTGATTTGGAGAGGGATTAGGGTTGTACACAGGCTGAGTAGCAATGGGCTGAGCATACACAGGCTGGGTAGGAGCAGGTTGAGCATACACAGGTTGGACATAGGCAGGCTGAGCGGGCTGAGCATAAGCAGGCTGAGCGGGCGAGGGCTGAGCATAGGTGGGCTGCGCAGGCGAGGGCTGAGCATACACAGGCTGGACATAGGTGGGCTGCGCAGGAACGGGTTGAGCAGGTGAAGGCTGAGTATACACAGGCTGCGCGGGAGCAGGCTGGACATAGGTGGGCTGCGCAGGAGCAGGCTGGACATAGGTAGGCTCGACAGGCACCGCTTGAGGAATGGTGTAGTACATAGGAACAGGATAATTGACCGGCAAAGCAACCGTTGGCTGGCAAGGTTGGGTTGTGTACACGTAGGAAGGATCCGTCGGATCCACGAAGACTTGGCTCACAAAAGAACCCGAAGCGATGTCCCGAACAGACGAAGGAATCGAGTTACGGTCTAGCGATTATCCCAACACGAAAAAATCACCATGGCACTCTCGGACTTCGTTCACGCCAGACATAACCTTCCAGAAAATACGTAAAAAGGTCTGAGCTCCTCCTTTTCTGAACTCCAGTTTACAGTTGAACTGAGAGCCGTAACCCCATGAAGTTTGAGGAACAACCACAAACGAAAGGTTATTACATCCAAAAATAGGCATGTTAAACTTTTCATTTCGAATCAGCAGCAAGGGAACATCCTACATAAGCAAGTATTGAAATCCCATACAAGTGACTTAAAATCGCTTGACGGAGCATCCGCAACAAAAATTAAACGAATAGTTGTCAAATAAAGTTGTCCCGTACTCTTTACGTGAAAACTAAGTGTCAATAAAAAGCACATTACCTACTCTCCAATATTTGATATTAGGCGCATATCAGTTCGCCTTACCAAAAGATATTCACCTTGAGCAAGAATAGGCTTATTTCCTAGATAGGATCCACTAGATGGAGTATACCCTGATCAAGTTCACAATTAATAGACATAAAAAGACTTATAAAATAAAATATGTAACTATACCAAATAATACGGATTCAAGTGTAAAGAAATACTTCGAATTTTCGTACTTTGTAATGATTCTAGAAGAGCCACCAAACAATCATAAGAGGTCTCAAATACATAATAGAAACCAGCCAAGTCCATTTAGAAAAAAACGAACATTGAACTTCATCAGGGTACGAACTTGAAAGCATTACGAATGATTTCTAATGACGATAAATACAATATCGGCGGGGTGTATTTTGTAGGATAGTTGAAATTTGCAACAGTACGATGATAAGTATGTCAAACTATCTTTTAGTTTGTTTGTATTTTATATTATATTTAAATATGTGGTCTAAATACAAAGGATATAAACAACTGGCGGAAAGAACCTTCAACTCGACAGTTTTCGTGGTTTTCTGGTTCTTACTGGGCTTGGTGGGTGTAAGAGATTGATGATTGCTCGTGTTTGCTTAGGTTCTCAACATACTAAGTCCTTGTGATGGAAAAGCACCAAACATCATTTCTGCATGGCATTCAAGATTACAAAGAAATCTGGAAACGAGTCCTGCATACAGTACTAAATAAGTTGTGAAAGTGATTAATAGACAATAGTGACTTTTCTTTTTCTGTGAGGAATATACGTGCAGTTGGTCAAAATCGCTTACTCCTTGATATTTTTATGTCTTCTGCGGGAAAGGTCATATGCGTTGTCAATTCCAGTGCCCTTCTTCCAGAGGATCTCCTATTTCAAGAAACAAAAACTAACCGATTCTACTTCCGGTCAAATACCACATCCGTACAAGAGTACGCTGTTGACTTCATTCCTGCGGTCGAGCAAAGACTCTTTTGCAAAGCAGTGAACTTGCTCTCCATAGAGCCTCAAGTTTTATTTTATCAATCAGACCCTTTCTACATCACATGTACTTTTTAAGATGCTTGCTTTGATCCCTAGTTTCTTCCTGGAGTGTGGTTCTTGATTACCACGCACTCTACACAACCGGTATCCGAGTTGTCTTTGATGGTGTAAAATTCTCGAAAGAGTTGGTGCCTGTGGTCCAAAAGGAGTCTCTTGTTCAGTGCATCATGCGTCAAAAGCAACTAGATCAACATAGACTTAGAGAAGGCACTGATACAGCTTCTGCTACCAGTGTTGGGTTTTTGCCGATTTCCCTTAAATTGAAAGTAAGCCAGCTCTACAGTCATTCCTAATATCTAGACCATAAGCAGATTCGCAGATTCGACTGTGGATTGCTGGTTGAAAGAAAGGGATTCGCTTAATAGCATCTGGGTTCCCGCCAAAGAAGAAATGAAAAGTTTGGAGGTTCCTGCTTTATCCTACTTTGATATTTTTGATCCCGTAAAACGACTGTAGACTCGATTGTTTTTTTCTATACTTTTTTATATTTATGAATCTTGAAAATAGTGTATACTTCTCTATTGACTTTTGGTATCATGTTTTCCGAGATAATACTGTTCGAACTCGCTTCATCTCTGTGCCTTCAGAATTCGTAGAATACATGCTACAGGGTATGACTTTTTGTAAGTTCCTAATTTAGATGGTGTCGTCCTTCCTTCGAATCAGGATGTTTCTCATGATGACCCTAGAAAAGTGCCTGATGAGCGAGAAATAGATGTCGTCAGTTCAGAAGAAGATATTGGTGAAGATGAATGCGTAGAACTCGCTCCTATTGTAGACTTTAGGAGGAAGCGAAAGAATATTGCTTCGAGGAGTTAGAAAATGAAATTCAGGATACATTAGACGACTTTGGTGGAGAATGTTTCGTTCGTACCAACTGGAGTTCCTCAAAAGTCCGATATTTCAAACTTTATATTATGTTTAGGATGCAGCTTGGATTCTCGGATCGCTCAAATGCACAACTCCAGGTCATGTCTTTCTGTTAATGAAGTCTTCTGATCGCATTACTTCCGATTTTGTCCAACTGTAAGTCCGATGCATTCCTTTTCCATAGACGATGCAAGCAGTCGATCACGCCTGTCATTGCCCTGCAGAGATGGTGCAACTACTTCCCCTCGATGGAGTTTTGTCTCTACATTGCAGGCAATCGCCTGATCGGTAGGCTTTCGAGTCCTCAAAGTCTCTCCCAGCGATTTCGCAGCGCGATACGAGTGTCTACTATCCGTTTTTGTTGAAGGAGCAAAGCCGAATCATCCGTCTGCTGCGTGAGTTTGTAAAGGAGCGAGTTGTCGGGCGATTCCCGGTTTCGGATTGTTTGGATTGGGAGCGAGTTCGATGTAGTGGAAATGGATGTGTACATCGACAAAAAGGACAAGGTCTGGGTCGTGAACTTGAGTCCTTTCGATGACTCGATGAATCCCGCGTTGTTTTCGATTGAGGAACTCAATACTCTCCGAGAAACGCAAGAAAAGAGCGAAGCAGACCGGGAAGATTCTGCGAAGGAGGAAGCAAACGATGCTGAGAGAGAGAGAAGAGAGCCCGTTTTGCGAGTCGTGGAAGAGGAATCGGGTACGCTGCCTTCCGAGCAGATGTTCTATCAAGTTCCGATGGAGATGTATTCTCTGTCTTCGACAGATCAGATTTCCTCGTTTATTCAGGAGCTAAAGAAGGAGAAGAAGGACGAAGTTGAGTCGAAGGAAGCAGAGTTAAAAGAATGAATCGATGAATTTATAAGAATGCAATGTAGTGTTTTTCATCCCAACAATCCATTCCCACCATTTCATTCGAACAAGCAAGCAATAAGCAAGCAATCCTCTCTCAATCCCATCCCTACTCCATCCATTCACTCACTCCAATCACCATTCAACACATTCATTCCATGAGTTGTTTGTTTGTTTACTTGTTTACTTGTTTGTTGTATAATAAAAAACACAACAATCAATCCAATTAATTTCGACTAGCCACTTTACTGTTCACCTTCTCCGCAATCTCCACCTGGTTCAACGCAAGCGAACTCAAATACGAAACCATCGCAAAGTCCTGCAGTTTCGAGTCGAACATTTGCTTGAACTCCTCGTGAGACACCTGAGGAATGGAGAAAAGCGCGTTGAACACCTTGTGGCTGTCCTCGCTCGAAGGCTTCAGGGTTCCATCCAGCACGCTGCGAATGTACTTCTCCGCGTCCTCCAACGTGCTCATCAAATCCCTCATCATTGCTTTCAGACCGACCAGATCATTGTACACTTCCGCAGAGTTGATCTCGATGATCGCCTACACTCGATCCCCCCTTTAGCTCCTTCGTACATTCTCAAAATCGAGCAGGCTTCGGATCACTTGGTTCTCCACGGACGACGCGGAGATCATAACCGGAAGCTTCGTCATTTTAATGGCCAGAACACTACGGGAGATGCAGTCCAAGAAATGCAAACGTTTCGTTGAGAACCACGGATGTCACAGACATCGCCTCCAAATCGAGCTTCGGTCTTTCAAGCGATACATTCATAGACAAAAAGATCTACAACTCATCTACTACCAAAGTCAGTATTACAGGTTTAAAAAGCTGGCAGCAACTTCTATAGTACTCGTTCAGTTGGAACCAGTTCTCCTGTGCAACCACCGGTGAATCAACGGTGGAAAACCTACACGTCGACACAATAAGAACGCTGTCCTACCATCCCAAAACGACCTCTGATTTGTTGGAAATAGCATAAAGTTGCTTCATCTTTTCATTAAAAGCCATCGCTTCTTTGTTCTAAAAATAAGTACCGTCCACATCCACCACAATTTCTCCATCCGCAAACTCATAATTCACCCCATAACAGTTTGTAATTTCTAATACTCCATTGTTCAGTGAGCCCATAATCGTTCCTATAGAATTACAAAATAAGCAAGTCCAGAATACCCATAACATGCTTCTTTCCTTCGGGTCTACGGACATATTGGTCCAGAATAATAAAGGGAACCACTGGATGCACTTTTATCGTTTTGAATGGAGTGCTGATCAAAAAGGTGTCTTCCATCTTTTTCACAGGATGAGAGTGATTTACTTGTGGAGGCTGTTTAGTAATCCATGATAGAAAGCTAATCTTCAGAAATTTGGAACTCCGTAATTCGAGTCTATTTTTTCATTTCTATTGTTTGTCTAGGTTCGTCACCTTTGACGATTTTGTAAAATTGAAATTATGGAATCATCGCAGAATGTGTGGAGCGATTTCCTACATGCTGCTAGCAAAGACGTATCGAAAAAGGAAGCCAACTTGATTATTTTGGGTACTTTCATGTTGTATTTGGGATAATCTACAGGTGATTCAAAAGTTAGTTGCTTAAGTGTTGCTGATGCTGTGTTGGATTCTCTGGGTCAACCACTTATTAAGAAACGAGATATCGACATCATAAACTACTCATATGCAACTGTTGGATATCCAAATAAGCGACTTAATAGTGGTGGTACGTGTTGGATGAATCCTGTTATCGAGTAGACTATTTAGGAGTGATTCATATCAATATTATGTGTGATACTACTTTTGAAGATGTTCTTGTCAATTCTTTACAGCGGCTCGAAAACCAGGAAGTTTCTATGTTTTTGGCTGTTGACACTAGATTGTTTTCTTGATTGCCATCGATTTCCGAGAAACGGCTTTTATCATGGAAACCTTACTGAAGGTAGCTTTGCATATTCTATTTCCTCCCATCAGTGGCTCCACACTGCATCCGAGATCATCGACAAACTATTCGCCAGTAAACCCGAGTTGCTCCAATCCTGGAAATCGCGCTGGGAGCAGCGTCTTTTGTCCATCTCCCAAGTCCAAATTTCTCTTTTTCTCTTCACTCCCAGCAGCTCCAGCAGCTCCAGCAATCCCAGCAATCCCAGCAGCCCGCCTCCGCCACTCCGCAAGACGCAGCCCAGCCTGGGTCGAGTTCTCTCCTTCCCCGCGGTTTACTGACCACCAATCTGGGCGTTCCGCTATTCGTGGTGTGCACACACACCGAAATCATCGTGGCTTTCCGCGCCGTCTTCGATGTAGACGCAGTCCAAGCAGTTCAGCGAGCTTCGCCTCGACTTCCTCCAGCGCTGCCTGCGCCGCGTCTGTCTGGACCGTATCTCCCGTCCTCGCCTCCGACCTAGACGCCTCCTCGCTCGCCTATTTCAACACCGCCAAGCGGGGCGTCGCGCCCTCCCTCACCTCCAATCTCCTCTCTCTCCTCTTCCCCTCCCATTACGCCACGCCCGCTCCCGACGTACCCCTTCCCTCCTGTCCTCACGCACAGTTCGCCTCCCGCGACGAGCTGTTCATCCCCGCGGGAGCCGACAACGCCTTCCTCATCGACGATCTGCTCGTGGGCACCGTACGGCTCCTTCTCCGTTTCCACGTAGAAACTCGAGGCCGTCACCGACTTCACCGCGGTTTTTGAGCGTCCCCAGGTCGCTGCGAAGGTTGGATCGTTTCTCCCGCGTGAGAACTAGAGGGGATCGGCCGCCCCGCAGCGCATTCTCTCCGAGGAAGAGTTCTTCGCGCAGCTGGTCGGCACGGACGAGGCCGCCTCGCCGCTGCCCAGGAAGTCGAGGAGGAGCGTGCTGCAGACCAAGCCGCGCGTCTCCATGCAGCCGCAGACCGCAGGGTCGCCGGCGGGGTCGCCGATTCCACGGGGTGGACAGAGTGGACAGAGTGGACAGAGTGGACAGAACGGGAAGACGACGACGAGGAACTTCTTTGAGAACTTGATTAATGGAGGGAGTACTGTAGGAGCGGGCGAAATCGTGCGATCTAGACACAAACGGTCGTTCCGAGAAAGAGTTTAAATGTGGGACTTTTACGAAAAGGAGATGGAACTGGGAAGAAGTGAAGAGCGGTGCAGCATTATTTACTATTGCCTTATTGTTGTCAAAGTACGTTTTCTTTGGATGTTTGTTGGCTCGATTTTTCGTGTTCCCTATTTCCCTATTTCCCTATTTCCATCTTTCTATTCGATTGTATCTCAATTGCTTGTTCTCTGTTTCCATTTTGTTTCTTCCCAATTGTTTGCGAACGAGTTAATTCACATATTCCACAGTTCACCAGTGTGTTCATCGTTTTGTCAAATAGACTCACTCGTAAGCACTCAACTCCCTTATTTCGTATTATTTTGAATGTAGTCAAATAGAATGGAGGTCATTTAATCGTTTGTGTCCCATATGGAAAACTATTGGGTCTTAGGAGTTTCTTGCAAAAGGGTGGTGTTTAGAATTCATTCATATTATACTAGTTTACCAGTATGCCTTTCAAGAGAAGGTAGGTAAAGTGATTTGAGTTCGCCGAAGTAAAAAGAGAGAAGAATAAGAAGGACTCACCATGTTTAGAAACCACGGACGTTCTAAGAAGGGACGAGGTCATGTTAAGCCTGTGAGATGCACTCACTGCGGTCGCTGCGTTGGTAAGGTGCGAATTGTTGATGGTTGGGTAATCTTTCTAGGATAAGGCCGTCAAGCGTTTCCAAGTGAGAAACATTGTCGACGCTTCTTCCCAGCGTGATATCCGTGATGCCTCTGTTTACGAACGTAGTTTTGCATGGGGTTGTTAATGGAAAGAATATACTCTTCCTAAGTTGTACATCAAGCAGCAGTACTGCGTGTCCTGCGCTGTCCACGGTCGTATTGTCCGTGCTCGTAAGGTGGAGGACAGACGCATTCGCGAGTACGTGCGCCCTCAGTTCAAGGGAGTAAGCGATATGCATTCACGGTAATGAGTAGGAGCGTAATTAGAATGCCGGATCTGGTGAAAGGGATAATATGAAGTATGGTTGTTTGTTGAAGGAAACAATAATTCATCATTGCTCACTCATTAGCTATTAGCTAGCTAGCTAGCTAATCACTTGATAGCCAGCAAAGAGTAAAAAGGAGAATAGGGCACCTAAGAGTAAGTAAGAAACACCATCTGAATAGAGCTGAGAACTGGTGGCCATGGCTCCATGGAGTGGATAAAAGTAGAGCTTGGAGTCTTCCAGATGACCATCGATTATATAGGTATCTGTACATGAACCCACACACCGATAACTACCGGGAACATTCATAATATACTGAAAACCGTTCACCTCATAAAAACGGATATTGCCTTGGTTGCTCGCCTGTACGTTTAAATACACGCCTGCACAAAGTTGATTGTTGTCAGCAAACTCAATACACTTTTGGAGGAGGAACGATCCAATCCCTCGACGCTTATACTTGGGAAATACGGCAATATTAAGAATATAGAGAACGTAATCATAGGAATAACGCTGGACAATGCTAATGTCGCAGTTGGAACTTCCTAACAGACGTTTTTGCATGACAATACAACCAACCGGATAATAGGTATTTTGTTCGAAATACTCTGCCATCCATATTATAAGCCTATTTCCACGGTATTCTTGGGTACGTAAGGAATCATAATACTCTTCGTCATAACTTACGGGAAATGACATCTCAAAGAGTTCTCGTATCGTTTGGCAATCTCCTTCATTGCTAAGGCGGATGTAAACATTGTCAAGTCCCTCGAAGCCCTTCAAATACAAATGTCTATTCATATTGTTAATCTCCACATTCATAGATGACCAAATCTAATTTTTCAAGGAAGGGTAAAACAAAATGTGGCTCAGAAAACTATTGATGAGAATGATATTTCTCTTTTTATTATTAGTATATCTTGCACATGCAGCAGACTGGGCTGTGATTGTAGCGGGATCAACTGGATATTGGAATTATCGACATCAAGCTGCAGCTGCTTCTGCGTATCAATATTTTATTAGTCATGGGGTTCCAAAAAAGAACATTATAGTCTTTATGAGTCCAAGTGTAGCTCAAGATGAAAAGAACCCCTTCAAAGGAAAATTGTATAGTACAGCCTCCAATCCACCCACGAATCAAATGGAAGGCGTGGAGGTGGAGTATAGCGGTGGTGAAGTGACTGCAAACAGAGTGCTGAATGTTCTTGCTGGAAATTCATTTTCCGGAAAACGAGTTTTGCGTTCCAACTTTATGGATACAGTTTACCTCGCTTTCTTTGAGTATGGAGCACCAGGTGTCATCACACTTCCGAAAGATGCAATTTTTGGCGTGGATCTAGCAGACACTATTTCTATAATGCACGACAAAAAGATGTACAAAGAACTGGTGATTTCTATTGATGGCAAGGGAACGGAACATTTGCTGGAAGGATTGGATCTCAAGGCACTCCACATCCGGTTTTCCTCTCCATACACTCAAAACCTGGACAACCGCAATCTCTTCTGTCCCCCACATGATATTGTGAATGGGAGAAGCATCGGGAGCTGCCTTTCGACCGAATATTCTTACATTAACTGGAACTACGGGACTCGTCTTCCCTCTTCGGACGATTCTCTCTTCTCCAATGAGCCCTCATTGATCAATCAAGATTCCAATTGGAGTGTATATGACTCAAAGTTTATGTATCTTATGAACCAGTACCTAAAGGACCCGAAGTCTGTACAATATCATCGAGCTATCCAGGATGAAGACAATACTCGAAGTCAGATTGAAAAGTACTATCGGCTTGTTCTCTATGATCGAAAAGTGAGTGATCTAGTGAGCAGTTCGATTACGGAGTGGGAATGCTATAAGAGGGGAGTGAAGAAGGTTGAAAAGCTCTTCCTTTGGAATGAATACACTTTTCGCTTCTTTGGGTTGATTGTTAATTTATGTGAACAAAACAAATTCTCGTTCTAGTTTGCTGTGTTCTTTGTTTGTTCAAAACAAGCAGACATTATAAAAGAAGTGAACTAGAATGGAAATCGAATGGAGACCAGTTGGAGACCAGTTGGAGACTAAATGGTAACCTATTGGAGACCAGTTGGAGTCCAATGGACACCAAAGGGACACCAAATGGAAACCAAATGGAAACCAATGGAAACCAAATGGTAAATACAACTAACTCGTTATTTTGTAGCGCCATAGCCATATTGCTGCTCATACAAGGTAAGGTAATGCTCGAACACCTACAAGTTAGAAAGTTCCTCAAAAGAATACCTTCTTGTAGTGCTCCACTACACACTCGCGGTGCTTTGCTCCACGAATGTGCTCCTTTCGACTTCGTGCCTAGAAGATCAGTCAACACACCAATTGCACACAGAATCGTTCTTAATATAGGACTTGCAATAATCGCAATAATACCGAGGCATATTCACAAATCAAATTTCCCAAAAAGGTTAATAATTTATGAAATCCTGCCATAATTGAAAAATAACCGTTTGCTTTTTATCATTAGAAATATTGAATAACATTGGGACCGCGATGAGTAAACTAGTTGGACCATCTATTAGTATTATACAAAACGGATACCAATATCCCGACCAACAACGAGATGGGCTATTAGCTCTTCTTGATATCAATTGTGATGGTTGGATTCTGAATGGCATTCTTGATCGTAGAGATAAGAGAGGGACTAGACGGAGTTCCTTTAGTTAGTGTCTTACTTACCTTTTTGGAAAAAACCAGAGACAATGAAAAGTTGAGAGTTCTGTGCTGCAGTGTTCTATCTCATTATAAAAGAATTTGTCGTTCATTGTCAGTTGTTTTATCTCTAGCCAGCTGTGTCGAGGATGCAAAGAATGAGAATTTTGTCAAGAGAGTATTGAGCATCATCGTTAACGAAAAAGAATCGACGGCAATTACACAGGAACTGCACCTTCTTGTAGATTATGGACTCAATCGTATTTACCCTTTTCTCCCAACATAGTAGAGCTAATAAAACCTCAAATTCTTCAACCTGCCGTTATCAACCAAATCCTCGCTCTTGAGCACTCCTGGAGAGACAACGGGGAAGTGGTTGCTCAGCTATTGCTGTTATATACGGTAATCGCGGAGGATCGTACATTTGCAGAGTGTGTGTGTTAGCTAGCGGTGTATCACCCCTCTCTCTTAAACTCCGTCTTCTTCTCCTCGTTTTTCGAGTACCGCGAACGTTACCAAGCAGATGCCTCCATCATGTCCTCCTACATCTACCTATTCTACTACCTCTCCAAGAGCGGTGAGCCAACCTTTTCCTCTCTCGATGCCTAGAAGACGGGAGGTACTTTCTTCGCAGCATCCGCTACATCGAGGTGGCGATGTCCTGCGTGCAGTCCTTCCCCGACGACACAATTCTCTGCAAGAACGTCCTCGGCACCATCGAGACGCTCGTCCTCGACAGTTCCTCCCCTGCCCTCCCTCCACCCTAGAGCGCTACCGCCTCCTCCTCGTCACCGACGACGTCGTCAAGCTCTGCATGGCCGTCCTCAACGCCAGCCAGCGCAGCCAGAGCACCGTCGAGCAGGCGCTCCGCGTCCTCCGCATCCTCAGCTCCATGGGCCGTGCGTCTTCCCCGCGGGACTCACCTCCAGAGAGCATGACGCGCCTCATGGTGGCGAACGGCGTGGTGCCGTCGGTGCAGATGGCGATCGCCGCGTACCCGCAGAGCGTGCCGATCTGTGCGCACGGGATCCGCACGATGCAGTGGATCATGGAGGCCCCCAACCTGCGGCTGGTGCGCATCATGCTCGACGAGCAGGTGCTGCAGCTGTGCGCAGACCTGCTCCGCGGCCACGACGACCCGCGGGTTCTCCAGTTTCTCTGCGGCGTGCTCACCAAGTTCTGCTATTATCTGAGTAGGCGGTGCGGAGGAATGCTCAGCAGGCAACGAGAACCGCGTCGAGGAGCAGCTGCGAGCGCGCGACGTGGTGGAGACGCTGGCGAGGAAGATGACGGAGCAGTGCAAGGACGCGCGCGTGGTGCACGCGGGCATCCAAGTGCTCTGCGTGATGGTGTCGGTCGGTAGGCGCGGCGGCGCGCGTGGATGGCGTAGAGCGCGGACGCAGACTCTTGGCGGACGGCGGAGCGGTCAAGGCGATCCTCGCGTGCGCGATGCACATGACGCGCGAAGACACGGTGGGACTCACCACGGGAATTCTGTGGAAATGCACGCTGCTGCGTAGGCGGAGAGAAGGCGAGTGACACACAGCGGAGCTGCTAGGACAGATGATGCAGTACCGCGTGCTCAACGTGCTGCTGAAGATGATGGGCGAGTTCACCGAGTCGCTGCTCATCCAGAGGAACATTGTCGGGTGTCTGTTCATGATGACGCGCGAAAACGTGCTGGGAAAGCAGGACCCCGAGGCGGAAGCCAAAGTGATCGAGGACTTCCGAAAGCGACTGGGACTGCCGCTGCTGTTCAAGACGATGCAGTCGTTCTTGGAGTCCCCGGACTATTGCTATCAGCTCATCCCCTTGCTGCAGAATCTGGGGAATAGTAGGAGCGAAGGGGGGCTGCGATGTAGACAAGCTGTGCTTTGAGTACTATGTGTCGCAGAAACTTCCCAGCATCCTCGTGAAGATCCTGATCCTGCATAAAGCAAACGTCACGCTGAGCTCGATGACGTTGCTGCTGCTGCAGAGTTTGATTAATGCGAGTGTGTGCAGAAGAGGAGGATGATCGATAGAGGAGGATATGATGAACGTGTTCTTGTTCTCCAATGAAGTCCACGAGCTGTTTAATCTCATCACAGACTCGTCTAGCAAGCTCCATCCCGCGATCGCCAATGAAATCGCGCACATTAAATCCAAGGTGGAGGCGTACAACCAAACACTACCCCCGGAATCCAAATCGTTTCGTGTTTGTTCAACAAACAAGACAATCCTGCTTTGGCTTCTCCGCTTCCTTCGTCGCCCTCCAGTAGCTACCCATCACCCCAACTCCATACGTTTACTAGAGAATCTGGAACACCAGAATCGCGTTGCACGTCGTACTGATGATATACGACATCGCGATCATCACATCGTCCACCTCCTGCAACGTCGTGAAGATGCGCGCCGCGGATCCAGCCAGCGTGCAGAGCCACGTAATCAGCGAAAGCTGTCCGGTATGTCCCTGCTTGAAGTTGGTAATCATCTGCGGGACGCGAGCCAAAATCGCGGAAACGGTTCCCATCATGGGAAGAGCGGAGAGATACTACGTCGCATAGGAGGACAGAAGAAAAAAACAAACCTGCTCCGGGCAATAGACGAGAGCGAGCGAGAAGAGAATGAAACTGAGAACAACGCAGAGCTTGTGGAGAGACGTTTTTTTCGCGTCTCCCTTCGCATATCTACTCTTCAGAGGAAAGGGAGCGGCGTACATCCAGTACAAAAGAACCAAAAAGAAGTTCTGAGCCAGAATAATGACGTTTTCACCATAGGTTGAAATGGGATAGTGCTTCAGAGCGTTGTACACAATGCTAGGAAGGAAGGCGGCGCATTCCATGTAGAAAGAAACGGCGTTAATGCCAGTCACATCTCGGCTTCTCATGATCTTTATGATTTGAGGCATCTTCATGATTCCGGAGCCGAACATAATTCCATATCCAAGTGCCTTGCTCACCGAATACTTTAGACAAGGAACATCCAGAAAATCCCCTTCCATAAAGAAAGTATTATAACACTTGTCTCCAATCATAGTTGTAATCAGCTTTTTGGCATACTCTGAATCATTACAATAAAGCAATGTGCGTACGGTTCTGAAAAGGCTTGATCGCAGTAGCAATCAGTCCAGACGGTTCCGCAGCGGCAATAGCAACTACAAAGAGGCACACAAAGGTAAATCTAGTATCGTTATTGATAGAAGCAATGCTACGAATTCATTTTGATGAAGCTCCAAAAATCAGCAGGATTTCCACAATCTCAGCATTATCTCCTTGCTTGTTTTTCTTTACTAAGATCGTATCATAATGGAAAAAATTGAGGGAATTCCAGAGATCTCCGCGCTTACTTTGAAAAATCTAGGCGACAAGTCCTATGACCGTAGAAAGTGTTCTGCAGAAGAAATTACTGCTGTTTTCGCCAAGTACTATGTAGAGTTTGCTTCAGAAGTGATAATCGATAGAATGAGGGAAATGAAGACAAAACGAAGAAAATATTGGGAGTGATGCAGACAGACTTCCTACGATCGCCAAATGTGAACTACCGAAATGGAGCTCTTGTCACAATTTCCTCCATTGCGTTTTTTTTGGATACGAACGCGGTAAAATATTTCCCTATTATTCTAAATCCTGTTTTGAAGTGTTTGGAAGACAGTGATAGCAAAGTCCGCTATTACTCAAGTGAGGCCCTCTATAACATTGCAAAAGCGGCAAGAACAGGGGTGATTTCCTACTTCGATCGTTTCTTCTATGCCCTGTGTTATCTCTTTTCCGATGTTGATACAGACGTCAAAAAGATATCCTTCGCTGTACTTCTTCCCTAGTTTTCTTGATTCCACGGCGCGTCCATTCTCGATCGCCTCTTAAAAGAGATCATCACGGAAGCAAAGAGCATCGACCTCTCCATCTTCGCTCCTTTGTTTAAACAATACATCACAATGAACAGTCCGTACACTCGTCGTCTCGTCGTCTCTTGGATCTCCGTACACGCGTCGATGGCTCTCTCACACGCAGGTTTTGGACAACAAACCGGGCATCGACATGCTCGAATACTTCCCGCAGCTCATGGAGGGGCTTTTCTTGCTTCTCAGCGACGAGCATCGCGAAATCCGCGTGGTTTGAACGAGCCAATCGACTCACTTGAAGGAAACCGACGACGTTTTGCAGTCGTTTCTCTCCGAAATCAAAAGCAGCGAGCCAAACGACACGATAATGAACTCCATGGTCGTTTTTGCCACGCGTCCTCATCCCCAGGTCAACGTTCTTCTCAATTTGGTGCATCACAACGATCGATTCATCCGACACACCGTCGTCACGTGGATCTACGAGTTCGTTCATGTGACCGAGTGGTCCATTCCCTACGCTCGTTTGTTCCGCGTTCTGCTGCCCTGCTACGCCGATTCCGAGAAGGAAGTCCAGGAAAAGGCGCAGGCCACGTGCTGGGAATTGCTCAAAAGCGTGGGCATCGCCTTCCTTGCTTCATTCTAGCTCAAAAAGAACGGAGAAACCGTGGAACTGATGCCTCTCATCGAGGTGGTGTGCACGGTTCTCTCGAAGAATCACAGAGATCAGTGCTTGTTGTGCTTGGATCTCGTGAACGTTCTGCTGGAAATCCGAGGCAAGGACATGATAACCGTTCCCGAGCTTCGGAACGTGCTTATCGAGACGTTGAAGAAAGAAAACGACGACGTGATCGACTACGATCTCCGCGTTCTCGTGAAATACGTGCAATACAGCCAAGAACTAACGACGTTCATTCGCCATATTTTGAAAGTCGCGTCGGATCCCTCTTTCGATCGTAGATGCTGGAGCAGGACGAGCAATATCTCGAAGACCGCGGCTGTCTGATCATCCGAACGCTCTGCAAGTACATCAACAGCGAGCAGGTCTTCCAGATTCTCTCCACGACGATTTCGGTAGGATCCACGCTCGTCTTCGACCCAGGAATCCGAGAACAAGCGCTTCGCCTCGCTCTTCGTGCAGATGATGAACGTGATTCTCCTCACCGCCGACGAAACCGCCGAGATGTGCAAGAAGCTCCAGTCCTGCTTCGCGCCCGCCCAGCCCAAGCCCGAGGGGCAGCAGGTCTTCAACTCGCTGTAGCGATGAGGGCGCGTGGCTCCGTAGATACCCCGCTTGGTCGCTGAACCCGTTCGCTGCCCTGGCTTTGTCGTGGTTCACCGAGGACTACGAGGTGGCGTTCAGCATCACGCAGAGCTTGGCTCGGCAGGAACTGACCGTCGCTATGCTGCTGCAGGCCGATAAGCTCGTGCAGATGCTGGAATCGCCCGTGTTTGTTCATGTGCGATTGCAGTTGCTGAACGCAGGGTCGCCCGCGCTGGCGCCCTTGCTGAAGAGTCTGTACGGATTGCTGATGATCCTGCCGCAGAGCAGCTCGTATAATCTGCTGCAGAACCGTCTGAATGGAGTCATGCCGCTGCACATGATGATGCAGACCTGCGCGAAGAAGGAGTGCGGATGGTAGAGAGGCGTGAGGGGTAGAGAACTCAGTGAGAAGGACAAGCAGCGAATCGCTCTCTTCAAGGAAGCGAACCAGGACATTATTTCGAATTAGAGAGTGTGATTGTTACAAACACAACACATACAAACAGCATCACTTAGTTTCGTCTGCGGCCTCCTCTACGTGGAGACTTCGATCTGCCCTCGGCCTGTTCCTTGGCGGGCTTGGGTGGAGGGGGAGGCAGCTTCTTGCCCTTCGCAGGCTTGGGAGGCGGGACATCGTCGTCTTGGATGAAATCGTCGGGCATGTCTTCGATAAACTCATCGTCTTCTTCAGGCTCTTCCGACTCTTCCATCTCCTTGGGCGCCTTCTTGCCCTTGGCAGGCTTGGGAGGCGGGATCTTCTTGCCCTTCTTAGGAGGAGCAGGCATGTCTTCGTCCTCGTCTTCTTCAGGCTCTTCCGACTCTTCCACATCCTTCGGGGATCTCTTTCCCTTGGCGGGCTTGGGAGGCGGAATCTTCTTTCCCTTCTTGGGAGGAGGCACGTCCTCGTCCTGGATGAAATCGTCGGGCATGTCTTCGATAAACTCGTCGTCATCTTCAGGCTCTTCCGACTCATCCACATCCTTCGGAGATCTCTTGCCCTTCTTCGGAGGAGGAGGCGGAATCTTCTTACCCTTCTTGGGAGGAGCAGGCATGTCTTCCTCCTCGTCTTCTTCAGGTTCCTCGGACTCTTCCACATCCTTGGGCGCCTTCTTTCCCTTCTTGGGTGGAGGGGGAGGCAGCTTCTTGCCCTTCGCAGGCTTGGGAGGCGGGACATCGTCATCCTGGATGAAATCGTCGGGCATGTCTTCGATAAACTCGTCGTCATCCTCAGGCTCCTCGGACTCTTCCATCTCCTTGGGCGCCTTCTTGCCCTTGGCAGGCTTGGGAGGCGGGATCTTCTTGCCCTTCTTGGGCACATCCTCGTCCTCCTCGTCGAAGAACTCCTCGCCACTGCCCTCCTCCTCTTCGCTCTCGCTCATGCCTCGCTTCTTCGCCGCCTGCTTCTTGCCCTTCGCCGGCTTTTCCTCGGGCAGATCCTCGCTGTAGCTCTCGTCCTCCTCGTCCTTCGGCGCCTTCTTGCCCTTCTTCGGTGCCGGCTTCTCTTCGTCCTCCTCCTCGGCCTCGCTGCCGCTCACCGGCGTCATGCTCTCGCTGTGGTCCGAGTACTCGTCGTACTCCGACCGGAAATCGTCCGGCGTGCGCATGGCCTTCGGGTTCGGCTTGCCGTTGTCGCTGAAGAAGTCCTCCAGGTCGTTCTGCTCCATCGGCGTCGCCTCGTCGCTGATCTCTTCGTAGAGTGGCGACTCGTCCAGTCTGTCGCGGTTCTTCTCCACCAGCTTATCGAAGGTTCCGTCCGGCACCGTCGTGTCGATTTCCACGTTCATCGCGTTCTCGATCTTTCGGATGTTCTCCTGCACCGTGTTCTCCACGCGCTCCAGATTCTGCAGGTACGAGTCCTGCGAGGCGATCAGGCTGTTCAGGTACTCCAGCTGCTTCTCCAGCTCCTCCTGCTCCGCCACCAGCAGCTGCGACTGCTCCGACTTCTTCTTGATCTCCACTTCCTGCTTCTGCAGAAGCTCGTTCGTGTCCACCACTTCCTTTCGCAGCTGCTCCAGCGTGAGCTTGCTGTCGTCCTATCGATCACACGCCGCTCCGCGCGTCCTACAAACTCGAAGTCCGGATTCACCAGGTTGCGCGGATCCATCGGGTGCTGGCCGCTGATGTCCTTGCCGATGTTCTCCTTCAACAGAGGAACGGGCAGCGTCTTCGGGATGGGGATGTGCTGCGTGTGAGCCACACTGCGCGAGCCACTTACCAATTTCTGAGCCAATCTGCTGATGTGCAGCGCTACGATAAACTCATATTCGTTCAGCATGTCGTCGTGGTCCTGGTCAGCGAGCTTCCAGATGCTCTCCAGCACTGGCGGAGGCAAACCGGTCTTGCTGAGATACTGGCTCGCCACGGAGGCGAGAATGAATCCGGTCTGGGCATCGTCGTACTCCTTGAACAGCTGCTTGTACTTCTGGAACTCCACCGGGCTGATAATGAACGGGCTGCGCACCATCTGCGGTCTCGGTCCCATTCCGGGGCGGGGTCCGGGGCGAGCACCCGGGCGGGGTCTCGGTCCCATGCCAGGACGCGCTCCAGGTCCCGGACGGGGGCCCGGACGGGGGCCCGGACGGGGTCCAGGGCGCGGGCCTTCTTCTCCCTCGGGACGGGGACGAGGCCGAGGTCCCATGCCAGGACGAGGAGCGGGGCGAGGAGCCGGCGTCTCTTCGTCGCTCACATCCGCAGGACCCGGACGAGGTCGCGGTCCCATGCCAGGACGAGGACCCGGACGCGGTCCCATGCCAGGACGAGGTCTCGGTCCCATACCGGGGCGAGGACGCGGGGCTTGCATCGGTCCCTTTCCTTCCTCCTCTTCGTCGCTCACGTCAGCAGCCATCGGGCGAGGACGAGGCGCCATGCCAGGACGAGGTCTAGGTCCCATGCCAGGACGAGGACCAGGTCTCGGACCCATTCCCGGGCGAGGACCAGGACCAGGACGAGGTCCAACATTTTCTCCGTCGTCGTCGCTCACGTCAGTAGCCATCGGGCGAGGACGAGGCGCCATTCCAGGGCGCGGACGAGGTCCCATACCAGGACGAGGACCAGGTCTAGGTCCCATTCCAGGGCGAGGACCAGCATTTTCCTCATCATCGTCGCTCACATCGGCAGCCATCGGTCTTGGTCTCGGTCCCATGCCAGGACGAGGTCTAGCTCCCATACCAGGGCTAGGGCGTGGACGAGGTCCCATTCCAGGACGAGGTCTCGGTCCCATACCGGGTCCAGCCATAGGTCCAGCGCCTTCCTCATCGTCACTTACATCAGCACCCATAGGTCTTGGGCGAGGTCGGGGACCCATACCGGGGCTAGGACGAGGTCGAGGACCCATGCCAGGGCTAGGTCGAGGACGAGGTCCCATGCCAGGACTAGGACGGGGTCTAGGTCCCATGCCGGGACGAGGACGAGGTCCCATTCCAGGGCGAGGACCCATAGATTGACGCACTTGAGTTTCATTATCACTATCATCGTCAATGGCTTCATTTACAGGGCGAGGTCTTGGCATTTGACCCATTCCTGGTCGAGGCCCCATACCCGGTCTAGGTCTAGGTCCCATTCCAGGTCGTGGTCTAGGTCTTGGTCTAAAAGTTATATTTGGCAGTTAGAATCCACCTTCCAGAAGGATCCATTATATATTAACAATCTTCTGATAAATAGACAATACAATTAAGTATTTGGTGTGGAATTTCCAAAATGGATATGTGTGTCGTGCATGTCGTCACCTCACATTGTAATAATTCTTTGGAACAACAATACTTTAAAAGATTCACTCCTCTAATAGGATTGTTCTCACCGAGAAATGCAAACCGAACATTTTTAACAAAAACACTAATCTTTGATTCGACTCTTTTGAATTCTTGGCAGTGTCTTTGGGATATAATACAGGCTACAAAAACATAGTACAGAGCAAGTGATTCTACAATGTCTACAGTTCAAAACGGGAATCACTGATAATTGGCTGACTTTGGAAATCCAATTTCAGGTCCATTTTTTGTACTTTTCCTTTAGTATCGCGAATCATGCTTCGATGTAGTTACTAACAGTTGGCCTGAGTTTCGTAGTACCGGAAGAGAATATCAGCAGTCTGGGAGAGATTAGTTGGACTATCCTGTCGATTTCCAGAGAGAATGAAGAGGACGTTATACGGAAATTTGAAAAGAGTGGAGGAAAGCTTTTTACTCCGATTTACCTTCCTCCTCGAGCTGGTCACAAGGAAAACTATCAGCAGTCTAGAGAGTATTCGTGGAGCATCATGACACTATTTCAAAATCTGAAAAATGACATTCTGCCTCTTCCCTCTGTTTCTCAGTGGAAGAACGATATATTTTGTTGTCTAGCGTGGAATTTTTTGGGAACAAAGCTCGCTCTTTGCTTTCCTGATTCTACCGTGCATTTTTACAATATAAAGAAACAAATATGGGAAACCAACGTGCTAGATAATGTCAGCGTAAATGGAATACGTCAAATATGCTGGAAACCGGGAAGTCGCGATTCGGTTGCGCTAGCCACGCGGAAAGGGCTGTTTATATGGTCTACGATTGGTGAGCCGGAGTGCGAATCTCTCCATGTGATCTCGGATGCCTCCAACTTCCTTTCGGTACAATACAGTCCAAATGGAAGGTAATTTCATCATCATATTGACGTTCACTCCATAGATATTTGTGCGCAATTCGGAAAGATGATAGCTCTGTCTACCTGTACAGTACCTACAACTCCATTCTAATAAACAAACTGGGATCCTATTCCCTGCTTCCTCGCAAAGTCCTTTTTTCTCCCGATTCGCAACTCCTCGTCGTATTATCCGAGTTCGATTCCTCCTCTCCTCTTCTCTCCCTAGAAACACTCTCTCCATTTACAATCTCCTTACCTTTAAGCGAGAGGACTGGAAGCTGCCTCAACTCGGCCACATCGAAGACGTTTGCTTCTCCGCTTCTTCCGAGTATCTCTACGTAGCCTGCCACTCCGCTGGATCCACGGGATCCACCGTGCTCTACACTCTCCAGCTCAGCCACCAGTACAATCTCTTCTGTACGGCTATGCAACGCATTCGATGCAGATTCCTCCATCGTCACTTCCGTTCTCGATTTGTCCGCCGAGTTCGCAGCTTTCGGACCGCTCAAGCAGATCCTCGTCGATCCGCGCGGCCAGCGTTTGGTGTGCTGCTTTGACCACTGCAACGTGCTCCCGCTCTTCCGAATCGACCGCGAAGTTCGCTTCTCCTTCCTGTTTGATTGACGCCTGGGAGTCATCGATAGAGGCTATCTCAGCAATCCGATTCGGACCAATTCCGTCTCCGAACTCGCCTTCGCTCCGTGGGAAGAGAAGGGCAGTCTGCTCAGTGTGGTGTGGACCTCGGGGCATCTTCTCTTTTATCATCTTTCCTATTGTCTTGTTGGATGCAACAAACAAATCGATGCCAAACCTGCCGATTACTTGCGCTGCCAGAACTTCTTGCTCATTCTCTACGCATCAAATCACACACACACATCTCGCACATTCAGAATTGTATTCGCCTGCATTGCCAAAGATACAGTGTCCTTTGCCTTGTCCGAAGCACTCGTCAGAACGTCGCGCTGACGTTGCAACTCGTTCATCGTTCCAAGACCCACCTCTTCGGTTTCAAAGATAGTACGAGTCGCATCCTCGATCGTGTTGTTTTGTCTAACGGTCAGCGAGCCTAGTCCAACAAAACCTCTCCACAGCGGCAAGATCGTCCTCCATTTGTCTCTTCAACTCGCGAGAAGCCTACGAATCACATGACGATCCAAACTGATTACAGCGGCACCAGCGAACAAATCATTACGCTCGACCTGAACCTTCATGTTCGCAAGTTGTCTTCTTTTGGATTCGGCCTCTTTACGAAGAGCATCTACTTTCTGCACAACAGAAGACTTGATGGAGGGAGGCAGCATACGAATTTCAATATCGCACTGTTTAAAACAGTCCTCCGCTTCACTCAACTGTTTCTCGCATTCCTTCACAAAGGACACTACCAATTAGGCGAAGAAAAAGCGAGAAACGAGTGTTATCAGTACGACCTTGAGTGATCAATTCATCGGCACGTCGGAGAAGAGATCGAATCTCCGAGATATAGATATCACACATATCAGACATGGCTATTGAGATTTCGAGGAGATTTTGGAAAATGGAATATGGATTCAAAGCGGCATTTTGGCGTTTTGGTCTCTGTCTCTCAAACTCGATCTACAGCAATTCTCTATGGTCCAAAACGCTGGTATGGGCGTTCTTTGCTGGGTATTATGCATAGAAGAAAAGAAATCGAGCATAAAGGAGGCCGACTTAGCTCTTTTGTCATCAGAGGAAGAAGCATCGGTGAATGAAGAGAGTTCGAATGAGAGCCCCAAGGAGGAATTGTTGCAATCGGAGGAAGAAGAAACGAGTGGAAGTGAACTTGAGTCGGAGAAAATTGAGGTCGTTTTGATCGATTTGGCTTATTGCATAGTTGGAGCTTCCATCCATCACAATGAAGGACAATACTAGCTCGTATTCCGAAAAGGAGCTTTCCAAGTTCATATCAAACAACAAGGCGGAAGTTCTCTCCATCCTCACCGATATAACCACTCAACTTCCCAATCTGCAAAGTCAAATCGAGAAACTCAATTCGCTGGTTCAGTCGTTCCCTTCCTCCTTCACGAACGGTCTCTCCATCTTAGACTTGAAGTCCCAGTTCCTTTTATCCTACAACGAATACCTTCTCGTGTACATGGTAATGAAGCTGGAAGGCATCGACCTGCAAAGCCATCCTCTCTTCGAATCTCTCGTCCGCTTCCGGTACTTCTCTCCCTCTCTTCCTCTCACTCCCAGCACCCTTCTCGAGAAGCTCGACCCCCTCGAGCTCAAAATGAAAACCGAAATCGACAACGTTTTGAACCCCCAAACCGACTCTTCTTCCCTCAACCCCCTCACCTTCAAGCCCAATCTCGACGATCTCGACTCCGCCTCCGACTCCGACTCCGACTCCGACAAGCCCAGTCCCTCCTCCTCTTCGAAAAAACAGCTCTACGTGCCCCCAAAGATCGCTGCGGTTCCCTACTCCGAGCGCGACGCCGCCAAAGACGAGCATCGGCGCGAGCAGCTCCGCGATAAAATCGCGTCGAACGCGTTCATCAGCGTAGACTCGCCGGCTTCTCTGCATCGTAGGAACTGCGGGACGAGATCTCGGACCGGCCGCGCACGATCAACATGCGGAGCACCGGGGATTTGTCGCTGGATCGCGAGCTGAAGGAGCGGAAGGACTTCGAAGAGAGCAATTTCGTGCGCGTAAATCGGACGAGAGAGCAGAAAAAGAGGGAGAGGCAGGCCAGTCTGGCGCTGCAGAGGGGGCAGAAGATCGGGGAGTTCGATGAGTTCGATTCGCTGACGCGGTTGGCGAGGGAGTCGGACAAGATTGCCGGACAGATCGTGGATGAGGACGAGTTTGGAAACCGCGTGAAGCGGGTGCAGGTGGATGAGAGACAAGCGAAGCGCGGTGGAAGACGAGGAAAGAAGGGCCGTCGGTAGACGAACAGCGGCTCGTTTGCTCATCAATTTATTCTTTTTCGTTTAGTAGTGTTTATTCGTTTTGTTTGTTGGAGGAAGCGCGGAAGATGGTCGAAAAGCGAGTTGTTCTCTTTGGTTTGTCTGCAAATCCACCAACGGGGCTGGGTGGACATATGGGCATTGCCAAGTACTTTTCAGGTGCTGCTGAGTAAAATTGGACTTATCAATAGAACGGTATGACGAGGTTTGGATTCTGCCTGTTTTCCGACATGCTTACACATCGAAACGTACTCTGGAGACCTATGATAATAGGTACACTAGTAGTATATTTTGCTTTCTAGGTTGTTGATGTTGGATTTGTCCCTGAAGGATTGCAGCTTGGATACTCGGAATATTTTTGTAAAGACATACGAGCGGGAGTGTTTTTATGATCTCTATCCCAGCTCCAGCCCAACTGATCCGCATATCAGTGTATCTGCTGGTTATACGAATGTAATTGATCGTAGTACGGAACCATAGATCTCATTCGCTGGCTAAAATCGAAATATACCGATATTCAGTTTTCGATGATTGTTGGTGAAGACGCCTTCAACGATATTTGCAATAACAAATGGAAAGAAGTTTGACTTTAGATTTGAATAACGAGTCAGAGTGATCAGTTGCGCCACCTCATCCATTTCGAAGTGTTAAAGCGAAAGGGAGTTTCAGACGAGAAAGTCGAAGCCACTGCTGATTCGTCGAATGGAAAAAATGCGGAGGCGAGTGGAGGATCGGACGCCTGGTTCTCGTTTCATTGTGTGATGGATTTGGAGGCCATTAGCAGCACATATCCACAAACAATCGATTTTTTCTTTGCTTTGCAATGCTTTGCATTGCTTTTTGCTGTGTTTTCTTCATTAATACGATGGCGCGGAATGCGTCGAGCGAAGAAACGCTCTGCCAAATCGTAACGCCCAGCGTTGCTTCGTTTATCATAAAGCATCATTTGTATTCCTTCCATTCGGAGTAATGCTTCAATCACGAAGCGTTTTGCTGATTTTGTTGTTTGTTTCGATCCACGATGTTGCTTGAATCGAATTCCCCTCAAAACAACGAGTTCCATTCCATCTCCCGATCGAAATGATTGGATCTTAATTCCTTTTCTATATACACGCAGCACCCTCGTGTTTCATGCTCAAACACTCCAAACTTCGTTAATGACTACAAGCGACGGCGCTTTTCTCGAAAAAAGCAGCGATTTCAAGTTTCGTTTCCACCCTTCCGAGTACAAATAATACTCTCTCTGCGGATTTTTGCTCCTCCGAATGATCTCTCTCGGCGGCAACATCACCTCCTCGTGAGTCGTTAGATTGCGTAGCCCCTTTCCTTGACGCCTCTCCAATCGCAAACCAATCGCAAATGATAGAAGAACAAATTGATCACCGGCGCGATGAACCCGATGCAGAAGCAGCCGTACGCGATGCACGGCCACGTCCGCAGCAGAAACGGGCCCAACCGGAACGGACTCTGCTACAGATAAGCGCAAGAGAGAGAAAAGAGCGCACGGATTCGACAATAGCGATGAGATGAAAGAGGAAATACACGGAAATGACCACGATCCCCATGATGATCGTCCCCAGACAGAAAATCTCCGCGTTATCGCCATCCGCGCTCTCCTACCAGAAACCACACGAAATACCGGTGATTTCGAAGACCCACGCAGTTCGACACCCACGGACAGTGATGATCGAAATCGCGGATGCATCTGCGTCTCACTTCCCTTCCCCGCGTTTCACATGTTACAATGACGGCAGTGGAATCCCCGCGGGGGAACGAACCGATGACACACCGAGCAGAACCGCACGTAAATCTTCGCATAACTGAATCCTCGCTAACAAACAATCTTGTTATGATCCAGACACGGAAAACTCAGCAGCGGCACTTCCAGCAATTCCCCGCTCTGCTTCGCTCCTAACTGCGAGTAGATCCCCGCGGGGAGGAAAAACGACGAAGGGTCCGCGTCGTAGAAATACTCCCCATTTTTGGAAAGGTAATATTCGGTCCGATTTTTGTCAAATTTGGGAATGAGGGAAACGACCTCGTCCACCAATCGAATTCGCGTTTCCTACGTCAAAATACCCTCGAAAAGGGACTTCCCATTGTTCCGCGGGGATCTGCAAGTACCGGCAGATCGCGGGGAACACGGAGTTGTTCTGGGGATGAATTCCCGCGGGGACGTACCTCGAAAGCGGCGTAATGGACGGCGCGGAGGCCGTAGAAGTCGCGGATGGAAAGGTCGGGCGCCTGGGTCAAAAGAAGGGAAGCGATCTCGGCGTTGTCGCAGATGCAGGCGAGATGGAGGAGCGTCCGATGCTCGTTGTTGGTCTCGTTCGACTAGGGAGTGAAGGCGTGGGAGGGAGGGAGTACGATTTCGGGCATTAGATCGATTGCTCTCTAGAAATGAATTAACAGGAAGGCAGGTACGGTGATGTACTCCGTTTTGTTGCTACGGATGGAAACCATGAGGCCGCTGACACGGCGTTCCACTAAGATATTAGAAAAAAGGTAAAAATAAGGAGGTAATACGTTGTGTTGGAGGCGGAACATAAACATTGCACTCGCTTTGAAGTTTTGGTATGATCCCAGGTTCCGTGAGCCAAGTGAGAATTAGGTAATAGCAAGAACTATGGGAATGAGAAAGGGAGGAATGGTGTTACATCAAGTCCAAAACGCATAATATTGCGATAAGTGACCAGTGTGTGTTCAGACTACCAATAATAAAAGAATAGAAATCACAAACCATAAGTCCTTGAAGTTGAAGAGTAATGTCAGTAGTAAAGGAAGGAATAACTAAACAGAAAGGTTGCTCCACAATTATACAGATAGTAATGACCAGTAGACTCCCTTATCACCGCCCACATTAAAAATGATACGGTTTTTCCAAATGGGAGTGAAATTTCCAAGAAGGTTCCTATAGGGGTTTGACTCTTTGTTCACCATCTCGTAACCTCTATGGTACAAGATATTTTTGCTCATCAATGATCATTTTTAATTTCCTTTCCGCGATTTCTCCATTCTAAGCCAGCTGCTGATTCTGTCTCAAACAAACAAGCCACCCTTGCGTCACAAATCTCCGTTCGTACTCTTTCAGCGCCGCTTTGTAATGTAAATCAACGAACGATTCGGCTTCCTCCATGGAAACCTTTCTGTACACAACATACGCATCACAAAGAATCTCTCTCAATTTCTCTTCGTTTATAATCTTGTTGTCTTCCCCGATAATTCTATGCATCAATCCGCCGCTCCGCTCCAACTCTTTCATGCACCCTTCCTGCATCTCCTGGTTCGTAAACAGAGATAGGAAATCCACAAAGAACAGAACATTTTTACGCCATTTCCGATGCTCCAAGAGATACATCATCATCACGATCCCGCTCGAAATGATCGGAATCGCTGTGAAAATGATCGTCGGAAGCGGAATTGAGCGAATCCACGAGAAATAATCAAACTCGGGGATCATCGAAATCACGGCGCAGCAGAGGTACTACAATCGAGATTCCCGCTTAGTTCGACCATTTGCATCCGGAACGCGAACCATTTCTGCAGACCGAAAAACAGACTGTCCATCAGCATGGCGAGCCAATCTCCCAATTTCGATTGAGTAATCACGTTCAAAATCGTCAGAATCCACCCAATAAACGAAGGAACGCTGCTCAGCGCCGCTGTCTGCGCCGGGGTCGCCACAGCAAAGAAATACAGAACGCGCAGCGCTGCAAGCGATCCGATGGCGTAATAAGCGGTGGGATAGGGTTGCCAGCCAAGAGCGATCAATAGAACTCAAAACAGATGACAAACGACACGTACCAGAGAACACGAACATGATGCCGCTCGTTTTACCAAAGAGAAAGGAAACAACTGCGGGAACCTGCGAATCCTCCGCTGAAAACTGCGACTGCGCTTGGAAGTTCGAACTTGCGTTCACTCCTGCTTGGAAGCCTTGGCTGAAGTTTCGCATGAATTGCTCGTATTCTTCGTTCATCGCGGCATTCGAGCTTGAAGAAGCATCCGAATCAGCGTTTACGTTTGCATTCGGGGGTTGACCCATGAGAGTTCCAAATAGACCCATTAGCATTCGCTGAAATTCCTCTTCTTCAGAAAGGGAATTCGGCGGCGCTCTAGGCTTAACAAAAAAGAGCTTTCAAACGAGGATGGTTCTTGGCTTGCTTGCTTTGCTATTTCCGTATTTGTGTCAATTTCTCCTTCAATCTCCTCGTCTTCTGTAGCAGGATCAGGGAACATTGCTTCTCCTTGTACAGTAGCAGGTTCTGTACTGGTAGTTTCAACAAAGGAGGTCGTTTCTCTGTTTGGCGACTCGGTAGTGCTTGCATCTGCGTTCGCCATCAACTCCTCCCTTTCTTTCATTAGTTTCTAGTGTTATTAGCTATCTAATTGCATAGATACAGCACGTCTTCGCTTTTGAAGAATACTTGACATGGTGATTTCAGATTAATAAACATGGATGGTTGCTGTAATATTTCTGAGTGTGAAAATAAATAGGAGGGGGTATTAAAATATACTGAGCATGTGAAGGTGAACTGTAACGTTATATTCAGCATTTGGGGTGAGGATTCGATTTGGGTTTATTTTATTTTGGATTTTGGTATTACAAGTATAAAAAGTAGCAACATTATGAGTTCTGCAAAGAATAGTGAAGGTATTTCTGAAACCTGTGAGATAGGCTACCTTTTACGTTTTAGGATTATCAATAAATAAGCCGTAGTAAAAATGAATCCAAAAATGGAATGAGCATATGACAAAATACTGACGACTTGTAAGTGTGAAAATTAAATGAGCACATGATCTGCTTTAATTTACTAATTTTTTAATTATGGCTAACGCTGTGGATAGTATGACTACTTATTTTATTTATATATAGACTCTTTGCAACAAACGAAAGAATCGAGATATTTACTCAACGACTACATTACGAAAGAAAGGAAGGTTATTTCAGTGAGGGGAATTGAGTACGAAGTTCAACTATTTCAGGGAGATCATTCTAACGAGTATTTGCTAAGTGAAATGAAAGATGGGAAGGTTGAAGGTCGCTGTCAATTGTTCAATTGTGGAATCTTGACTCTAGCATGGATGATGAAAGATGGCAAACGAATCGGTGGAGTGACAGAGTATGAGAATGGAATTGCATTGAAAAAAGAAAACTGGGATTCGATATTGGGGAAAGGAGATCGAAGAATGATCGAAAATAGAAAAGAAGGATTGATCATGACAATTCAATGTAAATGTGAAAATGGTGAAGATGAAAGTGGTGATATTGTTGTGGTAATATATCGAGGCGGATTTGATGAAGAAATGAATCGAAATGGTTATGGAATTGAATATGATCGGGAAACTGGTAAAGAGAAACTTGAAGGGTGTTGGGAAAAAGACAAATTGATCCGAATAGTTCGTGAATTTGATCCCAAAAACAACAAAATGATCGAATATGCTGAAAACAATAACAATACTGACGTACTGAATCGTATTCCAATCTATATGGGAGGCTATTGTGAAGTAAAAGGTGAATATGTGCGAAATGGAATAGGGTATTTGTTTGATGACAAGACTGGAGCAGCAATACATAAAAGTGAGTGGAAATGTGGAGTTGAGAATTATGGTGGAGTTGATTTGTATGATGGTTGGTATGTGAATGGAATAAGCGAGAGTATTCGATGTGTGTTGAACAATGTGGATCCAAGAGATTGGAATACAATATCTAAAGTAGATGTGTCTGCTTTTAAACTCGAAATTAGCAGAAGTTCACAATTGAACAATGTGAGTCTGGATGTAACCGATTTGGTAATAAAATCGAATAGTTGTGCTGATTTGTACTCATTGGATTTAAGCAAATTCAAATGGCTGGAATCAATCGAAATCGGCAATTATAGTTTTGGATCAGTGAAAACATTCAAAATCGATGGATTGAAGCGATTGCAAACGATCAAAATGGGAATCAATTCATTTACTCAGAAAAAGAATAGTTATGGGAATGATATATCGAAATCATTCCACATACTTAATTGTGAATCATTGGAATCCATTCAAATTGGTGAATGGAGTTTCAGTGATTTTGCTGGCGACTTTGAATTGAAGAATCTACCACGATTACAATCTATTCAAATTGGTTCAATTAGAAGTTATGAATCATACAATTTCTATCATAGTTCGTTTGTGATTCGAGGTATTGATATGATATTGAATATTTGAATGATGCATAGATCTTCCAAAACTACAATACATTACATTAGGTAATGGTTCATTCCAGTATTCTTTATCAACAATAATCGAAAGTACTGAATGAATTTGAATAATATGATTGATATAGATCTTCCATCATTACAATCCATTCAACTCGGTAATATTGCACTTGTTGGTAGAGATGATTCTTTATGTTCATTGACACTTCGAAGTAATATTGAATTGATTCGAAATGATTTGCTTTGTAGATCTTCCAAGTCTAAATTCCATTACTGCTAACGGATCTAGTTTCAAATATCCTCGTGTAGTGACATTGGAAAGTATTTTTGAACATTGAATATTGATAGTATTTAGATATTCCAAATCTTCAAAATGTCGAGCTACCTCTTTCATTCCAGAAAGTTCGATCGAAATCCATTTCGAGTACAGTTTGATTGATTTGATTTGATTCATAGATGTTCCTCCCATTCTCGCTGATCTCGTGAATCCCAAGGCTCCAGAAAAGGCTTCGAGCCAAGCCAAAGGAAAAAACTAAACCCACGGCCTTCTCTGCCTCCCTTCAATCCATTATCCTTCTGAAGATTCAAAAGAGATAACGAGTCCCTTCCTTGTTTCCTCAAACAAACAAACAAACAAACAAACAAGCACACAAACACTCTTATTTCGCGTTCAGCTTTTCCTCCACGCGCGCTCTCCACGACCTACCGATCACCTCCTCTGCACACTCCCACTTGGCGTCCTGATACTCGGGCTGAATCTCCAGACATCGATTGAAGCTGTTCATACTCTCCTTCAAATCGTCCATGTAATAATAGCAAATCCCCAGATTGTGCCACGTCACATAATGCTCTCCGCACAGCTCGATGCTCTTCTTGAACAGCCGAATGCTCGTCTCATAATCGCGCAGCCCCATCGACAATCTCCCCAGATCGAAGTCCACATCCTGCGCTCAACCCTCTCCGCCAGCCCCACCTTCGACGCCGACAGCGGATAGAAGTTCGCCGCGATGTGCAGGATGTCGCTCTTGAAGTCGCTCTGCAGCCGATCGCTCGCGTACGGAATGTGGTCCACCAGCACCTGCTTGAACTTGTAGAACACCTCGCTCTCGAACCGGCTCAGCCGGATCAGCGCCAGGATGTTCTTCAGCGACGGCGACGGCGTCTCGTCCCGGATGCACCGCTGCAGCTGCGAGAAGCTGTCCGGGTCGAACGCCAGCAGCACGTTCTGCTCCTCAAATCCGCACGCCTCCTACCTCCCACGCGAACTGAAACTCCTCCAAAGGCGTTTCGCCGAGCGCGAAGGCGGCGACCTGCAGCCCGGTGTAGTACGGCGTGTGGAAGCTGGCGCCCCCGCGGGACAGGAAGACTTGCCGCAGCGCGTGGAAGTTGGCCATCATGGAGAAAGAACCGTGGATCGCGATGTGCGGGTTTTCCTTCGTTAACCGCAAATCTTCCTCGTGCGCGTGCGCTTTATCCGCGGTTATCAGAAGGAACTGGCCGCGAGAGAGCGACTCCAGCGTGCGGATGAAGCGCAGCGCGCCGAGAGGAAGCAGCACGTTGAGCGTTTCGTTGTTTTGGAGGTAGCTGGGATTTATGGAATTCCAGAAATCGGACTGGTGGACGAGGTCGTGCAGAACGGGGTCTTGGAAGTGCGCGTCCACGTCGGGGATGGGCTTGTACGACCACTCCAGCTTCATGCGGCTGATTATGTCGATGTCGGTCGCAGAGACGCTGGACATGAACGGGATGAGGAGGAGAGAGCTTACTTCGGGTCGGCCAGGATTTTGATGCAGCCCTCGCTGACGATCCCGTTGTTTATACTGATACTTTGCTCACGCAGACCGTTGAAGACGTAATTGGCAATCGCTATCACTGGCGTCTCCACCGTTTCAGATGAGAGTTTCGCTCCGCTGATTTGCAGAGAAAACTCGGAGTCTTTCTCACAATCTAGAATGAAGGGCCGAGAGCGCTTCTACCAAAAACTGCAAAATCAACGACGCCCCGATTGATGTGCTCCGCCATTCGCTTGTGACTCTTACAGAAATCCACAATGTTCTGAGTAAAGTCAGAAATCACGTAAAGGTATGGCTTCGGAACTCCTAACGGATCAGCTGCAGCCTACTCTTCTTACCTTCCGGCATAAACTCAGCAAGCTCCTCTAAATGGTTCAGAATCAAAAAACCCAGTTTTCCATGACCTGCTCCCACTTCTACGATATAGATAGGTTTGTCCTTTTTAGCATCCGGTCTACATGTCATCCAAATCCACCCTAACACACCTAGAGTAATAATCATTGATATAACCCAATATGCAGTTTGCATATTGATAGGCAATATAACTATTTGAAGTAATAAACTGGGGAACGATCGCTTCAGTCCAGCAAGCAGGTCCCTTGTTGATATAGAACTGGTTTTGCAAATCCCAAATCATTGATTCATGAAGGGGTGTTGCTTCTTGTATTACAACGTTTTCCGATGCCATTGCGCTTTCGTTAAAAACTGTGATTCAAGTCTTTTTGTAGGAAAACCGCGGTTTTCACTCTTTTGTTGAAACTATACGAATCTGACTCCAGAAAGTGTCGCTAGAGTCATACTTTGATAGAATTTGCCGACAATAGGCGCACCGCCCGAAATTACGATGGACTTTTCATTCAAAGAAGAAGAGTTCGGATTTGATCATTTTCTATTTGATGATGTGTTTTTTCCAGTTACAGAAGAGCGCAACCAATTAAAGAGAGGTGCTAAGGAGATCTCTGGTAACAATCTACCTCAAAGTCAGGACGAATCGGATCTTTCGGTTTGAAATGGTGAATTCGGTTAATTTATAGTTTCCAGAAAAGGTGTTGGGACAACAGATCAAAGAGAAAACGAATACATCGGCTGTTTCGAAAAGAACATCGATTTACCTATCTGCTGTACGATTCGAATTTTGTTTTGAGTTAGATTATGGAGGACATTGCAAAATATGTGTTGGATGAGGCAGGAAAGGATAAGGATAAGTTCATTTTGCCCGAAAGTCGATGTATCCGCGTGGATGACGTCGAGGTTGCCTCATTCGTTTTTCTCAACTTTTTAGAAAGTGCTATCCTCTGCAAATTTGTTAGCCGTGGATTCTGAAATTCTGTCGCGATCGTTTCTATTCGGAACCTCCATCTGCGTTGACAGCATCAACGAAAAGCTTCTCCTCCAAGTAATCGAATCCATCACGAACTCTTTCAACGATTTTGTGGACGTGGAGCTTCTCCCTGTCAACCCTTCTCCTCTCCTCCAAGACTACATTCTCTGCCATCATTCGAGCGACGAAATCGTTCTTTCCATGGCGTACTGCGAACGCGTTTCCACGGTTTCTCCCTTTTGATGTCTTGACTGGATAGGCTTTTCAGTTCCTATTCAAATCGAAGCAGCTTTTGCTGGTGCCGCGCAGTCTTCGCTTATTGCTCGCCGTGCTGATATCCAGAGGCAAAGAAGTACCGATTTTTTAATCGAATTCGAATAGAAACACGCGTCATTGCTTCTGCTGCGCAACTACGTCAACACATTCCACTCGAACGCTTCGTTCACGCTCGATTTGTTCTTGGACTGCGACGACAACGCGTGTTTCTACGCGGATTACAACGCGTACAGAAAAAGCAAAGCGAGCGGGAAGGAAGTTTTCTGCGCCTCGTCGATCCAGGCACATTTATTCACGCTGGAAATCGAGCAGTTCGTTTGTTTTAAAATTCTGAGCGATCTGTTAAAAGGTCGATGGGTTGTTCCTGTTTGTTTTGTGTGTGCCGCTTCACTCTGCAGATTCCGCGCTATTGCAAGCCGGAACCGTGGGAATTCGAGCAGATGATGAAGGTGGCTACTGGCAAAGTGCAGCCTTTTGAACGCTGCTCCGTTTCGCTTCAGTTCGAAGTGAAATCGTTGGAAATGGAGGGAAAGATCGTGCTGTCGGACCAGCAGAGCGTTTTGAAAAAGTATAGCACGTTGAAACGATTTGAATATGTGTCTCCATGGCACGATGAGGATTGTAAAGATAAGAATAAGGTGCATGATGGAATGAGTTTTCATGTAGACTGTTTTGTGTAATCTTGCACTGCTTTGCTTTTGTCCTATTGAGATCATTCCCGTTTTGTATCATGTTGCATTTGATTGTGTGTGTGCGATGTGTAGTACTTGTATTACCAGTGTCATATTCTCTTCTACACGCCTCTGCCTGACAATCATCCTTCCATTCGAAACATTCTAGAGTTGTTACGTGGACCCATCTTGTAATTTTGCAAGTCGTCTGACGCGACTGTAACTGATCTGTTGTCTACCCTTTTAATTCCATTCCTCTCTCTTTTCTATATAAATCACTCCCGCCTATCACTTTAACAATACAACTCCTCAAACTCATCTTTGTCATGCTTGTTACTTTGTTACTTTGTTTGTTTGTTTTGAGAATGAATTCTGGAATTCCACTTTTCAGTCTATCTTTCCAATCTCTCCTTTGGGAAATCGCTTTTTACGATGGAAACAAATGAACCGAAGGAAAAGCGCCTTAAAGTTTAAATATTGAACATTCGTTGATCGTAGCTTTCCACTCTGGAATCAAAATATGGCACTCAAAAGCTGACGGTTATAGATGATTCAATTCGAAAACAAGTACTAGAGGTAACAACTCGTGAGATTACGTGTTTTTGTAGGAAATGGAAGCAATTGAATTGGAATCATCGAAGGATCCATTTTTGACGGTATAGGACACTGATTTTTTTACGAATAGAAGAATGAAACCTATCGCTTGTTTGGAGTGTCATCGTTTTCTACCAAGCACAAGAATCTATTGTGTCTGCGCTTTGATACATGCTTTCACGGACATTATTTTGAAATCTATTACATCTTTGTCAAATTGCTTAAAAGGGACAAAGTAGTTCCCAAAATCGTTGCTCACACGCTCCCTTCGTTTCTTCCCTTGGAAGAATGGGAGAGAGAATGTCTCTCTAGTGACTTGCAAGTAATGCGTTTCCGTCCTTGTTTCCCACCAGACATTCACGCAGTGCGTTTCTCTTCATCTCAACAGTTTCATCGCCCGCCGCGAGCAGTGCAAGGCGGTGCAGGCAGCGTATCCCTCGTTGGAATTGACCGCTTCGATGGGATACACGCACGTTTCGATCGCTTTCGAGCATTTTCGCCTTCAACTCGCGTATTCCGCTGATTCGCGCCGTCCGCACAGCGTGGAGCAGACGGTGAGCGAGGCTGCGGAGTCGTTTCCGCGTGCTGCTCGCGAGCAGATCAGTCTTTTATCACAACACAAGTCGGATTTCGAACATCGCGATTTGTTGGAAGTGTTGTCCGATTGGATTTTGTAGCGTGTTTTTTATACAATCTATGAGCAAAGCAATGGAGCCATGAAATAAAATGAACCCATGAACCCTTGTCCCCATGAACCCACTGGAACAAACAAGCAGTCAATCAATCAATCAATCAATTAATCAATTAATTAATCATCACCAGCCTTACAGCAGGTTCCCCGCCTTGTCCTCTGCGCGCTTCCTTCTCTACTTCTCATCTCCGTCCTCCTCCTCGCCTTCCTCCTCCACCGTCTCGATCGTTCCCTTGTACTGATTCGCACTCGTCGCGGGCGCCTTCTGCGCTTCGTCCTTGGCTTGTCCCGCCTCGTCCACGGCGCCCTCGTTCTTATAGAGCTGGAGGAAGGGAGAGCGATACTTCTTTCCCTCGTAGGTGATCTTCCAGTCCACCACCCATTTCTCGATGTGCGTGTCCTGCGTGAGGAAGAACGACACATAATCGCTCGTGATGCTGATCGACCGCACCGGGATCGTCGGCGAGAAATTCGCCTCGCAATGCTGGTTCGCCAGCTTCCAGATCTCCACCTCATTGCTCACGATCACCGCGTATTTCCCGTCCGCCGTCAGATCGAAGCATCGGATCGGTTCCTTGCACGTCAGCTTCAGCACCTTCACCGGCTCCGGGTTCGTCTGCGTGAGGTTGTACGCCATCAGCTCGCGGTTCTCCGTCGCCACCATCAGATGCGTGGCGTCCACCGCGCGCGCGTAGACCACTCCCTGCCCCACGTGCGCGAACGTCAGCTGGTTGAACATCTCGTCGAACACCAGCAGCGCGCCCGACGCGCAGATCATCGCGAACGCGTTTCCGGACGGCAGGTACACCAGGCCGCGCACGTTCCCGCAGTCCGTCTCCTTCTCCGCCACCAGCCGCTTCGCGTCCAGGTCGTAGATCGCCACGCGGCCCTCGCGGTCCGCCGCGATCAGACGCCGGATTCCGCGCTCCTTGCTCTCGAAGATCTCGCAGCAGCTCGCCGCGCGGCGGAAGTCCTTCACCGTCATGTACACCGCGCCCGTCTCCGCGTTCAGCACGCAGATCGACCCGTCCGCGGCGCCGGTGGCCACGAAGCGCGAGGGACTGAGCTTCGGCAGCGTGCTGATCGCGGTCACCATGTTTCTAGGCGCTCAGAGAAATAAAATGCGCTCACTTGTGCGCCTTCTGCCGCTGGATCACGTTGTACGCCGCGTCGAAGAGAATCACGTTGCCGTTGAAGTCGCCGGCGATGAGACGCGGCGTCGCGACGTCCTTGCCCACCGTGCAGAACGCCAGCACGGACACGTTGCCGTCCAGCGTCTCCTCGAGAGCCTCCACCATGAACAGCGCGCCGCACTCCGAGTCCGTGTGCTCGGCGATCTGGCCCCACAGCTGCACCAGGTTCGGATCCGTGACCATCGAGCGGACGTTCCGCGCCTCCCACACCAGATCCAGCGCCTGCGCGTGACGGCTTCTCTCCACTGCGCCTACCTGCTTGTAGTGGCGGCGGTTGATGTGCTCCTGCGCGCGCTGGCGCATCAGGTAGCAGCGCTTCACGACGGCGATCTGCACCATCCAGTCCTCCTTCTCCTTCTCCGAGGTGGCGTTGATGTAGAAGTCCTTCCCCGACTTCGTCTTGATCACGAACCCGTTCGACTCGTTCATGTCGTCCTCCAGTCTGCACGCCATCGCCCTCTCCGTCCGGCCCTACTCCAAAATGTCCTCCATGCAGATCTTCCCGCGCGGCTTCTTCTCCGTCTCCGACTTGTAGTACTTCAGCTCGTCGCGCAGCAGCACGAAGCTCCGCTTCTTCCAGTTCCGGATGATGTGTCCCTGCTTCACCAGATAGCCCTGCTTGATGATTCCCTTGCGCTGCGTGTTGAACGTGCGCAGCTCGCGAATCGCCGAGCCCAGCTCGATCTTGCTCGGCAGCGTGCTGGTTCGGAACCACTCATGATTCAGCACCTGCTGCGCGTCGTATCGCTGCGTCGGGTCCACCACCAGCAAGTGGCGAATCAGGTCCTTCGCCTGGTCGCTCACGTTGTCCCAGTACGGCGAGTCGAACCGGTACTGCCCCGCGCGGATCTTCCGGAACAGCCGCGGCTGGTTGCTGTCGTGGAATGGCGGGTAGCCGCACAGCAGGATGTAGATGATCACGCCCAGCGACCACATGTCCACCTCCTACGCGTCACTCCTTCCTTCCTTCTGCGCCCACCGTTCCGTAGAACTGCCCCTTCAAGATCTCCGGAGCCACGTACCACGGGCTGCCGCAGTCCGTCGCCAGCCGGCCGGTCTCCGTGCTCGACGTGTTCTTCGCGAACCCGAAATCGGCTACGCGTCACGGCGTCGCAGCGCGCCTACCGATCTTGATCGCGCCCGTGCGACTGTCCACCAAAATGTTCTCCGGCTTGAGGTCGCGGTGCGCGATGTTCTTCTTGTGGCAGTACCCCACCGTCTCCACCAGCGTCTTCACCACCGCGCGCGCCTCGTTCTCGTTGTAGAACTTCTTCTCCACGATCTTATCGAACAGCTCGCCGCCTAGTTCTCAGCACGCCGCCGCGCCCAAACCGTCCACCAGCTCCGACACGATGTAGTAGTAGTCCTTGTCGTCGTAGAAGCCCTCCAGCCGCACGATGTTCGGATGGTCCAGCTACGCCTCACGCGCTCGCCGCGCGCCCACCTGCCCCATGATGAACACCTCGTTCTTCAGCGACTGCACGTCGCTCTTCTGCAGATCGCGCTTCTTTATGCACTTCACCGCGTACCGCTGGTGCGTCTGCTTGTCCACCGCCGCGTACACCACCGAGTACGCGCCCGACCCCAGCGTCTCCTTGATTTCCTGCGTCCCATTCCAACCCCTCCCCTACATAGCGATTGCTGAACCCGTGCTGCGCCACGCCGCGCGACGCTCCCTCCACCGACGCGCCCGGCGACGCGGCCGACGCGCCTGACGCTCCGGACGCAGCCGACGCCGCGGGGGTGAGCGAGCTGGCCGAGGAGTCGGACGAGGGCTCCTGCGAGCTGCGGAGCTTCATTCTGCAGGGAAGACAACCCGGGAATGCGTACTGCTGACAGTTCTTGAGGCAGTAGTCGATGGAGCTGTTGAGGTCGTTGAAGAGATGCTCGATGTCCTGCGTCATCAGGTTGGAGTGCTGCATCTCCACGCGGATCCGACTCGCCATCTTGCGGACCTGCTCGCAGTGCGACATCAGCTCGTCGGGAGACATCAGACCCTGCGATTGTAAGAAAAGAGTGTACCCGCAGAAGCCTACCGTGAACGCAATGCGGCCAAAAAAGGAGGCAAGGCGAAGAATCACGTCCTGGAACGAGTCCTCGCGATAGGTCCCTCCAAAAGCGGTCAGCATGCGGTTAAAGTAGGACATGGAGTCCTCCATCGTGTCCTCGTCGTCCTTCTTTACAAAAGCGCGATTTGCAGAGTCTGGAACAGGCTTGTTCTCCTTGGCCGCCAACAGAGCCTTCATCCAGTCTTCTCTCGTTTCCTCATTGTCAAAACTGAGGGTGTAGTCCTTATTAAAGTCATCGTCCGTTTTCACCAGAAGACAATATTCTAGCGGTGATACGTGCTCCAATTTAGATACTGCGGTCATCCATCTCGGTTTTTTCCAGATCTGTGATCCTTTCCAACGGAATCTTCCCCTTTACCACTTCTCCCTAAAACTAACAAATTGGTCACTCCCTAACGTCGATATATGAGATTTCAGAATAGGTCAGCACGAAAAGTCGCTTTTTCCAAGTTTTTCGTATGTGGCCCTAGACGGTGAAAACTCTCGCGAGCCCACTACCACCTTCTCTATATAGCCGGATTTCAATGCGTAGCGCGTCAACTCTTTCTCCATTGAGATATATTAAGATCCAACGTTACCCGTGAAACTCCCACCCAACACGTTGAATTGGAAAAAAAAACAAAAAGAAGAAATTTCCTGGTTTGTAACAAACAAACAAGCAATAACAAATCATGCATATACTGCAAACTTAAATGCGGTTCTCCTTTCCAGAGAGATGCTGAGCATTCACCTTTCCAGCTCCAGAGCGAAGCTGCTTGGCTCCCTGCTTGGTCTTCTTCGACTTGGTACGGACCCAGATGTAGAAGGAAGCAATCGCGATGATCACCAGAAGCAGCAAAACCAGAATAATAATCAAAACAACGGAGACTGCGCCAATCGTCTTTCTCTCCTGGAGAATAGGGTTCATGTAGAACTCGATCGTGAAGGTCTTGTCAGGAAGCAGGTTCTGCAGGTTGGTCTGAATCGAAGCCAGATTGCCTCGCACCAGAGTCAGAGTGCTCGAGCCAGACTCCTGAGGAAGCGTGAAACGGATCCAGAAGGCGCTCATCACAGACTCACCATCGAACTCCTCGACCACGTTCTTCACCTTCCACAGCTCCAACAGAGACATATCCACCTGGCTGGAGGTGGCGACGGCAGCAACGATCACGTTCAGCGTAGAAGGATTCTGAATCTCTTCAGGGGTCATCTGGAGTCTGTAGGCCACATCGATGTACACGGTTCCCTTGGGAGGATTCGTCGAACGGCACTCTCCGTCATCGATCTCACCCCAAGTGGGATTCAGCTCCTGCAGACTGCAGTGGCGGTACATCTCTCCAATGAAGCCCTCAGGGCAGTTGGCCACCGAAGTCTCATCGGACATCACACCAGGGAACGCGCCATCCTTCACGCAGTAGTTCAGCTGGCAAGACTGAATATCCACATCAGCAATGGCCACTCTGTTGTTTCCAGAGAAGGTTCCGTACATCTCGAACTTGTACTGGCTGTACGAGTTCATGTGGTCCATCATCATCCACTCCTTGGCCTGCAGACGCGACTCGAACATCACGTGCTGCTCCACACGAAGCAGAGTCTCCCAGGTCACACCATCGGTCGAACCGTACAGAGCCCACGAAGTGGGATCACGATCCTGCGTTCTGCTGTTGGAGGTCAGAGCGATCTTGTTGACCCATTCCATACGATCGAAGTTGTAGGAGTAGACCGTCCAAGCAGGAATACCGTTCTCAATCCAAGTCGTAGAAGGATTACGATCCCAAGCCTGAGCAGCGGACTCGTAAGCCTGGTTGAAGAACGAGGACTCGGTGATCGAACCACTATCCACACGAGAGATACAGTTGCCCTGAAGAGGATTCACAGCGCCTCTGAACTGGATCTGACCAGTGGTCGACTGGTGCTTGTGGATCTCCACAGCAATCACGTTGTCACCGTCCTGCAGCAAGTAACCAGGAGCCGATCCAATACGAATGTAGTATCCATCGTACATGGCGTTGGCAGTGGTGGAGGAAGACACGGATCCGGACTTCATGTTGCGACGGTACACCTCGTTGCCGTTCAGATACACAATCACTCCATCCTTGTACCACAGACTGAACTGCACAAGAGGGTAACGAATCGACTCGGTCAGAGTGAACTTGTAACGAGCATAGAAGGTGTTCTCGTCCCACTCTCCGTACTCCATCTGTCCCAAGACAGTGTTCGCCCATTTCGAGTCATCATAATCAACGCTGTTCCATCCGCTCTTAGCACGCTCATTGACCAAGATCTTCCAGACCATGCTCGCGCTGCTACCAGCAGTCAGAGTGAAGTATCCGGTATACTCTTTACCACTAGCGAGAGTGAACTCCTGAAGCAGAGTATCCTCCATATCGTACACCTTCAGATAGGCACCGCTCGTCCAACCATCACCATAAGTATCTCTCAGAACCACATGGTAGTCTCCAGAAGGAACGCACAGAGAGTTCGTGTAAGTGGCATAGTTCGAGAATCCGCTACGCTGCAGAACAAGCTCACCAGCACTGTTGTACAGCTCATAAGACTCTTCACCTCCATAGTTGTTCGTGCTCTTCACCAGCTTCAGACCGTTGCTCAGACCGTCCTCACCGCACTCCGTGAAGTGCACAGTCAGGGTAGCGCTCGCTTCTCCGGCATCTCCCTTCGCAGTAACGGTGTACACAGTCTTGACGAATCCGTTCACCTCAGCATCAATACGAGGAAGGAACAGATCAATCTGGAAACCAGAGCCAAGAGAAGGCGACACAGTAATCTCCTTGTAGCATCCGTTCGGGGTGATATCCACGGTGTCCATAGGCATTCCAGCGTACACGGTAGTCTCCGTCAAGGACAGAGTCAGCTGGGTGAGAGGCTTCAAAGCAGTAGGGAAGTCCTGCAGATCCACATAGGGAGCGCTCTCGGACTCGACGTAAGTGTGGTGAGGAGGGAAACGGTTTCCATCGGGACGGTAGATCTGAGTGTAGCATCCAGACTCAACCTGGCAAGTAACCTCGATCTTGTTGTTGGCATCGGGCTTAATGCAAATCATCTTATCGTTTCCAGCATAGACGTTGGAGAACTGGCAGTTCACCATCTGAGCGTTGCCGTCGGAGTCGAAGTTACCTCCAGAGCACTGAGCCACATTACCATTATTCACGATCTTGATACTACCGTTACCACTCATCATACGAATGATATAGATATCATTGGTCCATGAGCCACCGTCATTGCCCTTGCAAGGATTGACAGTCAGGCGGAAGTTGGTGGTAGCGACACCTCCAGGGTTCGAGGCGGTGACGGTGTAGGTAACATCGGTCATAGGCTCGTAGGGAGTACCAGAGATCACTCCAGTTCCAGCATTGAAGGACAGTCCGTAAGGAAGCTCCGGAGAAATCGAGTACGTCACTCCAGAACCACTGGTGGCAGACACAGTGATCTGAGCGAAGCTCGCTCCAGGGTTCGCGGTGATCAAAGAGCCAGCAGGAACCGTGGATCCGCTGCGAGAGATGGTCACACCGCCTGGAGGCAGCTCGTAGAATACATCGAACGCAATGGTGGTCTTCAGAGTACCCACGCTCGTAGGTCCGTTTCCAGTGCAAGTGATGGTGTACTGAGTCAAGACCTGCTCGGCGGTAGGAGCACCGGTGATCACACCAGTACCAGCGTTCATGGTCAGTCCGCTAGGCAGAGCAGGCTGGACGTTGTAGTTGGAGCAGCTCGTGGCGTAGAACAGACGAGGCTGATTCTGGACAATCTGGACATTCTGGAAGTAGTGGGCACGCTCATAATCGTAGGAAAGCATGGAAGGCGCAATATGGAAAATGTTGGCAGCAGGAATCACTTCCCAACCTCCAGAAGGAGCCTGCCATTCCAGAACCATACCCTTGGTATCGGTCTTCTGCTGATAACGGATACGGTAGTAGTAGTAACCGGTGGAAGAAATGGGAATGGTCTTCTCCGCAGTGGAGTAGGCACCGCAAGTCCAACGATCAATTTGCAAAGTATCTTCAATACTGAACACACGGCAAGAATCATCGCAACCCACACGAATCTTCCAGTTACCGATCTCGGTGAAGTTCAGATAACCTTCCCACTCAGCAAAGAAGTAGTCGGACAAATCGGTAGGCAGGCCGCTCCACACTCCAGACTGGCTCTGAGGGAAGTTGATCTGGCTATCAGTCTTGACGACCTTCAACTCCATCTGGGAAGGAGCCAGGTTCGTGTACATACACATTTCGGGATCGTAAATCTTGTAGTAAGAAGCGCGGAAACCAGGAAGAGGAGCAGCAGAGATCACAATCTGGATCTCAGCCGAAGCGACTCCGTTCACTCCAGTGGCAGTCACAGTGTGCTTGCCATTGTACTCAGCAGTGGGCTTACCACGGAGCTGACCACGGGAAGGATCCAAAACCATTCCATTGGGCAGAGCAGGCTCCACAGTCCAGCTGTTGGCACCTCCAGAAGACATCTCAGGCGTGTACACCTTCAGCTCGGCATTCACGTAACCCGTGATCAGAGGATAGGTGATGAAAGTAGGTCCACGTCCTCCCACAGTCGTCATCGTGTTGTCCACGTACATCTGGTCAATACCAGCGTCCGTAGAGGCAAACTTCAGGTTCAGAACGGCAGCTCCGTTGACCTCCAGAAGACATCTCAGGCGTGTACACCTTCAGCTCGGCATTCACGTAACCCGTGATCAGAGGATAGGTGATGAAAGTAGGTCCACGTCCTCCCACAGTCGTCATCGTGTTGTCCACGTACATCTGGTCAATACCAGCGTCCGTAGAGGCAAACTTCAGGTTCAGAACGGCAGCTCCGTTGACCTCCAGGAACTTCACCACGAACAGGTGACGACCCACGGCAAGGCTCACAGTGGCATACTCAGGGCTCGTTCCACGGCAACCATCACGATTGATCACAGGCTCCTCCAGCGAATCAATGTACAGGAAGGAAGCATCATCCGAATCCATCTGGAAGTTGTAGTTTCCCTCCACCAGCACGTTGAAGTATCCGTACATGTACGAAGTGTAGTAATCACGGAAACGCTCATCCAGACCAGGCCAAGTGTTACCCGATCCCTCGTAGTAGGAATCGGCAAAGTCCAGCTTCGTTTCAATCTGGCAGTACTGAGCAGGGTTCTGGTAGTAGTAATCGAAGGCAGGAGTTCTGCACTCAGTGGTACCAGTCCAGTAGCATCCAATGAAACCAGGGGTGGTCATTTCAGCCTCAGCGCGAATCAAGAACTTGACGGTGGTAGTAACCGATCCCATGCTGTTCTTTCCAGTGACAGTGAACACCTGATTCGACATCGACGTATCAGGGAACTTTCCAGTGATCGTACCCGTGGTAGGGTCCATGGTCACAGAAGCAGGAAGAGCAGGCTGGATCGTGAACTCGTTCAGATAGGCATCCGAGCGAATTGGAATGGGCTCAATAGGCACACCCACGTACTGGGTCATCGAATCAAAACCATAGCTCAGAGAAGAAGGGGTTCCAATGATACCAATACGGAACTGAGTAACGAACTCCTTGTTACCGACGGAGTAGGTGCTACTCTGCTGAGGTACAGAGGGAGTTCCAGAAATGACCACGGTGTAAAACGGATATCCACCTTGGCTAACCTGGGTCGTCTCAAAGCTGAGACCAATAGGCAACTGCGGGTTTATACGAGGAATACGATTCTGGGTAGTAACAAGGCAAGTACAGGTCATGGGAGTAATAGGCTGACCCACAGTACCAACAATATTCAGGCTAGTACAATCCCAATCATGCAGATTCTGCGGAACACAATATACTACAGGTTAAAGCAATATAAAACGAATACCCAGAGCGATAAAAAGCAAAAACAGAGATACGAATCTCATATCTAGTATTTTTATGAAGGATGACAATAATGGATTGTGCAACCCTCTTGTGAGCGAAACCGAAGAACATTCTTTCGAACGGGAGTTTCAAGTTAGGATTCCATATTATTTGCAGTTACTCTACGATTATTAATTAGAATACAATTTTTTACTTTGATAATCGCTAACAAAGAGAGACACTCCGTTAAGACATATTTAGAGAGTCAATTCTTTCATATTCGCAATTCAAAACTAATACAAACTCTGTCAGATGATTGGTCGTCTTCAGGCTTCAAACCTCTTGTGAGCATAGCCCAGAATCTGTTTCGTACAAACGCAAATGAACTCTTACGTATTTTGCTGTATTATTAAAGAGCAATCGATGCGAATTTTTGTAGAAAAGCTGTTTATAGTAACCATCAATTTGTTATTCTACGACTTTGTGAATGTATTTCGATAGAGTGGGCCAGCAATACACGAAAAACACAGAATCAGGATGTTGCTTTCTATGGCCAGTTGCGTTCAAATAAACACTTGCAATATACTCCCTTATGCTGTATATGAACATTCACGCATTATGCCCCGAAATTTATTTTTTTCGAACAAACGCAAAATGTAAAGTATATGGTACAAAGAAGTCTACGTTTTCTTCCGTGTAGCAGATACCTGCCGTTTCACATTTTCTACGGGATCTGTCATCGTAAAAGATTGAAATGATCGAACAAGAGCAACGAGCTCTTTACCATTTCTCGGAATATGCAATACCGTAGCTGGGAGCGCTAGTTCTTTTAGCTGCACTCCACTGATCAGCTTATCTCGTTTATGTATTTCCGGATTTTCGATACTCAAACTAGCCATCGCTACGGCAGTGTTTGAAATATGATATACAGTTTTTAAGTGTTTTTTAAGAGCCAGCATGAGAATGGAGCGAATAATCTGCACGCAGGATTCCGCGTATTTTTCCTCCTGTTGAATCCATTGGAATCTTCCTTTCACACAACCCACGCATCTCTACCGCTCTCCGATCCCTCCGAATTGCTGTGTCTCGTAGTTCTCCTGGCCACCTACCAGATCGAGCAGTTTGGTCAAGGTCGAATCGCTTGATTGTGCAGGATATCGAACGCCTCGCTCTGGTTGATCGACAGGTACACGCGCAGATTCACCGACGTGATGACATGCAGCACTTCTTCCCAGCACCCATACGGAGCGCAGCTCAGACATCGCGTGAGGAACGCCAGGCTCGCAATGCTGCCGCTACTCGCGCTGCTGCTAAGTCCGAAAGCGAACTCCAAGATGGAGTCGAGGACTTCCTTGCACTCGCGGAGACTCGAAGTCGCCGAGCGCGAGAGGAGCGAGTAGAGTCCATAAAAGCACCATCCTGAAGGATTGGAAGGATTGGAAGGATTGGAAGGATTGGAAGGATTGGAAGGATTGGAAGGATTGGAAGGATTGGAAGGATTGGAAGGATTGGAAGGATTGGAAGGATTGGAAGGATTGGAAGGATTGGAAGGATTGGAAGGATTGGAAGGATTGGAAGGGTCGCAAGCACTGGGTAGAGCAGCAGCGTGGTGGGCAGTGGCGATCCAGGCAGCAGCAACGCGAGGAAGAAAGACGGAGTGGAAGTGGGTGTTGATGAAATCGAGAAGGGAGAGCGCCAATCGACGGATCTGCGCGACAAAGAGAGCGACATGGGTACGTCTTCCGCCGGATCGACGAGGAGCGCCACGACCTTCTCGATGCATTCCGCGGGGTATTCCAAGCCCTGCTTCACGCCAAACAGCACGATCCGCAGCGAATGGAACCGAATCGCTGCGCTCGCGTGCTCCAGATTCGCGTGGATCGCAGTCCGCCAGACGCGCAGCAGATCGGGCACCCGCGCAAACGCCGGCACGTGGAACAGCGAGGCGGACAACTGCGTGACACCCCATCCCAATCGATACGGAAAGCGACTCCGCGTGCTCCGAAAGCTCGTCCAGCATCAGCGGCAGCCGCTCGGCGAACTCGGCGACCGCTTGCGTGCAGCAGAACGCGGAGGACGGCGCGGCGCTGCGGAGCTCCTATCGATCACGCTCTCTCTGCGAGCCAACGGAGCGGAACAGCGCGACGATCGCGTCGGGGAGCAGGTCGATCGCTCGCGAGTACGCGCGAAGCACGCTGCGAAGCAGCTGGCAGCGAAACGCCTCCGCCAAGGCGTTGCTCGGATCGCTCGGCCCGTCGAGAAGCGCTGCAGAGAGAAGGTCCCCGATCGTCTGCGCGCAGGTTCCGCGGTGCTGCAAGAGCCAATCGCTGGCGTCCTCGTCGGAATCGGGCGGGAATCGCTGGAAATCGTAGTCGCGAAGCAACACGCCGATCGCCACAACGGAACACACGCGACGAAGCAGCGAGGCCGTCTTGGCCTTGGCTGTGGCCTTGGCTGTGGCCTTGGCTGTGGCTCCAGGCTCCGATTCATTCATAAAAACGCACAACGAATCGCTGAGAAGCGCGTACAGAGCTCCATTCTCGTGCAGAACACGCACTTCCTGCATGATCAAAACCCGATCACTTCTACCAATATCACCACGCACTCCACCGCTTTCTCCACGAGACTGATCGCCGTCGCCTGCTTCGCGATCGTCAGCAAAAACCGCAGAAAGCGGCTCGCGAACGGACTCAGCGAGCAGCACGGCAGAATCTGCTTCACAAGGTCGAGAATGTGGGAGCACACAGCCAACGAGCGCTGTTTCTCCGCGGGAGTTTGGTCCGTTTGGTACAAGCGATCCTCGAGCGTGCAGTGAAACACGGAGAGATACGGAACGAGCGACTGCGGACTGAGCTGCGCGAAGATCGACAGAATCGCCAAGGCCTCCGTCTACCCCTCAAACCGAGAAACTGTGGAAACCTGCGTGTCGGACTCGAAGTAGGTGTCGAATAATCGTCGGATCTGCCGCTGCAGCGCGGCTTGGTGATGCGGTTGTTCGAGAATGGCGTGGCATTCCTCCACAAACCGCTTCCCGTTCGATTCGCTCTGCTCCTTCATTTGATTCTGCAGCAGCACACAGCTCTGCGCCACCACGTCCAGCGTCCCTGCGCGCAGCAGCACGCTCATCACGTTCTCTTCGCATCCCTCGCGGACCTTCGCGTCCTCCTCGCGAAACGCCCGGTCGGCCATCCATCCAATCAGCTTCACGACCGTCTCTCCGGGCACGACATCGAGCTCCTTCAGCACCTGCTCGCACAGTCCGCGCGCCAGGCGGCTGCTGATGCGCCGGACGCTGACGCCGCGGTCCTCGAGCCCCTGCTGAATGACGGGCGCGTAGGGCCCGAGAAGCCGCGGGTAGAAGGAGGACGCGGAGAGGAGCAGCCGGAGGTTCTTCTCGCGGACGGTGATGTAGGGAGACTGCATGCCGCGCTGCATGACCGCCAGGATGGAGCTGCGGAGGAAGAGGTGGGACTGGGACTGCAGCAGAGTCTCCATGGCGCTGTAGAAGAAGGCCTGGATGCGGACGGTGGGGGTCTCGAACCCGCGGAGAAACTGCGCGAAGAAGACGGCGGAGAAGGAGGACGCGGGGGATTGGCGAATGGCGCGGCAATGGAGCGAGAAGAGCGAGGCGGTGGAGGGGAAGGCGGCGTGCGAGAGAGCGCCGAAGGATGGGAGCTCGGCTTGGCGCTGAAGCCAGGCCTCATAAGCGGCGCTGCGTTGTGTGTGGGAGAGATACGAGTCCACGAGAACCAGAAGAAAACACTAGTTCAAAACCCGATCGATGCAGTACGGCGCGCGCTGCGAGCCAAAAATTAACCGAGTTCGAATCCTTCGATGCGCGATCCGCGTAGAAATTCAACTCCAACTGAAGAGATTCGCGGTCTTCTTCTTGTTCGCCGCCCATCTGCATCGCATGATCCGATTGGTTCTACTCGCTCTCGGCGATCGCAGACGGGACAGAGCCAGGGATTGGACGCGTCGGGACGTTGTAACAAGCCGATGCACGATCCATGAAACCATTTCTCACAAGAATCGCAGCACACCAAGAACGCTATTCATGACCCTTTTTTATTCAGAACGATACTTCCTCGCTTCATGATTCCTTCGCGACACGGACATCCCAGCACTTCGCTTTCCTTTTCTTCAGAATCGTTTCGAAAGAATACCATTCCTTTGATTTGCAGATTCACAACGGCTTCTTCTTCTCCTCCCTTCTTCTTCTTTTTCTTGGAGTCAGGCTGCGTCAGAAGCATGTAATGAACAGCGAGCTGCGTGATGCAGCGGAGAAGCCTCTGCTCGCCGCGAGCGACCGTGTCCTTCGCTTTCTGGATTTGCTGCGCGAAGAACTGATTGGTGGCGTGGAGCAAAAACAGCGCGACGGGCCATTGGAACGAACTAAAGAAATGAAAACGGATGGGAGAAAAGCAACTGCGCGGCCACGAGCAGATCGGTGTACAAATCTTCGAGAAAGGAAATATACTCCTCCGATTCCTCGTCCTCCGCCACAATCCGCTTTGCTATCAACTCCAAAAACACTTTAAAGTTCGACAGCGCAGACTATCGCTCAACCCTTCTCCCATTAATCACCTGAATAATCTCCGTACACACTGCTGCTTGTCGGAGACTGGCGCCCTAGATCGCATTTCCTCTCAATTCTTACGATCAGTTTCGGATCGACGGTGAACGTAGACTGCGTCCACTGCAAGAGGAGACGCGAAGGGAGGAGCAGGGGATGCGACCCATCCTGAATCCATTGCTGCAGCTCCGCTTGATCGCTTGGGAAGCGCTTTGGCCCCTTGCGATGAAGAAGATCGACGTCTTCAAGAAGCGAAAACACGAGCGAGGATTGCAAATCGCCGTGTTTCACGTAGATCGCCTAGTGAAGAGTGACGCAGTGGGAATACTGTTAGCATGTGGATGAGAGTGTTGATGAGAAGAGTGTCTGCAGATGGGAAGCGGCGAAGAAGGAACCAGCCCGCATCGGCGATGGATAAAAGAAGATCTGTGGGGAGTGGAAGTGAAAGAATGAGCGAAAGAAATTGGGTGAAAACGAGAATGAAATGGGAGGAATAGGAAGCGAGAAGCTTTTCTGTGAGTCGATGCGTGATGAAGAATCGAAGGGATGAAGAGAGCGTGCTGTAGAGACGCTCTTGCTGGATTCTAGGAATGGGAGCAAGACCCGAATAAAGCACAGTTTGATCGATTGGTTTTCCAAAAGAACGGTTTGAATGAATTGAACGCAAAAGAAGAAAAAGGGAAACCAGACAGCTCGGTTCGCTTCCGCTGCGGAGAACCAGACGAAGAAAGAAGTGAAGATCCGGAACAGATCCGAGACCTCTTGGATCATTTGCGTGTTTAAGGGATCGATCGAAATGCATTGCAAGCGTTGGATTTGAAGCTGGATTTCTTGGATCTCTCTTGGATCCGTCGGGTTCTGATCGAGATCCGCGATGACCAAGCGGAAGTGAGCGAGAAGCTGCTGGATCTCGGATGGATTTGAATTAGGATTTGGGGTGGAGGGTTCGGGAATTGGTGGCGTGTTTTTAGGAATTGGGGATGAGATATCGAGAGAAGTCTCGCTATCATTTTTGTTTTCTTTCTTTGCGATGTTTTCATTCACATTCACATTTCTTCCATCATTTTCATTTTTGTTTTCATTTTCATTTTTGTTTTCATTTTCATTTTCATTTTCATTTTCATTTTTGTTTTCACCATCATTTTTGTTTTCATTTTCTCTCTTTGTGATATTCTCATTCTCATTCTCATTCTCATTCTCATTCTCATTCACATTCACATTTCCTCCATCATTTTCATTTTCATTCCCGTTTTCATTCACCTTCTCGTCCACTCTTTCATCCTCCTTCTCAATCCTCTTTTCTTGATTCTCCACATTAGAAACTACCTCCCATTCCTCCATTCTCCGACTTCCCTCATCTCTCTCCTCATTCATTTCTCTCACAACACTTTCTGCTTCCTTCGATTCATTCTTTGCATTCGAAAGAATCGAGACATTTGATTGGCTGATGGATTGCTCGTCTCCTAGACTAAAAGACTTGTCTAAACGACTGGAATTCTCTTCCTTGTGCACAGTTTCACATAAATCTTTGCTGTCTTCCATTGGAAGCACAGGTAAAGCAACTTCATCTCCCTCTTGGAAAACTGGAAGCGTTCCCAAAAAGCTCTTATTCATCCTGGGTCTCTTAGGTGATTCCAACACGGCCAATGCATCGGGTCTCCCTTTTTTATATGGACTTGATGATACCAACACTGGTGAGCCTCGCTTTATAGCTATTTCGTTACATATTCCATCAAAAAATACGAGAGTTTGTTCGAAGTGTAGTTAACCGGCAACACGAAGATGAACCTACATCATGTCATAAAGACGAGATTACTACTCAGCACGCTATCCTTCTCTATACTAAGGTCATTTGCACTGGAAATAGATGTATCTCTACTCATCATCCCTTTCGAACCCTCCCCATACATTTCGTTCGTTCCCTCCTTCATAAATATCCTTAATGGAGCACGATTCTGAATAGAATTAAGATTATTATGTGTGTACGAAAACAAAGCAAACTACGCATAGTACAGACTAAATATAGCGGACATCTGGAATAGCAGTCCGGCAAGTGGGACATTCCAACTTCACATCCATCCACTTGTTCAAGCAATCCGTGTGGAACGCATGGTTACAGGGAGTAATCATAAACGACTCGTTATTGTTATAGTCAATTGGATTCATGCAAATAGCACAATCCGAATCAAGTCCAACATCCTATTCTTTATTCAATAATAATGGAACATATACAGTCGTAGGAATCGCGTGGTAGTCGTACTTCTTTGGACGCAAAATTGGCGGGAGAATCTTATACGGGTTATACACTCTCTGAACGATCAGCAAGGCTGTCTACATGTTATGTCACCCCACTCCAGACATCACCTGAATGATCACCCAGCCGACCAGCTTGAATCCAAAACCAAGCGGAATTGGCACAGTCGTGAACATTCGTACCATGTTATAGGGGCAGAAAAACAGATAAAGAGGCAAAAAGAGCTTAAGGCCGGTGATCCACAAAATCTGCTTGATAGTGAGCGGAGGTCTGTGTCCTAGAGAGAGAGAACGACAAATCTGAGGCACCCAGAAGGAATAGACGAGGAAGATCAGGTAATAGGAAGTGTTGTGCTGGGAGTAGATAGAGATTAGGGTAATGATGATGAACATGTAGAGACAGATAAAGAGGCAGGATAACTGTTTCTGGTACTGCAGATAATTGTTTGCGTTGATCTCGGGATGATAGGATCTCCAAATAATGAAGAGCATTCGCATCTCGATGACCGAAAAGAGGAAGAATTTGTGGAAAGAAACGAAATAAAGAGATGAAAAGAGGCCTAAGAAAAAGACACCGAGCAAGCTGTGCGACATAGCCACCAGCACATCAATGGCAGCCAGCATCGTGACAGAGAGCATCGATGCGGTGTGTGTGGAAGTGAATAACATGCTCTGCATGGTTTGGATATAGACAAAACATTCCATAAACGACACCAACACAAACAAAAACGAATACAAGCGACTTTTAAACAAGATGTGATTCGTGTCCAGACTGAATCCGTCCATCTTCACCTGCAGATTCGTCGCGCAGTTCCGACTCACCAGGCTTCCCGTTCCATTGAGAACCAGCCGGCTCTGCGGGTTCCGCGAGATTTCGGGGTCCACCGACGGGTCCAGCGACAGAAAGTCCATGTCCAACTGGTACAAACACCGCGCGATCGGAGGCTCGCTGTGGGTGTGGGGGCGGCTCAGATAGAGCCAGTTCGTTCCGTTCGCCGAATGGCCCACCGAAGCAGAGAAGTTCGATGGAATGGATATGTGGGAGGTGGCTGGCGAGGAAAGCCACTGAAGAAAAAAGTCCACGCCGTATGTGTTCGAAAACAGCGTTAAATGGCCGGTAGGCAGAAAATACAAGCCGGCGAGCGATAACGAGAGCGAGTCCTCCGAGGAATCTTGCTCTCCTTCGATCAGCGTCATCGAACCTTGGACTAGATGAATATTCCGACGATAACTCCCGCGATCGTATAGATGAACGGACAACAATCCTTCTTCTCCTCGAACCGTCGAATTTCGCTGGAGCCGAGGGATTGATAATTCGGCATTGAGCGAGAGCTGCTCAGTACGCGTGTGAAGGGTATCATTCGTCGACTTCCAGCTTCCGTTATACATTCCAGATATATTATAAGCGTAAATTGAATTGGGAGAGAAGAGAGACTGCACATCCATGTCCAGCTTGTTTTGAAGAAGCTTCTCCACAAAACGCATGTTCCGCTCGTCTGGACTGCTACGGAGATTTCCTCTTGATCTTACATTGCTGTCCGGACCGAGCAGAGAAGAGATTAGCATAATGGTCAGAACGAGCCTTAGAAAGTCCAACGAATTCGATCTTCCGTTTTCTTCCATTCAACTAGAGATCGAATGAAGGTAGAAGAAATAAACTATGATGCGAGTCTGTGTTTTCAAAGAGTTGCTAACTTCTTGCGTGTCTTTGCAGAGAGTCGCTCTCTTCTTGTTTAAATTTCCAGAAAGTTGCTATCTCTCTTTGTGTGTTTATCAACAAACAGGGGAATGCAAAGGGGTCCTAGCAACAGAAAAAGAAAGCAAAACAATTGAGTAGAACCTATTTTAGAGAAAGCCACAGTAAAACACCAAGTTGCAACCATTAGTTGATCCACTGATTCACTGACTCGTTCATGTCAAACTCTATCAATGAATTAGTCTGTATGCTCTTTTCGGTATATGGGATCGATCTTGTACTTCAAAAGCCCATCGATCCCATTGTTACAATGAGCCTGCGCGAGGCAAGCTCCCACGGCACAGAGCGCTTCTTCATAATCGTACCACGTCACTTCAAAATCATTGAAGTGCGATATCACCGAGTTTTTAAAAATGGGCGACCGCGCCTCTTTCCCACAAATCACAATTTCAGTATCGGAGATATTATGTCCGCTCAAAGCTCCGCGCATTTCCTCCAAGAGAGACTTGGTGGGTTCAGAAAGAATCTTCCTAATATCCTCTTCCTCCACGCACAACGTACAGGACGGAGCGTCGTCCGCTATTTCCTGCAAATCAAAATAGTATTCATCTTCCGTATAGAAGGCAAGCTTGATTTGCTCCGCTATCGACTGTAACTTTGAAACATCTTTCAACTTATAGTCTTTATACATGTTGTCCAAATGCCTGCGAATTAACGTCGTGTTGTACTTTCCTCCAAACAGCTTACATTCTACGGAATAGCGACCATCCTCCTTCACAATCCGAATATTCTGCTTTGTGCTCACAAGAGCCACATCAAAGGACAAAGAACCATACGAACAAAACAACACAAAGTCTTTTGTCTGCCTTTTCTTTTGGTTATAGATATGAGCCAACACGCCCACTTCAGGCTCCCAAAACAAAGAGTAAGAAAGAGAAAGACCGTCAAAAAGCTGTGGGAGCTGGTTTTTGATTTCAAAATTGTGGTAAATGGGTACACTCACAGCAAGGATATCCGTTTTCCCATAAGACAAATACTCCGAAGCACAATCCAACAAATACTCCACATAACCTTTGATCGCATCGTTTAGATCAAGATAGTCATTGTGTCCCAATTTAAAGAATACTCTCTCACCAGTCTTTAATGGCGACCAGCTTGGAATGATCGAATGTGCATCCCTCTGCATAAAACTCAGCATTTTCTTTATATGTAAATAATAGAGTAACTCGAATGCTACATGATCCTTGTTAGTTTGTGATATCATGGAGGCTTGATATCCATACTGCTTCTCCCCGTCACAGTTAATTATCAGAGTTGGAATGGAAAAGGAACCCTGCTTCAGTGACATGGCAACAGGCTCGCCGTTGTTGAAGATACAGACTTTACTGTTATAATTCCCCAAATCCAACCCAGTGATGCGTCTACCAGTGCTCATAAAAAAATATATAGTAATTTAACAAACACACTTCCTCAGCTAAAACTCAGGATATTTACTTGAAGGTGTTTCCGCAACGACCACAGGTGTTACGATCGGCGTGCTTAGCCATGAACACACCAGCACCGCAAGCAGGGCACTCACGGCGCAGGCGGGTCACCTTACCGGACTCGTCCACCTTGTAGTACTTCAGAATAGCAAGCTTCACCTTCTTGTGCTGGTGCTTTTGCTTCTTGGGGGTCTTGTACTGCTTCTTCTTATGCTTCTTGCCTCCTCCGCGCAGACGAAGCACCAGGTGAAGAGTGGACTCCTTCTGAATGTTGTAGTCAGAAAGAGTGCGGCCATCCTCGAGCTGCTTTCCAGCGAAAATCAGGCGCTGCTGATCTGGGGGAATTCCCTCCTTATCCTGAATCTTAGCCTTCACATTCTCGATAGTGTCAGAAGACTCAACATCGAGAGTGATGGTCTTCCCTGTGAGTGTTTTCACGAAGATTTGCATCGTCGTTCCTACTCCATTATTCACAGAATCAGAACTTCTCACCTCAAATACTCAAGACTTTTCTGAGTGGACCAGAGAGAGTATGCAATGGTCAGAATAAAATGGTCAAAATACCCACGAATTTCAACCTTTTTATTATCGATCATTGAATGCGACATTAGTTTCTTAACCATTTGCAATGAAAACAATTTATTTGGAGCCTCGCAATGAAATGTTTGATGGTTTCTAATGAAAGTAGAGTGGAGCTGTCTGAGGAGTGACAATAGTTTTTGCAGATTTGATTTGTGAAATGATAATTCTAGTTATAATGTAGCCTATAAATAGGAATTGGTTAAGAGAATCGAAATGATCAACATTTTGAAAATGGAGGTGATGGAACTAGGATCGTTGTTATTTGGTAATTCTGTCGTGGTTCTATAATATTGGTCATTCCAAATTGATAATTGACATTGATATTCGTGAGTGATTCGAACTGTAGCCCATTCTTTACCACAATTGCATGAAAGTCGACATTTTTCATCATTAATAACACTCAAATTAATATTATTATCATCGTATGCTGATTACTACAAATGAACGTTGTTGGGGTAAGTAAGTGTGTGCAGTTCTATCAAAATTCCTTAAATTCGTCCACACAGTCGATTGCGACAAATATTGACCGAGCAGATATTGATTGAAACAAACAAACCATTCTGAGCGATGTCTCTTCGAAGTAATCATAGTTTCCAATGTATTACTCATCTAGTTCACAAAGCCACACAGAGTATACCAGCGAGATTAGTTTGTCTTCCATAGCAGGAATAGTCTTACACTCTAACAATTCCAAGCAGGACTTTTGTTGTTCCTGATCCATTCTACATCAAAATCAAAAGACAAAACAACAATGCGATAATATTACACAGACTATTCGAAACCGAAGGAATCACTTCCTTATACACATACAACTACTACATTATAAACTCCATTCAATATCTACTTGTTTTGTTTGGGTGCGTGTCAGGAACTTCATGGGATTGCTCTGCTTTGCTTCTTTGAGTAGTTTGTTCAAACACTGAGATTCACAACCATCAACAAACCGACTTGCTTTGTACACTCGTCGAGTTCCTTTGATTCTTGAAGCGCTGTTTTCTTCATCGATGCGAAGGGTGCAGGATCGGAAGTGAGCAAATGTGTCACCAAAACAACCATTTCACTCATTTCAAAGTCCATGTTTGTTCCGTTTATGAGAGTAAAATAGGGATTCGGACCGGGATGCGCGTGACGAAAAGCATATCCGAACTGGGACCAATTGGGATAATGCTGGATGCCAGAGAGCAAACCGCAGGAAGTAGTTGTTATGAGTGGTTTGCTAGGCCTCAAACGAAGCGTGGATGAAAAACTAATTGGCAAATCGAAGAACGACAGCCATCGCACGAGGTTTTTTCTGCCGAATTTGCTGCACGAACGGATGAGAAGTGGGCAAAAAGAGCAATGAAGCGTGAAGCGTGAACGAATCCTTTTGATAGTGTGTGTGAAAATGGGATTGGGGTGGAGAGGGAATGACTTGACTCCAAAGAACATCGCCTGTTTCGCAGTGGGAGGTCCAACTCTATCTCCTAGTGTGCACTACCAAACGAAAACATGACTCAGACAAGGGAAGCCTTCGATTTCGATGGAGAGAGAGCAAGGGAGATTGATGAAGCGCAGGTATTGAACATAGCTGGATGTTAGAATCGCCGATAGGTCTACGAATTGGACCATTCCCAGAGCGTTGAGAGATCGCCAGGAACTCCGACGATTCGAACTTTTGTTCCACTGAAATTGGGTTGGAGGGATTTGGGTTTGGGAGTTTGGGATTTACAGAGAATGACTACACTATCATCTTTCATGGATAGCTTTATGATGAATGACCACCAAACGAAACCGTACGTGGTATGATGTTATGGACAGCTCCTCGGTGGTGCTGCTGGACACGTTGAGAGCTATTTGATAATAAAGCATGATCGCCTTCAGTCCAATTCCATATTTTCCGATATAGGAACCTTTCTTTTGTTTCGATGAGTTGAAAATCCCTCCACATAGTTCGGGGATAGAATCGCAATCCATTCCTATTCCTACACTGATAGTCAGATATCACTGTGCATATACCATTATCAACTACTTGAATAGTATTCGCATTTTCATCCTTCGAAACTGTTATCACGATACTACGTTCTTCTACAGGAGTCTTAGGTTTATGAACAACCGCATCGATGCTGTTATCCAGTAATTCCATAAGAGTCGTAATGAAAGCTTCTTCCTCGTTTTTAAATCCCAAAATATCTAGATTCTGGCGAATAAATGATGCGGACCGATTTACTTCCATTAGTTTGGAATCACATTGTTTGGAGGGAAATATGCACATATACAAATCTCAATTGGAATGCAAGTAGATATGAAAGAATCATAGTTTCTCTAGGTTTTATTCTAAAAAAATGATTGGACTGGGCAGGTTAGGGTTTTCATTCATTTTCCTATGTACATATGTGGTGTCTTTTCCACTACAATGTGAGTCCGATTATTTCTTTGCTTTTTCTTCCATTGGAGGAGTCAAGCTTTATGTTTAATTTGAGATGTAACTCTTTATTCGTAGGTTGGCTTTGCATGGTTTGAAAACGGAAATGTTTCTGCGTTGCGATTTTCGAAGCAGAAGCAGGAAGGCATCCATAGCAGTGGATGGAAAGAGTTCAATGCAGATGACTTTGGGTTTTATAGACTACAAGATGATACAAACCATGTGAGTCTAGCATTAATGGTGATTCGTGAAGGAAAGAGTGTAGTATTCCGTTTGGAAGGAGATAGTTTGATGGAGGATGACTATCCATCCACTCTTAGCTTGTGTATGTATGCCTTTTTAGCCGAACCAAATGCTCACATCACTGTTCCAAAGCAGTTTCCTATGGTGAAAGCAATGTGATTTTGTAATGCGTAGAACATAGCAGAGGACTCTGTGATACTCGAAGCGGACGGGGCGAAGGGTCCAATTCGGTATCGCTTTTTAATGAATGATGATATCCAAACGCATTATCCAGAGTTTGTGTTTTCTCGCGACTTTCCCTTTTCCCTGCTCTCTCCCAAAATCGCGAAGAACAATAGCTTTCGTCGCAAAGCCCATTGTTTTGCAGGTGAATTGAACGCTACCCACCCCATTGCATCCCATTTGGTTGACGAATTGTCCCTGCTTCTGCAAAGAGACAAAGCCGAAATCGACTCGTACGCCCAACTCCGAGTGAATCAATACAAATCCATGTTCGACTTGGCTCGTTTGATCTGATCCACAGTCCTTCCAATCGAATGGAACAATCAATTCACCAAGAATGGCTGCTCGACAGAGCGGCTATTCCTCGCATTCCTACACTTCCAAACACAGTTCTTGACAATGCAAACTATTTGATCGTTCAGCGAGTCATAGAAGTAATTCGAAGGCCGAACCAAACAGTAGACTCCATTCACCATCGATTTTGTGTTGATTGACGAAAGCGAGCAGCAATCGTCGGATTTCTTCGGCTTCTCGAGTTTGTCGCTCGATTCTCACGAATTGTCCCTCGAAACACAGATGAAATTCCGACTTCTCACAGACTCAGAGCTAACGAGTCGAATCAAATCGCTCTGTAGGAGATCACAAAACACGCAAATTCTAGCCAGCACATTTCAAGAGCGATTTGAAAGCCGTTTTCATCTCAGAGAAAAAGGATTTCCAAAGAAAACGATGCTCATTGCAAAGCAGATTTTCAGCAATCTCCTGGCTTCAATCGAGTTTCATGCATCCAGTAGCCCGCATTCAACACGATCGACCGATAGATTCTTCGTTCGGTTCGGATTGGTCCTTCCACTCCTCTCACTCCTGTTCGCTCTGCTCTCCATCCTGCGGCTTCGCTCACGGCTTTGTGATCCGCTTGCTTCTGGAATGGAACGTCACGCTGGCATCCTCGCTTCTCACTTCCTCGATTTATACGCAGGCCGATCGAATTCACCCGGTGGATTTCGCTGGCCACAAAGTCTTTCTTTCCCTGTTTGTTTGATTCGCGTAGTTACCGATCGAATCCTGTCCTCATTCCTTCTTTTTCGTGTTGGACCGATTAATGCAATTGCAGCATCAGCAAGAGCAGCAAATCGAGCGCCAAAGCGAAGAAAAAGAAGAAGAAGAAGATTCCAAATCGCTTCTGCCTCTCCATCAAACCGTTTTCGATCTGCTTTCTCCCGTTTTGTTCCTCGTCGAGCGATTTCACGGCGCTGCGAGCGACGAAACGTCGATCGTTTGGTCCACGTTCGAGATCCGCATGGCTTCGTGGCTGCTTCATTTCTTCGGAATCGACGGAGAGTGGATGAAGCTCCTCCGCAGTCTCTTTTCATCGGTGCAGAAGGAAGTGAATCGCGACTCGCTGCTGTCGCTGGCTCTTGGAATCGGGAAGGAAGAACTTTCCAAGGAAGTGTCCGATGTGGGAAATCGAATGGCGGATTGGCTGATCGAATAGCCGGCGCTGGAGACTTCGATCCGAGAGATCGCGCGAAATCCATCGAATTGCTGGATGAGTTACTTGATTCTGAGGCAGTTGTGGAGAGAAAAAGTGAGTTGAGGAGGGAAAGGGGCTGAGTTGCAGTCGTTTAATCGGGGATTGTATGCATCGATTCGATCGGAAGTGGTTCAAGCGGTTGTGGAAAAGGTGCGGAAAGGGGGAATGGAGGAATTGTGGTCGATGTCGATGGTGTTGCTGATAATGGGAGAGATCTTTTAGTAGTTTTAGTAGTTTTTTTTTAATATATATAATCGATTTGCCTCTTGTTTGTTTACTTGTTTTGGTGTCAGTGATAAACGTTCGAGGATTGCTTTCTAATTGTCTTGCTCTATCTATACCAACATTTCATTTTCATTTTCATTTTCATTATTTTGTTTACTAAAAGAAAGAAACAACACAATGGATTTGATTACGTTCTCGATTCCTTCCTTGATTTGTTGCACATGGCCTCGTTCGGAAGGCTTCAACAAATACGTCTTGAACGACGCATCGCTTTCCGGGAGGGTAATCAGCACATAATTATCCAGAGCTTTCACCGGAGTGGACTTGTACAGCAGCGAATTAATCACCAGCACTGTGCTCGGACCTCCCATTTCGCCTTCTCTGTGCATCACAAGCTGGTACTTGACGTTCTTATCTTCGTGCTGGTTAAGAAGCTAACTCGTTCCTCTTTCATCAGGATATCGTAAAGCGGATGATCTTCAGCAAGCCTTTCCCTCGGCTTTTGTACTCCTTTCCATCTAGCTCGAACACAGAGACTTTACTCTGAACATTCTAAAAAATGCAAAAACGATCTACTTGAAATACGATATCTTGTTCTTGTTCTTGTTCTTTCTCCTTTGTTGTGGTTTGCTCGATCTCCTTCTCCTTCTCCTCTTCTTTTTCCTTCACTGCATCATCCTGTGGCTTCTCTTCCTTGTCATTTTCATCAACCTTCTGCTCTGAGTGAGAGATTGACCCAAACAAAGAGGAAGAAGAAGAGTCGGAAGCACTTGTGAGGAAGTTTTTACCTGTTCCCCATTTCAACAGCGTAGGTTTTTCAGTAGTTCCCAAATTCTCATTCTTCTACGCAGTGAATCTATCTGCAAAATGATACAGAATCACTTTTTGATAATAATAATCCAGAACCGAACGATCTATTCCCCCACATAAGAGTATTCGTTTTTTTCTCTTCCATCGTGGCCTACTCGTCAACAACCTACTCTTATTCACATACACTCTTCTGATCATTTGATTTCACTTGCTCAGTCTCTTCATGCTCTCTCTTTTGTGATTTCTTATCTTCCATCCTAAAATATTCCGATCCCGCTGTTCAAAGCAATTTCAAAAACAAATTTATGGATCAACAGTTCATTCCATATTCTGAATGTATCGATTATCTCTATCGACTCCAGAAGGAAGAAATGAGTGAATTGTGCAGTACCAGTCGAAGGTCTGTTTTTTGAATTGTAGAACTCATGCATATTGAAACAAACACGCGCACATCCAAACATGATATGATTATGAAGATAAAGGAGCAATATGTAAGTGACACTGTAACACTGGCTTTTCTATAGATTTATGGATTCACACTGGACCAATTAGCGATAATGGACATTTCGTGTACAATGTTTAGCCCCATTGTCAATTCAAGTTATCCAACAACGTTTAAACAAGCTCCGATGGTCTGCATTTTCCCTCGATACACCAACGGATAAAAATAACATCACAGTGGACCCTTTGTTGTGAATGTGCATACTTCTGAGAACTAGAATTATCAGAAACCATATTTCGCGTGAACTGGGACCTCTGATTTATTGTGTATTGGATCTTGCATGAGATAAGTGCTAGCATGTGTATTGTGCAGTAAAGGACGGCTTACTCTGGATTCGTATTTTACTCGCAGAGCCAGTCCATGGCCGGTTTGAATACTTGCCAACGGATAGCAATGAAACAAAGACAATCTACCTTGTGCATCTGTTGGGCTCTAACTATTTCATCATCTCCCAAATTCCAAATAATTACCGGTCCCTCATTCTGACGTGCACAAGTTTAGCCTTCAAACAATCCAAATGCGAGGCGCTGAACCTTTCTGGATCCAACGTTTGTATTTCTCTGATATTTGTATCGAGTATAGATGCACTCCTGAATCTAGTAATAAATATGAGTGCTGGTGGCGTTACAGAGTAGACATGCTCATTTCACTCAAGAATAGTTATCTAAACCAACTAAAGGAAAAGAGGCCTCTTCAACACGGAGGAATACCAAATACGATGCCTGAATTAATGAAAGACCTAGTACATCGTTTGGAGGGAAATGTTTCTGTAGCCTGAGAATTGCCAATTCTTGGAAAGCGATAAGATTATGGAGCGCCATAGAAAAAGCGAGGAAGAGTGGGGTATTTTGGATCCTCCCGCAATTCAGCAGATCGTCGTGAAAGTTGCTTTTTCCACAGCCTTTTTGAATCTTTAGACGGTATCTGATTGGAAATCATCGGGAGAAGTGAAAATGGACATCGAATTTCAGGGTCCAAAGTAAGTGATCGATTCGTTTTTTATTTACCGACAGCATTCTAAAAGGACTCAAAGAACTAACTGAATTTGGTTATGTCACGCAAGTTCCAGTGCAGCTGCTAACAATTCCCCGGAATCCGCGAAACATTGTGGATTTAAATATGTTGTCCGACGAAGAGGAGGGTGATGATGATGTGCTTTTGTTCTATGTTTGTTTTCAGTCTTGATCGGGTTTTGACCACATTTATTCTTTTTTCATTGTTGGTTTTTAGTTGCAGGATGAACTCTATTTACGTTACCCCCATACCGAGCATTGTTTTTATTCACAGTGCTGTCAATTTTCGTGTGTTTTTAGTCGATCAATCTTCCTCTCCTATCCAGACGTACCATTTTAATCAAAGAGTGATTGTAAGCAATGAGAAATTTGCCGTGACACTATTGTACGAAGACGGAACCCCTGTTAAAGAGTCATCTTCTGCTATGGTAGTTTTAGGGTTTTGCGTATCGACTGTAGTTGTTGAACGGGTTAAATGGTAATGGGTTGATTCCGAACAATGTATCAACGGTTTTGGTAATGTCGCAACTCTCGTATTGCCACAAAAACCAGAAGTTTAAGCTTATGGTCGAGGCCACATTGGGTCGGTCGATCAAGACCGTATATACAAGTCCATTTCTAGTTGTGTTCGTTCTCTCGAGCGTCTCGATTGTAGAAATTACCAAATTCGAATTCGGAATCCAATTCCCAAAGAATGGTACAAGGACGAGGGTGGGAAAAAGAATAGCATTTTGCTGCAGCTCGAGTTAGTCGTATGGACGTTCCACTCCTTTTTGACTTCAGGACATGGCCAACCACGTTGTGACCTACGAAATTCACCGCAGAAGAAAGATAGCGCTCCAGCTCACGCTGCTGTACGACGATTACACGGTGGTGCACAACATGAAAGAAGGCGGCAAGAGCATTCTGTGCTACAACGACCAAGAGCTGCAATTGAACGAGAACGTGCTTTCTTGTTTGTTCGTTGATTGGAAGGGCACTTGCGAGCTAAACGTTCGAATCGAGAGTGTATCCAAGAACCACAATAGCAAGCTCTTCGTGATCTGCATCCAGCCGAACATCGCTTTGTACCCGCAGAACGCGGATATCGCTGGAGGCTACACCACCCCCATCTGTGTGAAATCGAAGCGAATCACTCGAAGTGGTCCTTCCCTCTCCTCGTTAGCGCCTAGAACGTTTTGTTAGTTCTGAATTCCCGATCCCTGAATTGGGTGACAAATCGAAACGTACGTTCTTTTAAAACGCCTCACTCGCAGGACTTCCATCGTCCTCCGAAGGTACATTCAGCCGCCCACTCCTATCCTGTAGCGGTTTCCATGGAAAAAGCGCAGGATTCGCTCCGATTTCTCCTCAACTACACAATGCAATGCAACAAGCTCTTCGACGACTTGCAGTGGCAAGTGGTCGGGTACGCCGCCCTTCTTTTCTTTCCCTTACGCACAGCCACGAAAACATGGGCGGCAGCACGCAGGAGATCAAGCGCTGTCCCAGCTGCTGGACGTATTTCGACCATCGCAAAGACGACCAAGCGCACGCTCCCAACTGCTCCCTCGCTTCTCTTTTCGCTCTGTTTCCACGGTTTCCACGATTCACGGGTAGACAGGACAGCGTGCTGCAGGCGTTCAGCGTGGTGAATGGGTACATCGAGTCCAATTCCCATCCCCCCGCGGTGAACTCCTTCCAGTACGGGCTGTCCCCCGTCCCGCAGCCCGGCCTCCCCGCGATTCTCCCTCCGAGCAGCGTTCCGTTCTACCCTCCGTCGTTCGACCCGAGCCAGCTCGCGCTCAGCTGCGACCTCCCCGAGGAAGCGTCCTGCGTGTGCATCTTCAAGTCGATGCAGGTACCTCCGCGCTGCGGTCTCGACCGTAGAACATGCAGTACTTCCCCGTTCTCAATCGCTCGAACAAGCTGGTCGCTCGCTCTCCCTTCTGCTCACGCGTAGATTGGGATTTTGTACTACGGACAGACCTCCGGGCAGTACCAGATGCTCTACTACCAGCGCGAGCTCTTGCAGCCGCTGCTCTGCCAGCAGACGGAGACCGTGCTGGGGACCGAGGAGCTGCTGCGGATCGAGCGGCAGGCGCAGTCGATCGAGCAGTTTAAGAAGCAGATCTCGCTGCATCTGAGCGAGTATTTCTCCTGGCGTGTTTGTTGAACAAACAAGAGAAAGACGGGACTCGCAGTCGGCCGCGAGGAGAAACACGAAGCGCTGCCCGTCGGGGAGCAGCAGCACCGCGTACTGCGCGGCGTCGTTGAGCGCGAACTGGAATTCGGAGAGCGCGTTCCCGAGCATCCACTGCACTACGCGGTGAAAAACCTCGGAATTCACGTGCCTCCGCAGTCCCGACCGCCGCTCACGAAGGCCAAAGCGAAGGGATACGAGCCGTTCTGGACCTGCGAATTCAGGAATTCCAGTTTTCTAGGGGAAAGGACAGGCAGACAAAGCGACTCTAGAAGCGACGCTGTGGAAATCCAGCCCTGCGTCCGCACGACTTCGATCGAATTCGAATCAGTTGCGTCCTCGCGTTCGAAGGCGGCGCTGATGGCAAACTTGGAGAGTTCGGTTTGGACAAAACACTCTAAATTCATTGCAAAACACAGAGAAAATCGTACTCATGTCGCTACATTGCGATAACACGAGACCCATCCAATCGAGCAATCCCAGCAAAATGCTCTCGCGGTTCTATGAAAAAAGGAAAAAAAAGGAATGGGAACATGCTGCTTTTCTTCTTTGAATTGGAGATAGGTCTCGTTTGGAAGAGAATCCCGATCGAGATCGAATGGAGATAATGCACTTTCAAAGAAGCTGGAAGAAAGCTTTAAGATGGGAATAGACGAAATTTTGTGGGAAGAGGAACGGTTCTCAACACGCTGCACGGTAAAAGTGGAGGGGAAGTCGATCTCGCCTCTTCCATAAAAGCAATGCATCGATAACGGAGCAATCTCACGTATTTACAGATAGACACGCAGACTACCTCCTTCAAACAGTCCCGAACACGACTCAGCAGCTTACTTGTGGAAGACAATCCTTTCAAAGGAACCGATATGAAATAGTGATCTTTGGAATAAGGACGAGATGAGGCGTGCTTTCCAACCAAGCCCAAACGCACATAACTTTCAGCATCGACTGTTAGAACGAGGTATTGTCCATATATGATACAGAGTGTGTTGCAGCTGTCTTTGGGAGTATCCACTGTGGAAAGCGTGAGTCCGTTAGGAACAGCGACATATGTGGAATAAAATGGTTCCTAACGAATCAGACTAGTGCCGAAACAATAAAAACCTCGAAAAACAAATGGGGAGGACCATGAATCGAATAGTAAAACCCAATATCATTGGTCAAAACGGATTTAGAATTTGGAGCTGTATTGAACGACAAGAACGTTGTATCATCATCTTCGTCACCAAAAAACCTACAACTGATTTTCACCTACAGTCCATACTCTAGTCCCGATTTGCGTTTGTTTGAACCTATAGTAGGGAGAAAAAAGGATGCCTCCGTATTGAAGGGGTGTCCCTTTAGCAGCGCAACATACTTGTCCTTCTCATTCTCTCTGAATGGACCGCGCACAGTAATTCTTCCCTGTTGCTGCATATTTGAGAAACCTTAGAAAACGAAACTCCCATACAAAGAATGATTGTGTTATGGATTTTATGTTGCCTGTTTTATCAGGCATGTGGAATCCAGTATACTGACATGTTATTTTCGATAGAACCGATCGATGTGGATTCGTTGACTTTTAATGAATCCTGGATCGTGAATTACGACGACTCCCTCATGGAGAGAGTAGAACTACCGGTAATATTCTTCAATTCGTATGATTGTAGTTCGAGTTTCCCTTTTATGATAAAAAAGTGCGGCATGTTTGGATCTCTCCGAATGGATATTTATCGATCACTGCAACACCGCGTTGCCGGGGTTATTTTGAGCGTGAACCCTGTACGATCGATACAACGTTTTACGATACTCTCATTGCTCCCTATTTGACAGATTTAGTAATGATTTTGCAAGGAAGGTAATGGTGTGCAGATTCCTCCCTTAGGGAAAAACACGACAGCGATTTTATATCGCCTCGAATCGGACCGTGCCATTTTTATTTGGAACGATGTTCCCGATTACTACGGCACGAGCTATAATTCGTTTATGGTTGTTATCTACCGCGCAGGCGACATTGTTTTTTGTTACAAAGACATCCAATGGCCGATTCCGCCCATTGCCAATCGAAAGCGCGGATTCGTCGGAATCCGCCCTTTTCTTCGCGAAATCGACTATTCAACCCGCGGGAATTACTATTTCACAAACAATCAGATGTGGTAGTTCTCTGTTTCCACGTTTACCGAAGGGATTTTAACACTCTCGGGCATTACGCCAATTTCCGCACAATAACCGCGATCACCGACCAATTCTCCGATCCCCGCGGTTTTGTCTTCTCCCACGTGGAACTCTTCGTTTTGACCCCCACGGAATTCTGTCTGACCCCCTACACGATTTTCCCGGGCAGTTTTCTTCGCCTTCCCGCCTTTTTTTTAGTTCCCACCAACTTGTCCCTGACGTTTCCCTATTTCTCCTTTGCACTTCTTTCGAATTCCAACTTCCGCTGCGTCATCGGCACATCCCGCGTTGCCGCGGTTTTGTTTGCATTTCGCAGGGGTTTTCATTAGAATCGTATCCCCGCGGGAAATTTTGTGTTTGGAGCCGGATTTTACCGGGTTGCAGGGATCCGTTTCGGTTTCCCTCCAGTTTTTGCCGCTTTTTTCCCTCTTTTTGTAGACTTCGCTCCTCGGTCAATTCCACCTGGAACCGACTCACTTCCACGTTTCCACTTTCTGTCTTTATCTCCAATTCTACGGTTTCCACGGTTTCCACGATGCATTCCACATCGTCCTCGGTTACCTCGGTTTCCTCGGTTACCTCGGTTTCCCCAGTTTCTCCAGTTTCCCCGGTTTCCCCCTGCGAATCGAACGGCACGTGCGACCACTGCGGCGTCTGCTCTTCCTGGATCATCCCCGCGGATCAGTGTCTGGGCGACGACGGCGAAATCTACGGGTTTACCGCGGAAGCCTGCGCCCGCGGGGAAATCGTCGACACCGACGGCACGTGCTGCCTCCCCGCGGATCTGGACTGCGAGAGCGCTTGCCGCGGTTCTGCGGTCGTCGCCGCGACGCTTTCAGGGGGTCGCGATTGTTGCCGCGGGGAGGTGAGATTCCCGCGGGACTGGGACGTAGACGGTGGACTGCATGGGGGTGTGCAACGGGCACGCGCAGCTCGACGACTGCGGCGTGTGCAGCGGAGGAACGTCCAGTAGGCGAGAACCGCGGGGATCCGACACAGACCACACGGCGAACAGCGACCAGGATTGCGCGGGAATCTGCTTCGGGGAGCGGCGAATTGGATGCGACGTCCGAATGCAGGCGGAACCCGCGGAACTCGACTTCCAGCTGGGCGTTTCGGAGGGGACGGCGACGGTGCGGAAGTCGGTGTGGGTGTATAACCGCGGGGAACACGACGCGATTCTGACGGACATGCTGCCGACGGTGCTGAACTCGCGGTTTTCTCCGTTTCTGAGCGTGTTCGTGGTGAAGGACGGGGAGATGGAAACGCCTCGGAATACGGTGGTAAAGGGGAAATCGGGGGTGGAAATGGTGGTGGAGGCGGAGATCGCGACGCTGCTGTCGGGAGAGAAGCTGTTCGAGGGAGGGAGGCGCGGCGAGACGCTGGAAGTGGGGAGAGAGAAGGGCTTGGAAGTAGATTTTGTTCATCCCGCTGACGAGGAATGTCTCGGAGATGCAGACCGTCGCGGTGCATTTGTCGTTCAACACCACGCAGTGCGAGCTGGTCACGGAGCATACGAAGTGTCTCGCGCTCCCGCGCTGCTTTACGTGCATTTTCCAGCTGGGTGCGAATCTGGGACCTGTGTGAAGCGTAGATTTCTCTGAGGAACTGAATTGGCTGATGAAGCCGCTTTCTTTGACTTCTTCTTCTTCTTCTTCTTCTTCCTCATTATCTTCCTCTTCCTCATTATCTTCTTCTTCTTCTTCCTCCTCCTCCTCCTCTTCTCGGATTACTACCGGACTGTTCTCAGACACTGCTGGTTTTTCGTGCATTTATGGAAGCCATGAAGATGTCTGCAGCGTTTTCTATTCGGAGGTGGAGCGGGAGATTTATCATAGGCAATACAAGTGGGATTGGGCGACTTTACGATCTCTAACAGCACTCATCTTTCTTTGTTTGCTCATTATCATGGCAGTGATTGTTTGGATGGATTCTTGCCATATCCGCAAGCTAAAGAATTTTTATCGAGAAATGTAACATTTTGGAATTGTTTGTTTCAGTTATGCAAATCGATTTTTCTTCGAAACTTCGACTGTAACGCCTAACACGTAAAAAGAATTTTTCATTTTTAATTGCATTTTTCTTTTCCAAAATGGAGTTTGATGATTTGGGAGAACACTGCTCCCTTTGTAGACAAAGGGATATTCTTCCTATGAAATGCAACTTTTGCGGAAAATACTTTTGCGTGAATCACATCCGATACGAAGACCACAAATGTCCGAATGCCAGCAAAGGAAACAAGGAAGTTGTTTTATGCAAGTACTGCAATCAACCCATTCAGCTTATACAAGGAGTCGATGTCAGCATCCTCGTATAATAGTTTAGTTGTGCATTTCATATAGGTAAATGAGCACTTACGCTACAATTGCTTTCCTGAAAAGAAAGTCGTTAAACGATGTCCCGTTCCGGGATGTAAGGAGAAGCTGTATGCAGTGAATACGATAAAGTGTGACAAGTGCGGTCAAGAGGTTTGCCTCAAGTAAGTTCTCTCTCTTTTTGCGAATGTAGGCACCGTTTTTCTGAGGATCATGATTGCCATCCTGTAAAGGCTCAAAAGTTTTCTCTGTTCCAGAAGTATTTTAAGCTGGGGAGAAGAGCTAGTTCTTCTATGTAACATATCCCAACTTTTGTTTTCTCAAACACACAAAACCATTTCTCGCGTCACAAAGTCAATTCCCTTCTGTGCCTGCTTCTTCAGCACCGGCATGGCTTTCTTAATCGCTTCTCTTTCAAAAAACGACATATTCGAAGGTAATGGAAGAGCCTCCTCCATTCCATTCCTCCCAAGTCGTACAAGCGATGAAAAATAGTGGCAACTCTCAAAGTCCTGCCTGACAAACGCTGGTTCGATGACATTTTCTTCTCCGTTCATCGCTCGCAGCACAGCTGTCGTGAACTCCGACGCAGCATAGGCCATCGCCAGAGTTGCAGAGCCATTGCCTTCTTTGGCAGACACAACTTCATCGCCTGCAAATTGGATTCGCGTTGTGATGTCGGGAATATCGAGCAATCGAAGCATCCCTAAAGGAAGTTGGGAGAGCAAAGGGATGATTGTGGTGCCTGCGTGGCCTCCCACGACAGGAATATGGATGAGGTGAGGCGAAACGTGAAGGGCGGCTGCGATAAAGGTGGAGGCACGAATGGAGTCGAGAAGAGTAATTCCAAAGAGTCGATTGTTTGCGTCGATTCCACGCCGACGATACACCTCATTGAAAAGAGGAAGAATTGAATTGATGGGATTCGTGATGAGCAAGACTTTGGCTTCTGGACAATATCTGATTTCACAAAAGAGACTGTTCAACGTACCGACTGCAGTAATCTGCTAGCTGAAGTCCCACTTTTGCATTCATGACAAAGAGATCGTCTCGAGTCATCCCTGGCTTTCGCGGAACTCCTGCTGGAATCACCACGACATCACTTCCTGTGAGAATTTCGGGAAGATTGGCCACGCCTCTTAACCCATACACCTCACACGGAGAGTTGATGTGTGACAAATCCACTGCAACGCCCGGAGGACGGTTGAGATCGTACAGAGCCAACTCACGAACCAGCGGATTCAACTTTAAGAGCAGTGATAAAGGCTGACCGATTCCTCCCGAAGCTCCTACCACGGCCACCCTGGCTCCCTGCATTTAAAGTAGTACAATATGTGCAACGATCACAGAACCAGAAAAGAATCGTGAGAAACGAAGAGAAAACATCGAACAATAATGAAAATGAACTCTAAAACAGTCTCGTTGATCCCTAGATTAGAGGGATATGCTTATCAGTTCCATATCCCTTGTATCGAGTCGACATTATCACTATTTTCTATATCCTAGGATCACACACAAAACTACAGGTTACACTGGATGTTGCTATTTACAAACCGTCAACACCACTCTATATTGTCTTTTTGGATTGTGCCACTTCAGAATCTGGAATTCGTGACCTGAAAATTATACTAGAAAAAATACAGGGAAGTCGCTCATGGGTCACGGCGGAATCTGTGGGGGTTTCATCGCTTTGTTGGCGACATCAATTCAATAGAATAGCTTGTGCCTTTCGCATTTATTGTTGTCAATATGCCTGTAGGGTTTCGTTCTGCAGTTTGTTGATTTTCTTGGTCTCTTTGTGGCGAAAGTGCTCATTTTTGCCTAGATTCACTACTACCACGTTGTTGGTCGCAGACTTCCCACGGAGAACGACCCTGAGCCCGAAATCTTCCGCATGAGACTCTTTGCTCCCAATCCTGTGACTGCCAAGTCTCGTTACTGGTATTTCATGCACAGACTTCACAAGATGAAGAAGGGAACTGGAGAGATTCTCGCTGTGAACGAGGTTCGTGTTTGTGGAGCGGTTGGTGATTTTGCTAGATCTTCGAGAAGAGTGGCGAGGTGAAGAACTACGGAATCTGGCTGCGCTACAACTCTCGCTCTGGTACTCACAACATGTACAAGGAGTACCGCGACACCTCTCTGATTGGTGCTGTCAAGCAGTGCTATTCTGAGATGGCTGGTACCCACCGTGCTCGTGACCGATCGATCCAGATCATCAAGACCGCTGTGGTGGCCGATGAGGATCTGAGAAGACACCAGAACATCATGTACACTCACAAGAACGTGAAGTACGCTCTGCCCCACCGCCAGTACCGTGCTGAGTCCAAGAAGTACCGCAGCACCTTCCTTGCTACCAGACCTTCTACCTGCCGTCGTTAAGCGTGTTGATAAATTGGATTGGCACAGTCGGTTGTTTGTTTCATGCATCAAACACTCCATAAAGAGGAACTAATCCGTCGAATGTACGCCGGTGAGTTGATAACCGCGCGCGTGAGGACTGGCTACACATCAGAGCTGCATCAGCGCTCCCCACGATCTTCCCTGCTTCCTGGATCACCTGAAGATTGTGCTGCAAGACGTAGTCCTCGGGGAAGGCCGGCTGCATCTCGTCGAAGTACTAGAAACATCAGGCCTGGGCGTCACGCAAACCAAGTTGAACTGTCGCGTCCATCGCGGTCCCGAGAACATCTTCACCACGTTGGCGCCCGCGTTCAGAATCTCCTGCATGCCGTTCGCGTGGAGCAGCAAGTGCAGCTCAGAGGTGGTAATGCTCACCGAGGGCATCACGATCCGACTCAACGCGATCATCCGCTTCAGTCGCTGGAAGGACCGCTCCAGGTAGGGTCTGTACTGATTCTACCGTTCATTCTATGACGCTCTGTCCCACATCGTTCTGCTCTCTCCAGAAGGGATAGATCGGCGTGTCCTTTGTAGGCATGTACACATCAAAGCTACGCGTCAGCTGCGCTCCGAACCGCTACTCCAAGCCGTCCACGCCCAGCTCTTTCATTCCCAGAATGTCCTCCACGAGATTCTCGTCGGTCTGGAAGGGGAGCCCCACGATCGTTCCCGAGTACACTTCATACCCCATTTTCATCATCTTTTTGATGTTCCTTCATTCGAAAAAACAAATCGAAACGCTACTCGCATCGCTCGTCGTATCCTCTCTCTCGAATGAACACATCCTTGTAGAGGAGGCGGTCCATCGCTTCCATTCGCAGGTAAAACAGATTGGCTCCGTTTTTGAAGTACCGCTTTCCAGTGTTTAAAGGAATTTCCCCCATCTGCAGACCGATTTGGATGGCTGCCCCTCCGGAGAAGTCGCCCTTCTTTTCCTGTGGGTGAGGCAGAGCGAAGACAACAGACTCGAAGCCCCTTATCGATTTCTTTGCTCTTATCGATGGTGTTGTGGATAATGTTCTCGATGAACTCGGTACGGCCTTCGTTGTTGAACTCTCCACTGCAAATCACAATGGTCCCGATTCCGTTGTTGTACAGCCACTCCATATTGTCATAGACGTGGGTCTACATAAAACGAGAAAACGAATCAAACAGGAAAGCACATAAAGCGCTTGACATCCTTATTTGCACGACGCATCCAGCAATGCTGACAGTTCCGTTCACACATATTATGCAAATCTGCGACCATTACAAGGAGTTGTGAGTCCTACCCATAAACCCATGGAGAGAGATTTCGTTAGAGAAGTGAACTTCAGTGACCGAGTTCGCATGCAAAATATATGCTTGCGCCTAAAAGTGATAACGCTGCTGTATTTCCAACTAATTTCTCATCTTCTGTCGATATCAAATCTTCTAATTGCTGCTGCGATAGGTCAATACTCTCTCCTAGGCATCACATCAAAAGGAGACAACTACCCTTTCGAATTGACTTTCCAACAAACTTTGAAAAAGGTTCTATATCTGATTTCCCATAGCAAAATGGTACGAATCGCTTCTTCACTCCAGGCAGCATTTCCAGTTGCTGTCGAAAGCAACCGAGTAAAGCGACATGCCCTTCTCGCAAAGCAAGGAATCATGACGAGTACTTTGTGGAAGGAATATAAATGATTTCAACAACAAACAGATTATTCTACAAAATTGTTTTTTCCTAGAAGACCCATGATGGTTTTCTGGAGGGCGAGTGTCTTCTCTGTGAGAAACGCAAGTTGCTTATCCAGAAGATCTTGCTCCTAAAGGTAAGAGGAAATCCGTTCTGAAAACGTTTTCTAGTTCACTGATATAGGATGCTGTCTCTGCTTTGATCTCGCTAATATGCTTTAGAACATCTCTGGAATGAGTCTTGTTCATCTAAAATACGCAAATAGGTCGTGGTACTTTGCTACAAACTCTCCCATTCGAGTCTGAAAGTCATGAAGACTGGTGGAAATAGAATTTGTATTATCGAATTCTGTATATTCCGTCAGCTCCGTCGAATCGCAAATTCTATTTCAACAGTCCAGAAAGGCTCGTACTCCTCCTCCTTTGGTGCTGGCTCTGGACCTGAAATATGCGCTCTTTTTTCTTCACTTTCATCCTTTGGAATTCCTTTTCGTCATTACGAACAAGAACCTTCACCTTTCCTCTTATTTTCCATAGTATTGTATAACTAGAAATTGCAATATCAAGAATGAGGTGTGTGATCCAATAAACATTTCCCTCCACATCAAAACACAATACTATTTTAGTTAGACTTTTTTAATGAAGCAGCTCCTCCTCTTGCTCTGATCTCTGCTAAAAAGTCACCTCCTGAAGTTGAGATGCGGGGAGGTAATGATGAAGACGAGCTGTCTCTCTTGAATGAAGGAGGGAGAGTACCTGTGGTAGGATTGTCCTTCTTAAGGGCAGCAGCACCTCCCTTCGCTCTGATTTCTGCCAAGAAATCACCTCCGCTAGAAGCAGGGGCGGGATTGTCTTTCTTGAGAGCAGCAGCGCCACCCTTGGCTCGAATCTCTGCTAAGAAATCACCTCCGCTAGAAGCAGGGGCAGGATTATCCTTCTTAAGGGCGGCTGCGCCTCCCTTCGCTCTGATTTCTGCCAAGAAATCACCTCCGCTAGAAGCAGGGGCAGGGTTGTCTTTCTTGAGAGCGGCTGCGCCTCCCTTGGCTCGAATCTCAGCGAGGAAATCGCCTCCACCGGTACCAGTTGCAGCAGGAGCGGGATTGTCCTTTTTCAGAGCAGCTGCGCCTCCCTTCGCTCTGATTTCAGCGAGGAAATCATTTCCACCAGAAGCAGGGGCAGGGTTGTCTTTCTTGAGAGCAGCTGCGCCTCCCTTCGCTCTGATTTCTGCCAAGAAATCGCCTCCTCCTGAAGCAGGGGCAGGATTGTCCTTTTTAAGGGCAGCAGCACCACCCTTGGCTCGAATCTCTGCTAAGAAATCGTTTGCTCCACCAGAAGCAGGGGCGGAAGCAGGAGCGGGATTGTCCTTCTTGAGAGCGGCAGCACCACCCTTCGCTCTGATCTCTGCCAAGAAATCGTTTGCTCCACCGGAAGGAGAAGCAGGAGCAGGATTATCCTTCTTCAGAGCGGCAGCACCACCCTTCGCTCTGATTTCAGCAAGGAAATCATTTCCTCCGGCTCCAGAGGGAGAAGCAGGAGCAGGGTTATCCTTCTTGAGAGCAGGAGCAGGATTATCCTTTTTCAGAGCGGCAGCACCACCCTTGGCTCTGATCTCTGCCAAGAAATCGTTTGCTCCACCAGAAGGAGAAGCAGGGGCAGGATTATCCTTCTTCATTGCAGACACATTCTCACTACCTGCACTCGTGCCCAATATAGGCTGAGGCGATCCTGCCATTCCAGACTCGGGCTTCCCGCTCGATCCCTACGATCAATCATCCACCGGCAATCCGTTTCCTACAGGACTCATCAGCGGAATTCCGGTCTGCAACTTGGGAGAGCCAATCGCAGATACAGGGCCACTACCAGCATTGGGGCTGGACAGATCAATCTACGGACAACAGCTGGAAGAGAGCCTACAGGTCCAGGCGAAGACATCGCTAGATTTAGAGGAATCTCGATGTCCGAGTCACTGTCCGAAGAGGAAACCTCCTCTTCCACTTCAGGGAGGGACGCTGCGTTCGGATTCTACAGTGAATTCCCACCAGAAATAAATACGACTAACCGAAGCTCTTTTCGAATTTGAATAAGCTGCTTTCGGATCTGTTTCTTTTCTTTCCGTTCTTGTTTCCTTAACCGTCTCAACTCCATGTTCTCAATACGAAGGTTTTGGTTCTCTCGAATCAAATTAGCTTTCTCATTATTCAGATCGAAATTCTGCTTCGCATATTCCTCGATTTTCTGTTTGTCTCCTTCGATTTCCAAAATGTAGCTCTTTGCCATAATGCGTTGGAACGTTCTAAATTAAGAAACAGGAAGCAAGAGGTACACTAAACCTTCCTCCGTCTTAGGTCGTTGGTCAAATAGAGTAGAAAACGCCACATTAATACACTTCACGATGCCAGATTCTTCTAGAAAATCTTTAAACTCGCGCTGTTTAGACTTCGATCCCTATTCCTTAAATACCGTTAACTTCATTACTCCCATCGCTCGAGAATCAACTACGGATGACATTATTACAATGGTATTCGATTAAGAAGAAAGATATAAAAATTACCAAATACCTTATTAGCAAGGATATGAAAAACGGTCAAGCACAATTTAAAAACGGAATTCCAAAAAACCAACCCTCGACTCATTATTGAAGTACTAACCGACTCCAACTCTACTATTCTATTTGTCTCTTATTTCTTCTTTTGAAATCCTTGTTACTGTCGGGTAGGTTAGCCAGTTTCGTACTTAACCCAAAATTGTGTTGTTGAAAATGTCTGATATCTTTGTATATGATGACGAAAATCCAATATTGAGTGAGTTTTTTCAGAGCATGAAGCGGTTTATTCCGGTAATCGTGTTGAACCGTCCTTATTTTTAGTCTTTTGAATCGAAAGCGTTCAGTAATCGATGGATTGTAGCCATTCCTGTGAAGCACACAATTGTGAACGAAAAGTTGTCTAAACAGTACATTCGTACACGCTCCTCTTAATCCTGACGCATAGAGGCGCACATCTTCCAGCATTCTCCGTTCTACCTCGGTCAATATGTTTCGTTGACTGGGAAGCTAGCAGAGATTGACTCCAACTATCTTTTTGTATATGTAGAGATGGTTAGAAATCCTCACTTGCAGAAAACAAGCCAAAAAGCTGAAGATTCCGCCGTAGAGCGGAGTTGTCGCATTTTAGAGGACAACGAAGTGTACAATAACAACGACATGAGCCAGTCCTACAGAATCCTCCTCCTAGACAAGCCCGTCGAGGGCAAGTACATCTCGATCAACACCTCCCACGCGGGGATCAATTCTCTCCACCTCAAAAGCATCGATGGTCGCTCTCCTCTTTCATCATCACCCCCAGAAATCGAGTCCTCGATCTGCAACGACCCCGCGGCCGCTCCCGTTTTCACCTCCCTCACGCAGGATCTTTTCTACCTCAGCAACCGCCTCAAATCCATCGACATCGCCGCGCACCGCAGCGAGCTGCGCACTCGCCTCCAATCCATCATTGACCGCCATACCGATCTCATGATCCAGGTCAACCCCAATTGGCGGCAATGCCTCACTTCCCGCCAAAAAACTCTCATTCTTCGCGCCTGCATCGAAACCTTCCTCATGAACCGTCTCTATTCCACCGTTTCCACTGTTTCTACTTTTTCATGCAGATCGCACCCGCCATTCAGACACTCACATCCCCGCGGGACCAGCTCATCGCGGGGTATCGCGGCTGGCTGCAGCTGCATGGCGGTCCCTCCCCGCGGGAATTATCCCTCAACCCGATTCTGTTTGCTCCGGAGGTGCTGAAAACCGCGGTTCACACGCTGAACGGATTGGAGGAAACCACGTGCGTGGTGCAGAAACTGCACGTGCTCTGGGAATGCATGCGGTGCATTAACCGCGATATTTGCCAGCACGTGAGCAAGGCGTACGGTGAGACATGATTCCCGCGGTTATGGGTAGGGAAGGAAATGGATTTGGCGGCAGATGATCTGGTGCCGCTCATCGCGTTGGTCGTTTTGGAGTCACGTGTCACGCAATTGTGTTTCACGATCGAGTTCGTGAACGAATTCGATTTCTCAAAACTTCAAGAACGAGAATTAGGGTCGATTTTTGGAATTCCAAATAACGGGCAGATTTTGTTTTGTCTCGTTCCGCGTCGCCGTTCGGTTCATTGAAGCCAAAGCCGAGGAATGGCGGAATTCCAAAAATCGGCCCGATTTTGGAGCGACCGGTTCGACGAGTCCCGCGGTGTCGCCAGGCGCCGAAACTCCCCGAACGCCTCAGAACTCGGGTTTTTTGTGATTCCAAAAATCGAGGGTAGAATGGAGTTCGCTGATGTGCCCAATCAAATGGTCGACGTTCCAGCAGGGGGACCGGAACATTATTCATTTCGACCCCACGGAGAAAACGTACGATGAGAAGCAGTTCGTTCTTGCGTCTCGTGCCGATTTTTGGAATTCCTGATTTCCTAGCCATCGGAAACAGCCCAAAAAAAGGCTCGAATTCTGTGTTTACGCAGATTTTGGTCAAAGATTATTTGGAAGATTCGATTTCGCCGGAGCCAATCATCGCGTCCGACGCCGAATCTTCGTCTCGCTATTGGTGGAACAGCACAACCACCGCCAAGAGAAAGGTCGTTCTCCCGTGGAACTATCCCATGGATGCAAAAACCGCGGATAATTCCAATCAAAAATCGCGGTTATCGGGTCGAAAGTCGGTGAGAATTCCGAGCATTCGGCTCACGCGGGCGCTTTCGTCGCCTCAGGCGGGGAATAGTGTTCCGAGTGCGTCGATTCCCGCGGAAAAGAAGAGGAGGTCGTATTTTTGTTGGTGTTGTGGGGGATCAGAATCGGGACCGGAAGGAACAAATGGGCCCCAATCCATTGTAGATCAGGCCGCTCAGGATCCGGTGATTTCGCTGATTCCCGCGGACAGTGCGATGCGGGATTCGGAGAAACCGCGGGAGGAGGAGGCACGAGACGGTGGCCAATCAAATGAGGAGGAGCGAGTTGGATATGATAGCGGGATGGGTTCGTTTTTGGAGAATTTGAAGAAGCAGAATGGGCATGTGTCTTCGATATCGTGGAAGACGATATGAAGAGAATTGTGTATTAGTATGGATTTGGATTTGGATTTGGATTTGGATGGGTGTTTGTTGGAAGGAAACAAAGGGAGGTTTGGGGAGAGGGAGGCGTTGAGATGAAGAGAAAGGAAGATGATGAGATGAATAATTGGGCAGTGAATGGTTCAAATCTTATAATGATTGAATGATTGAATTGAATCAAAGGATGATATCCTAATTGAATCAATGAAAGATATTATGTATGAATCAATCAGTTGAATCAATGAACGTCCCACACACAACAATCTCCAATTCTTTCCATCGTGATTCAAACAAACAGCAACACACCAAATCTCCATTCTTCGAAAGTCCCCATCTAATGAATCGGAGACATTGATGCCTTGGATCCCACCGATCCCACCGACGCTTTCGGCGTATTTGGAGTCGACAGCTCGCTTCGCTTCGGCGAGGAAGCCAATACCGGCAACGTTCCTTCGCGCTCCGTCTTCCCAACCCTTCCTCCTGTTTCCACGTTCATCGCATTCATCGCATTCACCGAATTCATCGAAACCGTCGAGTTCACCGAGCCCTGCGAATTCACCGAATTCACCGAATTCATCGAATTCTGCGAGTTCAAAACATGCGATGCGTTCGATTTCTTCGCTTCCTGCGATTCGCTTTTGGCTCCATCGAATTCTCTGCACGCTTTCCAGCGCCGATTCACTTTCTTCAATCGAAACGAAGCGATCTGCGTCTCAGCGTCCTTCCATTCCCCACCATTTCGTTGAACCGATCGAATTCGCGCTTCACGCTCTCGATGTCCTGCGTCAGCGCTTCGAATCGAACATTCGACGCGAAACTCCCGTCCTGCTTCGCCTTTTCCACGATCTGTGTGAAGAGAAACTGCCCGTTGGGTCGCTCTGCGAGGACGGCGGAATAAACGAAGAAAACGAGGAGCGACGGGGAGAAAAGAAGATCGAGATCGGTGGCAAAAACTTCGAGAAGCAACTGATCGGCTTTGGTTTTGATTTCGTCCATCGTTTGCTCTGTTAAAATCTGTTTTCCCTCGTCGGAGAGCGCGATTTCGGCGAGCAGTGTATCGATCGCCTGTTGATCAGGCAGCTGCAGAGCGTACTCGAACGATGCGGCAGGGCGTGTGGACGATGATTTCGTATTTCAAGGCGTACAAAACTTTCTGCTCGGTTTTGACGATGTCTTCCTCCTTTTGGTGAAGTGTGCGGGCGATGCTGTCTGCTTTCACCATGCAGAACTCGTCTGCTTTGTATGCTAAGAGCAGGCTCGAGGCGATGATAAGGAGAGGATTGTATTGGAGAACGCTGCGCTCCAGGAAAAAACGCTTCACGTAGGCGGCAGCACAGAACTGCACCGAACGAACAGAGATGTCCTTTTTTATGTATTTGACGTCGTCTTCAAAAAGACGCGTCAGGTAAAAGTGAAGCAGCACCAGCTCTTCATTAACCTACCTACTAAGAAAACCAAGGATAATTCACAGATAAATAGGGTTCTAAATCCTCGGCAGATGGAACGAACGAGTCCAGAAGCGATTTCGCGGTTGGTTCTGGCAAACCCTTGTCAGAAGTCGGAGTCGAAACTGCAGGACGTAACGACGCGTTCGTGGGCGTTCTAGCCACCGTTTGCGCAGTGTTCGACTCCGTTTCATTCGGTTGGGTCATGGATGACAGTATTTCCTTCATCTTCATTGCATTTCATCCGGAAATACCTTTCTTTTGAAAATGATTGACTTCACTATTTGATCGTGCGCTTTTTGGCGGATCTCATCTAGACTTGATCGTTGGGGGAAAAGAACACACTCAGCTGTTCCCTGGTGAACGTCCAATGCCTTCTCTGCGTTGAATCTAAATAGTCGATCATCCCCAGGAAAAGTGTGAAAGCCAACTGCATCCTTGCACTCTCCGGACACCCTCTACCCCAAACCACACTTATTTGCAACAAACACTCCGAAAATACAATCAGAACAAAACTCCATTTAATGCGAATTGGTTCGTCATCGCCGTAACCACAAAATACGTCAACGCATACGTCACCACTCCCAGAATCATCGAGAACGGCAACGCCGGCAGCGCCATCTCCAGCACGCTCAAAAACGCCATCGTCAACAACAGCCCCTAAAACTCACGCATCCCCGCGGGACCCACGGTCAGAATAATAACGAACACAAACACAAACGGAACCGACGACGCCAAACTCGCCTTCGACACCATCAGCGAGTAGAAAATAAAATCCCCCAGTCCCAGCGACACGCTCTCCTCTACCCTCACAGAACCGCGGTTATCGTACTCTCGAAAATCCGGTTGATCTTCCCGCCCTCTTCCATCTCGATCTCCGAGTCCGCCACGTAGTCTCCGTCCGTGATCACACCCTCTCCCGCGGGAATGACCCCCTCGTCGGGCGTTTCATCGATGGGGAGCGGCCCGTCGCTGTGATCGAGGGTGGTTTCATAGAGAAGCCCGGGGATGGCGTCGTCCCGATTCTGCGAGATGTTGATCTACCTCATATATTGTGGAAACGTGGAACCAGGAGTTTCAGAGGGCCGCAGGGAGTGAGAACGGCGCAGATGTCGTAGAGAGCCATGGCGATGAGGAGGATCCACGTGGTCCACTGGGGGTAAAACCGCGGGGAAGGGGTACGTCGGGGAAGAAGGAGAGGAGGTAGCAGACGAGGCAGCTGATGAAGATGAGGAAGGCTTTTTTGACGAGGGGAGGGGCGTACTGGGTGAAAAAAAAGGGCCGATTTTTACAGTTCCGAAAATAGAGATGACGGAGACGACGCCGAGGTTGAAGAAGATGAAGGCGGAGGAGAAGAGGTCGCAGCTGAATTGGTATTGCATGGCGGCCATGTAGAAGATGACCCAGCCTGTGTAGCCGATCGCCATGAAGGTGGAAAAGTAGAGAAGGCCGTACAGCACTTTAATGCAATTGTATTTGTAGAGGATGACCATAATGAAGGTCATCAGGCCAATAAACAAAACAATCACCAAGGAATTGATTACTGCTTGCCAGATGGAGTCCCACGTGTTGTCTGCTTCCTGTTTGTATACCATGTAAACCCTTCCATTTATCCAATTCCTTAAATATACGTCAATCCCTGTTCTAAGGCTGAAGTAAAACTCGCTGGTCTCACTACATTCACGAGAATTCTACAAATAAGACTGTACAAAAATACAAACGCAGAGAATAACATGGTCAAACCAACAGGGATCACGATAGAAGCAAGATGATTTACTCCGTACCAGATTACATATGTCGAATCGTTAAGAAGATTCTTCTCCTCCTTTGCGCTCTAGGTATTGAGGACTTCGTGTAACATACACTTGGAGATATGTTAGCATCTTCCTGACTCATTTATAAACCGATGTACACCAAACAATTCGTAAAAATGAAAGATATTGACACGACTTCAGGGAGTTTCAGAAATACTAATCTTCAACTACACGAGTAGTAGTAGAAGTAGCAGCAGTTTTATTATATTGAAATGTGATGAACGGTTACAACTAAGCTGAAGGATGTGTTAGGAGTGTGTTTAATAGATGGGTAACGAAAGAGTCAGTGTGGCATTTTCCAGTGAATGCTACATACTACAACTTTCCAAAAATATCGACAAACGGCCTTGTTTTACAAATGTCATCCCTTTTCTTATTTCCACCTTCCTTACTGCTACAAAGAGTATCTCAACTTCGAAATCGCTATTGTTTACTGCATAATAATCATTTTCTATTTTGCTAATGTATGTTGTCCCATACAAACATGATAAGATTCAGGTTTCTAAGGAAATGAGTAGAAAAGACATACCAGATTTGTTGAAATGGGTCGCGTGATTCGAGGTAAGTATCGAAAAATCAATTCCATACTATTTTCTGACTTTATGCAACTTTTGTTGATTTTCCTTTAAACTCGCTGAATTTGACATCTAACTGCATGTGTAGGACAAAGAAAGGGAGCTAAAGGAGCTGTCTTCCAGGCTCACACTCACCTGCGTAAGGGAGTACCTCAATTCCGTGCCTTGGACTATTCTGAGCGCAACGGATTCCTGAAGGGAGTGGTGAGAGAGATCGTTCACGATTCCGGTCGTGGCGCTCCTCTTGCTCGCGTCACTTTCCGCAATCCGTACTTTCGTTTGACAGAAGGTGGCTAATGGGTAGTTACCACTTCAAGGTGGACAAGGAGCTGTTCCTGGCTGCTGAGGGTATGTTCACTGGCCAGAGCGTGTTCTGCGGTAAGAAGGCGGATATCAGCGTGGGTAACGTGCTTCCTCTGCGTGAGCTTCCTGAGGGAACTGTTGTGTGCAACGTGGAGCACAAGGTGGGCGATCGCGGCAGTCTGGCTCGTTGCTCTGGCGACTACGTGACTGTGATTGGTCACTCGGATGACCGCAGCATGACGTTCATCCGTCTGCCTTCGGGCATCAAGAAGACGGTTTCTTCGAGGTATGTTTTTCTCTCTTTGTGTTGGTTGTAACGCGTAGCTGCCGTGGCATGGTGGGAATCGTGGCTGGCGGAGGCCGCATGGACAAGCCGATGCTGAAGGCGGGTCGTGCGTACCACAAGTTCGCTGTGAAGCGCAATGAGTGGCCGAAGGTGCGCGGTGTGTGCATGAACCCTGTGGATCACCCGCACGGAGGAGGTAACCACCAGCACATTGGTAAGCCTTCGACTCGCAGCCGTGGCACTTGCCCCGGAAAGAAGGTCGGTCTCATTGCTGCTCGTCGCACTGGACGTATTCGTGGACGTGTGGAGCCTTAAGAAGGACCGAAGGAGGAATGTTTTGGGTATGTCTTGATGTTTGTTCGAAGAAGTTTTCATTGGATGTGTATGAAACTGTGAAATGGTGGACAGGAAAACAAGACACGACGTCACTAGAAGTCTTTCATAATGAGGGATTGAATGTTGGTTATGACTTCACCTCAGGCTGTAGCACTACCTATCATATTTCCATTTTGTTGTAACTTACAAAAAGGAGAATTACTTAACTATTATTGCGATTGATCTAAGTTGGGATTGAAGTTGTTGAAAAACAATTTAGAGATCACGCTCTATACTTTGGAAAATAAGAGCCAATAAATAACGGTTTTCCATAGTAATTGAAATGTTTTAACCTTTTAGGGAACGAAAAGAGTTGCAATGATAGGAGTAAATACTATAAGAAAGGTAAACACAATTACTACATAGAGAACGACTTCTGGTAGGGATTTTACTATTTGATGGCACCATACAGTGCAATCCACATATTACATATTAAGAATGAAAGAACTGGCACTGCTGAACAAAACATCACTCTACTATTAACTGATTTTACATATTATTTCTTATTTCGATGCCAAGGATTGTTGATTTTGTCAATTCTGTTATTAGTAACTATCAAATTGATAGTTCTATTATTCAAAATGTGCAGGGATGCTTGGGTAGAGAAATGAAACCAAATGGCTGGATTTTACTCATATTGAGTAATAGACAATGTGTAGTATTGCAATTCAATAATGGAATATTCATGAATCAAGGATTTGTCCTCAATGAGCAGAAAATCTTGAAAGTGTTTGGAAATCATCAAATTGGTGATATTTCATATAGTGAAGAATTTATTGGAGAAGGAATAGTGGATTTGGACCATGGAAGTCGATTTGAAGGCTTGGTATTGACAAATAGAGAACGTAAAATAGGAATTCCATTTGGATATGGTGAAATGTATGATGATGATGGAATATTGGTGTACAAGGGCATAATGATCAATTGGAAACGATTTGGCTATGGAACGAGTTATCATAATAATGGTTTGATTGAATATGAAGGATATTGGTGTGATGATAATCGATTTGGAATTGGAAAAGTGTATGATCGATCAGTATGGTAAATTAGTGAATGAATGTGAATGGTATTATGGAATTGAAAGTGATACTGATGAAAAATATGAAGGCGATGGAAACAAATCATTGAATATGGGAATGAAACATTTGAAACTGAGTGACAAATGTGTATTGGTTGATTGGGATGTTTCATTGTTGTATAATTTGGAATCAATCGAAATTGGTGATGATTGTTTTGAATCAGTACAAACATTCCAAATCGATGGATTGAATCGATTGAAAACTATCAAAATCGGTAAGTATTTTTTTACTCAGAAACAGAATGGATTGAGAGATGATGAATCGAAATCATTCCACATATTGAAATGTAAATCATTGGAATCCATTCAAATTGGTGAATCTAGTTTCAATGATTTTGCTGGCGACTTTGAATTGAAGAATCTACCACAATTACAATCCATTCAAATTGGTATACTTGGAAGTTATTCATTCAATTTCTATTACAATTCGTTTGTGATTCGAGGTATTGAACTGATATTGAATATTTGGATGATACATAGATCTTCCAAATCTACAATCCATCACAATAGGTGATGATGTTTTCCGTGATTCCTTATCAACAATAATTGAATGGATTGAATGAATTCGAATGAAGTGATTGAATGTACATCTTCCCAATTTGATATCCGTCAAGAATCCTAAAAGATCGAGATTCTATTATCCTCGTTCCGTTACATTAGAATGAGGTTCTATATGCTTATTATTGATTGTGTTTAGACATTCCAAATCTTTTTATTGTAGTCTTGCGGGAATCTTTTTGTTGTGTTAATTCTATAGTGATTTCTCGCTTGTCGAGTGTATATACAAATCGAAAAGTGTATATATTCTGTTTGAATCATCTTGTAAAATTGTCTTGCTCAATGCTTAACATTCAGTCTGTATCCAAATTATCAAAATAATCAAATTGCATAATAGAGAATAGTGATACATTTATGATTATTCCCTTTTTTATACAAATAGTTAAGCATTTGTATGATATTCGTTTCTTTATATTTGGCCAGCAATAGTCTATTTCTATTTCTAATCAAATCCTTGAATTTTAATAACAAACAATACTGATTGTCTACATTAGTTTTTGATTTTGCCTGCAATACAGTACGCATATTATTACTGTCCTTACTAGCCATTACGGCTTCTAGATGATCCAAACGTCGCTCCTACGCTTTGAAATGCTGATATTATGCCTCTTCCAATTCCAGATCTCCAAGAAGCACTCATCATTGACGCCGCCGCACTTCCCGATTCAATTCCAGGATTACCAAATCCAAACATACGCGCAATCGCACCACATATACAGCACATTGACTTTTTTTTTACTATTTGACACATTATCTTAGTTTGGCAAATTATGGAATTGCCATAATCGAAGGTATTTTCATTCTCTTCCTATTATTTGTTTTTAAAACAAGTAAAGTAATTTTGAACTATAATTTAAGGACCTAACTGCACTATTCGAGGATAACTTCTCGAAGCTATCTTAAGAGCGGAATTTTCTCTCACTGTTGCCGTGGGGAATAAATATTGTTAAAAACGGAACTTTAACCCACTGGATAGTTGTTTTGAGTATTATTTGCTATGAATGAGATTGCTTTATTGATGGGAAATACGTAATGCTATCTGCTATCCACAATTTACTGTATGTCTGGATCAAAAATCTAGTTCAGTATCTCTCATTAGTAAGAATATGTACTCTGAAAACCTTGTGGATTGCTTCATATTTGTATTCTCATTCTCCAATCAATTCTACAGACATAGGGAGTAAATCACATTAGTGGAAGCTGTTCTACTACAATAGGGTCTCGATTTCCAACATTTTCACGGTGCCAAATATGTATATTGCTCGAAGTCTATTTACCCTATGGATAACTAGAGAATCTATTTTTTATTTGCTATAAGAGGAGCTATTCTCAGTTGTTCCTTTTCACGAAAGAATGCCCTTTCTGAACCGATCGCACTCATCCTAACCAAAACATATTGCTTATTGTTTCAACGCTCTCCATTCCTTTTCTGTTCTAGCCAGCATTCCACCTCCCTTCTCCCTCCCCCTCGTTTCGATTCTTTCCAACAAACAAACCAATCCAGCTAAATATCAATATAATAGTACAAAGGCAATGGTAATCAAAAATGCAAGTTCTATCAAAAACACAACGATAATCGGTATCAGTCGCGGGTCCTTTCGATTGGTTGCTCCAACACTTGCTTCCTTCAGGGTCCATTGAAGTTCCACCTCCACAGGATCCTCTTCAATGAGAAGCTTCACTGTCATGCGCTGATTGTCCTTCCTCTCCAGGGACCAAAATGATAATCCTGGCGAAGATATTACCGAATCATCTAAAATCAACGAAATGATTGAATCCGACCAAGCAAACCAAACAAGAGAGGTCCATCTCCAACTCGGACGATACTAACGTTTAATTCCACTATATTTCTATGACATCGCATGAGATAAATACTCCTACATGTTTTTTACGAATACAGATAAACGATCTTGATCCATTGGAGATATTGAAAGAAAAATAAAGGTTGTTTTATCACGCTTGTTACGAAGCAGCCTTGAGATGTTTCTAAGCAAAGAGTTTTCTACTAATGACCTCAACGAAACAGAGTCGTACCAGAGTTCTCGGAATCATCATAGAATAACGAGAAACTGCGCTCCTTACTACCGGATATATTCTTATTCACCCAAGGGAAGCTACGCTCAAAATTGAACTACAGTTCGAACTTTTGAATAGAATTTGTATATTGCGCATTACGATTCATATTTAATCCAAACGAAGTCTCACTTTGACACGAAGAGACCATACCGTTCAAAGTGGAGTAATAGGAAACATCCCGACAACGGAAAGACTGACTACGAGCTGGGGCATTTTCGAGTCCCATTCTTAAAACGGAGCTCTCGGTTACCCTCATTGAACAACCTACAGTCATCACATTTACGTTGACATATACAGAATATGTACGTAGTTACTATCAGGAATAACCGCACATTCATCAGTTCAATAGTGAGTGGAGTTTCAGAGAGAAAGATACTCTTCCGCGGTTATTTACTACAAACAAACAATGATGTCATCTTTCGAAAGAAAGTTACAATTCCAACAAGCACTAGTACTGAACACTACTTATGAGTGAAGCTGAAAAAACCAAACAAGGAAAACTCTTGGTTATCTGATATGACCATGACGGCTGCCGTGTTCTTCATTCCGCAGTATTTCGGCGCGGAAAAAACAGTGATTACATTTTTATCATGACAAAACTGATATCCCTAGAGCATCATCCACCACCCTCGCTCTGCACGTAACTAATCACCTGGTGGCCCCGAACGATGCACTGCAGCGCGTTTTCTCGATTGAACTGCTTGCTGATATCCTCTCCGAAGCAATATCCAATCCCGCGGGGAGACAACTTCCATCCCGCGACTTCATACGGATCGGACCACAAAAGGTCGCAGAAGCCTCCCTCCTGGTGTTAAGCAGCCATGAATCCTCGAGAAGGATATGTTAGGGACTTGCTTTACGCGATTTAGCTCCTGGATCTGGTCGATGGAACAGAGTGATGGCGAGAGGCCTCCGTGGACAGCGAGATATCGATCGTTGATAATAGAACCGATCGGCAAATAGCAGAATAGATCCGAAAAGTAGCTCCAGACTCGCTCGTCTCCGTACTTCTCAATGCACTCTTCGTAGAATCCATAACTAGCTTAGAAAGAGAGGAAGGAGGCGATACAATTTATTTGGCTGCTCACTTTCGTGATTGCCACGAATAAGGGTGATACGATCTGGATACCGAATTTTCAATAACACGAGTAGTGTGATCGTTTCCACCTATCCCTAAAGCGAAATGACAGCTGAGTACAGATTTTTGCCCTCGATCGACATAGTCTCCAAGAAACAAGTAGTTTGAGAAAGGAGCATCACCGTTTATTCTAAAAATCTCTATTAAGTCCGAATACTGCCCATGAATGTCCCCAACGACGGCAACTGGCCCCTGAATATATTTAATATTTGGCTCGCATATAAGTATTTCTTTGGCCTAAAAATGAAGGCGATAGGACACCACTCACTAAAGTACAAAGTTGAAAAACATCCTTTTCTGGTAATGGCGTCAATGTTTCTTTGTTGCTTATCCAGTCATCGAGTTTGTGAATCCACTTGTTCATAATGAATGAATAAAATAATAGTAAATAGTCTTAATAATAGTAATCATAATAATAATAATCATAATAATAGGAAGAAAATGATTCATAAGTAATAATAATTATAATAATGAAAGAGTAAAAGGAATAGTAATTAATCAAGTTCTCTTTAATTAATCCTTGTTTTCGAAGCATTCTATAGATAATCATATGGTCCGGGTAGGAAAGAAAGGTCAACGGAAGGCAAAGAAGCCAACTGCTGAAGAAAGCTATCTGCAGGAAATTCAAAACGAATTAAAGAAAAATAAGCACAGAATTTGCGAAACCGTATGTGTTTTCCATGGCAGTACTATTGTAGAGACGTCGTCAGCAGGAGTCAGCTGCAATCAACTTGCTGATGGATTTCATCTTACATACAAAGAAATTTGTTTATACTGGAAGCGAAAAACTCTCTCGCATGACATTATTGTCATGTGCTGATGGTGATTTTTGTGTCAAGTGAAAATGATTGTCTAGAGTATATTCATGACCACGTATCTTCTCTGAATGTGCTGCTGGGTGTGTTATGCTCGATTGTGGCTTGTTCACCGAGTACTCAAGAATTGTTACTGGAGCTCAAAAAGGAGACTGCAGAACCCTCTGTCGTCGATTTGATGCATAAGTTTGAGATACCTGAGCAACACTACGAACTGATGGAGTAAGGTGCATGGCCAATGTTCCTATCTTTCTAGTTGTATTCTTCAGATTCAGGCAAACGACGCATACAACGCTTATTTTCCCTCTGCCTTACATTCACTTTAGACGAAGATTCGCTTTTTCAATTTTCGTTTTGGCCTTGTTTTTGAATTTCGTATTCTCTCACTTTCCTAAATTTGCTGTTTTTTGGAATAAGCAAGTCCCATTGGCTCTTGAATTACCAAGGAATAAAACCAAAGTCCCTACAACATGTATGGGCCTGTCCGCAGATCATTTCTACCGAGTTGTTAATTAGAAAAGCGTAAAGATTGTGGTTGAGGTTTTTGTGTTTTTGATAATCAAGCAATTCTTTGCATACCTGTACATTCTCGTATTCTTTTGTAGCACTCAGAAAAGGATTGGTGAACGTTATTGCCAAGATGTCTCGAATCCAAAAATATGTAAAGAGTGTAGGAAGAGATTTGGCAAATGCTGCAAGTACTATAGGCGATAATGCAGAGTCCTATAGTCTTTTGGACACACTGAGTCCTTACATTCTGTGTGGTGGTTTCGGTAATTGAGTTGTGTTGCGTTGATTGATTTAGAGTACGAGAAGGAAAGACACCGAACGTACATGCGCACCGTTCTGTTAAAGCTCTGGTCGCGTTTCTTGATTATGCTTCGAACGGTGTGCAGAGTACGAGCGAAATGATCTCTAGGCTCATTTTTCTGAGCAATGTATGTTGTTTCAGCTGATTGTTGCTATCGTGAAACGATCCGAGTTTCTTCTGGTACCGTTTCCTTGTGATTGCTCCCTTTCTAGGAGAACTGCGGATTTGTCGATGCCCATCCTTCTCTCGACCCCCAAATCCATAACCAGCTCGTGCAGTACATCTTTCTTCTCAAGTTGTCTCTCCTCTACACTCCTCACGCGATCATCAAGAACGCGGCTCCCTCTCGCGAATTCGTCTTCGCCGTACCACTCATCCGTCCTTCCTGACTCCCAGATCATCTCCGCGTCTCTCATTCGCATCCCGGAATACCGCATCTGCTTCCTGACCCAGCTCCAAAGCACCATCAAGAACACCGGCGTGGAGCCCGACGCAGGCGTCGAGACCATCGCCTTCTCCACCACCACGTCCACCTTCATCGACAAATACATCGACCCTTCTCTTCTCCGCAGCGCCGCGCCGCTGAATCTCCCCACTTCCTCCAGCCGCCTCAGCGGCCTTCTCTCCGACTCCCTGCGCGTTTCTCTCCCTCGCACCACGCCACTGAGCGGGATTTCCGCGGAGACCGGCAGTGCGGACGAGAGACCCGCGGGGGAGGCCGGAGAAGGAGAGAGTTTGGCGGGCGTCGAGGAGGATTTTCCGAGTTTTGTGAGCGAGGCGATCGAGGAGCAGTCGATCGATTTTAAGAGTAGAAACGTGGAAACGGGGTGAGGACTAGCGATGGTGGCGAACATTCCTCCTGCGTTTGTGTTGCGGTCGGACCAGATAGTGTTCCACGACGATCTGCCGGCGACGCCGCAGGATTCGCACGAGTTTTGCTTCGATGACCACAACTTTGACCACATCAACTACGACGACGACTATTCGGAGAACCCCTACTCCACGATGAACATCCACGACATCGTGCGAGACCACCTCTACTCCCTCAACTACTCCCTCACCGGGCGGTTCGCCGACCGGGACACGGGGAGCGAGCTGCCGCCGCTGAAGCTGCCGAACATGAACGTGGTCGTGGATTTGATGTATGAACGATGCCGCGAGAGCGTGGAGGAGCGACTGATGTGCCGGCGGTACGAAGCGGCGCACCCGAGTTTGTTCCGCTGGGACCGGATCGACGCGAGCGAGGTGGACGAGGAGTCGATGTACATCAACCAGAAGCAGTTTCAGAGCAACGAATCCGCGGGGGAGAGCGAGGAGGAGAAGGAGAGCGGGTTCGAGTCCATCGGGGATTTGTATCTGGACACGCAGATCGTGGACGTGCTGGGGCGCTCGCGCGTGCTGCTCGCGCAGTTCCTCTCCTACTACATCGACTACGTGCGCGAGCTGAACGGTCCGAAGGACAGTAAAAACCCGATCTGTGAAGGATGAAGCGTAGGCGTGTGCTGGACGGTGATTCCTGGGTATTTTCTGGTGATGCGGCTGTTCCTCATCCACTTCCAGGACTTTTATATGAGCAAGCTCTCCGGAGGCATTCTCCGACTCAATCTCAACGGCGAGCGACTTATCAAGGACTCCATCGCCTACGCGTTGTGGTAGGCTTCCATCGAATTCGTCACCCGTAGCGACAGCTGCGTCGTCAACGGCGAAATCCTCAACTCGTATTTTCTTTTTTTCTTTTTGTTTTTTTCTAATTCGTAGCGTCATGTCCATTCTCTTCGATAAATGCAACGTCAACGTCTTCCTCGACATCTCCAAGAGTACTCTGTTTCCACGTTTCTCCATTTAGCCATGATGGTGCTCCACAATCTCCTCAAAGCCGTCCGCAAGCGAAACCGAATCCTCAACTACCACGCCTATTCCCCCGAATTCTACGCCCGCGTTTACTCCGTTTCCACTTTTCCACGTTTCCTCATCTAGTCTCGGGAAATCCAGCTCCTGCTCTTCCTGCAGCAATCCTTCCCCGCGGTTCCTCTGGTTTCCACGGTATCGACGCACTTCTCCTCCCCTCTCTCATGCATGTCGGCGCGCAGCTCGCCGGTTCCAGCGGACGACATACCGGATCTGGACCTGCCGCTGTTCGACACGCTGAGCCACAGCAATTACTACTACAACCAGAACCAGTCCATCATTTACTCCCAGGGAAACGCCCTCGATCTGCTCTATGAAACCACCATCGATTCCACGATTCGACGCAAAGAGTCCCTCACCCACTCCAAGGCCATTCCCGCGGAATGGACCGGCGCACTCGCTCTCGCACAGCGCGAAAATGATGAGTCCCGCGGGAATGCACAGCTTTCGAGGAGCAGTCCCGCGGGAGAGACGCTCAAAAAGGAAAACCGCGATTCGGATGAAATCCCCGCGGAAATTCGCCCTTCGGCGCGTGAAATTCCCGCGGGGAACGTGGATTCGGTGCACGAGAAAACCGCGGGGAACGAAGAAATGGCGGCGGGGACGGAGGTGCTGCTGCTTTCGCCGCCCGATTTGCCGCCAAAAACCGCGGGAGCGGTGGAGGAAGAACCGCGGGAACTCTGCACGGAGTGTCAGCGAACCGCGGTTTTCTCGACGTTCCGCGGGAAAGGCGCGGGTTTCACGCAGCTGCAAGCGATTCAGTTTTTGTTGGAGAACAGTATTCCAGAAATCGGGAGTATTTGTTTATTTCGTAGACGTGATCACGTCCCGCGGGGAAGGGCTGGACTTTCTGAGTCTGCTGCAGAGTCGTCGGATGCTGGAGCCAATCAAATACGAGCGTCGGTTCCGCACGACGCTGTTCCACGTGATCCAGCCGCAGCAGCTGCAGCACTTCGCGTACCCGGAGATTAGTCCGTATAACCACGGTGAATTCGAGGACAAGCTGAACTACGTGTATCTGATCTACGCGCTGAAGCAGCTGATCGCGATGCCGCACTTGCAGATTCTGCAGAAGGTGATCACGTTCCTGTACTACAACGAGGACTTCTTCAACGGCGCGCACCGCTTGCTGGTAGGTTTCGTTATGCTTAACAAGATTCAGTTGTTCCGGGAGATCGTGTTTCCCAACTTCGTCCAGTTCTTCACGCATTGGAGCCCCAACATCCGCCATCTTTTCCACCGCCTCCTTCTCTACAAGCTCTTCCGCACGCGCCTCTCCTACCTCCCGCACTACTCCTCCGGTTCCCCGTTTCCACGGTCCCTCACGCGTAGTGGAGATCCACAACGAGCTCTACAGCAAGATCTTCAACTACCGCAAGTGGGCGCGCAGCCAGCCGGCCGAGCCGCGCGCCAACGACGAGTCGAACTTGTTTTCGTTCGACCGCGACAGTGGCCGCTCTTCGTTCGAAATCACGCGTAGTGCAGCAGCAGATCTTCTCGCAGTTCAACTACGACCGCTTCCAGCGCGCGCAGACGCAGCGAGCGGTGAAGGCGCGGCTGCAGAAGGTGGCGATGACGATGGAGCTGGGGCTGTACCGCGAGACGCAGGTAGGAAACAAGGGAAGGATGAGAGGAGAAGAACGTGGACGGGAAGCTCGCGGAGATCTTGAAGTCGAACCTGCACATTCTGCTGAGTATTGGAAACACGACCAACCCCAACCGGCGACAGGGGAAGTACTGCGTACCGCCCAACCAGATGGTGGAAACGGGGAAACGGAGTGAGGAGTAGAGGTATTATTGGGAGAGCTTCGCGGAGTTTATTTCCTTGCTGTATGAATACGAAAAGAAGGAGGCGAGCATGAAGGCAAATCCCTTCACTTCGCCGAATGTTTATAATAGTGGAGTGGGAACCGTCAGTGGGACGGCCATTCCGTGGACGACCGTAAATGAAATGGAATCCAAAATCCCGGATGAAAATTCCGACATCGAGTTCTTTCTGGCCTATAAGCAGTAACCATCGAATTATTTCTAGTATTGTCATATCATAATTATTATTGTAATGGATGCTACGCATTGTTTGTTTTACACACACCTCTAACAAATGAATCATCCCTGGCTCAAGGATACGATCCAGTACGATCCCTATGAAGAGCCGGATTATCCACAGCCAGAAGAAGCGCCCACCGATTTACCCAAGTTGGCATCTTTTCGTCGGAATTATGTAACATTGTAGGTATCGGACACCTTCTATAGAGAAAGCAGTGCGAGTTTACACTGTTGCACAAGAATCACGGTTCGTACCTTCTTTTTGCTTCTCATTGTCTAGGTATTTGATGATTCGAAATATTCCACCTTCGAATGTCATCAACGAGCTCATTCAGCGACTAGCGTTGTATGGCACAATTCAGGAGTACGACATTGTCACAAACCTCCCTTCGGCACCCTTTACTCAGACTGTATGGGTGAAGTACGAACTCATTTCTTCCGCTCGGTTTATTCACGAAGAAGGGCTCATGCTTAGCTTAGCAAAGTACAAACTAAACAAATCATCGTTTTTTGGCCAGGATCTGTGGGTGCAATATGCTCCCGAGTATGAATCTCGCGAGGATGTTCAGCAAAAACTCGACAGTCGGAAAATTGCAGTCTTGCAGCGCCTCGAGGAGCTCAAAGTGGAGCGTCCTGACAGCGAAATTCACAAACCAAAACGAGCCAATCATCTTTTTGCAAAGGTTGAAACGCCCGAGTTTACAGAACAAGAAGAACCGCGTCCTGCGGGTGATTTCGTGTTTGTTCCACAGAAACGTGCGTCCCAACAGCAGCAAAACTCCCCAGCTATTAGGGAAGAAGCCAAACAAGCCGATGAAACGGCTGAACAAAACAAACTGTAGGGATGATGATGATGATGCGAAGGGTTCTTAGGAATAGGCCATTGAAACGACGAAAACCACTTCCTGGGTTTAGTGATAAACCTGTCGGTGCGTTAAGAGAAGGCGAGGAGGAGGAAAAGCAATCGGTTGGAATGATGGGATGAGCTGATGAATAGAATCGTGTGATGCAGAAAGTGGCTGACAAGTTGAATTCAATCGAACGAGCCGTGGAGAAGGAAATGCAGAAACCCGCTCCAAAGAAACGAAGACGCATTTGATCTGTTTGAGAACAAACAAACAAACAAACAAACAAACAAACAAAAAGGTAAATGAGTAAACGAGTAAACAAACAAACAAAAGGGTAAACAAGTGAACAACCACCTCAATATTTCGATTCGAATTGCATTCGCCGCTCTCTCTTCAATTCTCCTACACGTCACCACGAACCACAGCACACACTTGTTAATTTGCGTTTCATGTCCAAAACTTCTTCGATCGTTTCTCTGTGTCCACTTTCCACTGTCTCCACTTCGCGCTTATCTGCTATGATTCACGTCCCACAACAACTCACCATTTTCAGGAGCTTCTGGCTCTGGGATTAGATTAAAAATCGACTACATCTGAGTTGTTCTTTTGATCCATCCTACGATTCCTTCCGGTTTATACAGCTGTGCATCATCAACAAGGAATTCCTCGAGTTTTTTGATCGTATCCTGTCCTCAATAAAATAAGAAATATGAATAATGAGTACCCGGAAGCCAATCCGCTCGATTTATCCTTTTCTGCTTTGGACGTCTACATATGATTCACAAATATTGAAAACGACTTCATCTTCCGTGTCACCCCCTATTTTCCGAACTGCCGAATCCACATCGCGAGCTGAGGGTTTCATCAAAGCTTTGGTGGATATTCCTTTGCGTGACTCGGATCGTATCTGTTTGAGTAATACAGAGGAAAGTTCAGAATACTTGTTGTTCTAAATGAAATCGTTCTAGGTCAATTTTGACTCCTGAATCTTCTCCTTCATCTAGTTTTACAAACGAACAGCAATCAACAACCATGTTCTGCCTTCTTTATCGTTCCATGGTGCCTCTTCGGTTTGAACATGTTATGAATATAGATGAATATATGTATCGATGCTTCCTCTCGCTAACAAAATTACAAATTATAAGTCGATTGAGACTTGAGATGGATTTGGAACAGACGCGTAAACCCTCCATTTCCCGTGGTTTCCGTTTCCCTTCCCTTCCCTTTTCTCAAATACTATTATTTTGAGAATTGGCTGGGTGGAATGAATTTTGGAAACATCAATCAGACGGTTAAGAGGATGACAAAGAAAGAATTGGAGAAACCCGTACTTTTGGTGAGGGAGTGGTTTATGAACTAGTCTAAATGCGAAAGAGTCTCAAAGATGTACAACGAAATCAATGAGATTATTGATGTTCGTTTCTGAGGGGAGTTGATTTATGATGTAGCTCACAATACAAAGCAAATCGGTGACGATGTGCCTAGCATCCCAGCACGGCAATTTTTTGGTCAATCACATATTTCGCCTAAATCCCACTTCCACCCGTTATTCTTTATATCTTCAGTATAAGAATGATCAGGTAATCGATGTCTCCATCCCTTTCAGCTAGTTAAAACTAAATTCGATCCTGACACACGAGGGTAATCAGAAGGCAGCTGTGCAATGGTTCCCGAACGATTGGTTTACGCAAGAAGCAACGTCCATTGTATTCCCTGTTTGTCTCTCTTTCATCCACGCAGATCGCCCAGCCATCGGGCAAACTCCAGCAGTATCTCAACACCTACTCCGTGTTCTCCTTCCCCAAAACGTGTATCGAACTCGCCGTATTTTTCTCTTTTACTCTCTCTCTCACTCTCAGCTTTCGAGTGAGAGTGGAATCGGCGTCCTCGCGCACCAAATGCTTAATGATCGTTACTCGATCGCAGGTCGGGTTTCGGCGTGTTTTTAACTCTAGCGGAGTGCTACTACGACATCTTCTCCAATCACAACGTGCACTACACCGTGTCGGGCTGTTACAACGATCAACTTCGCAAGGCCATCGTGACGATGACGTCCAACTCCTCGCTGTATCTTTACTACCTTCGCGTACGCATCGCTCGCAACGCTTTCACTGCAGAGAGTCAATCCCAACGTCAATTTGGCCGCGGTGTGGAACGGCTTCGCGCTGAAATCCAGCGAAAAGAGACACATCAACACGCAGATCGGCGCGAGCTTCAAGCTCCCGAAGACGAAGGCGGAGATCGGAGTGATGATGGGAATGGAAGGAACCGCAAAGATCGTGCTGAAGGAGAAATTGACATCCCAGGCGACGATGTCGTTCTCGGCGCAGATCAATCCGTTCTTCGATGTGTATGTGTTTGGGTGAGTGAGGAGGCGTGGTCTGAGGGATAGAATGTCATTTGTTTATGGAATGAGGATAGATGCAAATACGTTGTTTACTCCTCTGACGTCTCAGAGCTAAAGGATTATTTGGTTATGGATTTTGCGTTGTTTGTGCTAACAAACAGGAGATTGTTTATTAATGACTAGTCGTCTGGCAGTCCATCTGAATGATGCCGTTCCCACGGATTACCTACATTTTAGCGATCGCACCCTTAAGAACGTACAACTCTTCCCATTTCTTGCTTCTCGTTCTCATTCACCACTTCGTACACATCTTCCAGAACAATGTTCATCATCTGGTCATATCCACGGAGTACTCCTTCGACGATGCGGTTTCCATTGAGCTTCACAGTAACCACTTTGCCCATGTAGTTAGCGAGGTTCACGTTGATTTCCTTACCCATTGGATGCCTCGGATGATTGTTCTAAATCAAAATTTGCGAAAGTGTACATAACCGCGGAAGTGTTTCTATTTGGAATGATTAAATATACATATATATATATAAGAGAAGAGAAGAGAAGAGAAGAGAAATGAAGTGAAGATAATAGTATTGAGAGGAAAGGAGGGAATGGTTGTAAAAGATGGGAGAGTGTAATTAGAAGTGTAGTAAATCACCAAGTTTTATATGTTGTGAAAAATAAACGTGCGAGTGGATGGAGCCAATCCATTTCACTATTGGCCCCATTTCCATCCGAGAGTACCTTTACTTTAGAATTGGAATCGTTCTTAGTTAAGCATTCACACAATCACTCAAGAATATGAATGGGATCCACCACACCCACATACCAATCACATTCGAATTCAACAAACACAGCAAAAATGATAAAACTCTAAACCTTCGAATTTGTGATTTCCAGGAATCACAGACTCACTAAGTAGTATATGACCATCTAAATCAAAAACAGTGATATAGGAGTTCTGTGTTTGCTGCTCTTCATTCTCTTCACTCTTCAATGCTACAATGATCTCATCATTCGACTGGGGCAAAAATTTAAACTCCGAGAAACCTCTCGTCGGCGTTATCTGCGTGATGTGGCGCACTTCGATGGAGCTAAAATCCTCCGAAGCCAACATCACCACATTCGACCCTCGCTTTTCGTCTTCCTTCTCATCGTACGGCTCTTTACTCACTCTCCGAGGCAAAATCACCCACTGTCTGCGAATATCGGACCACATGATCGCCTCATGAATCATGTACCCTGGATAAGGGCATCCGGCTGCTTTCCGCAGCTTATTAAACCGATCCGTCCAATTTTCGTGTGTGATTTCCCCCGTGTTGTGAATAACCGACACCCACATATTGTTTGTGTTCGCAATGCTTCCGTCCGCGTTCGTGTATTCTTTTCCGAAACTCCCGGCGAGGATCGCATCGTCCTTCACCGTCGCCCACTCGGTTTTCTGGCCCTTGGTGGTGTTTCCGTCGCCCTCCATTAAAATATAGCGCGGAATCGCCTTGTTGCCTTTCACTAGTTCGAACACCAAACCCGTTCGATCATCAAAGGAATACAAGCGGTTGTGGTACTCCACGAGTGCGCTTAGCTCCATTCCACGACCCGCCTCACTCAGCTGGGTGAAAATTTCTTGGTCTTCGAGCCAATGAATCGTGAAGGTTCCGTCCTTCTGCTTGCGGAGTTCGCCCTTTTTCAATATGCTTCGCCAGCGCCCCTTTTTGTCGTCCTTGACACGGCTTTCCTTGTCCAAATCAGCGACAATCATGAGTTTGAACGAGGTTGTCTCCCGATTCAAGGAGAACGCTTGCAACTGGGAGGATAGGGAGTAATTGCATAAATAGATATAGAGCCAATAGAGAAGAGAGCAGCAACACACGCAAATTCCAAACAAATAGATCGCTTTCGAATAGCGCTTCCAAAGTATCCACTTATTTCGCCTCTTGCTCTTGGAATTATCTTCTTCAAGAACCATAATAGGAAATCCGACCTCCATGTCTAACGGAGAGTTACGTTTGCCGTGCATTCTGTAATCAAGTTCCTGGCCAAACGAGATCCTATAATTCGTTCTTGATGGAAACTAAAGGAGAATAGTAAACCGTTTTGAAATTGGTCACGGAATAAAAATAGGTACGAAAATTGAATTTCCCAGAATTTTCCGTATTTTTTTTAATAATATATTGTGAAGAAAGAAATAGTTAGTAATTGTACTATTGTCGTATTGAATAGCGAAAAGTTTGATTTCAATTTAGAATTTACAACGTGATGACTTACGAAGAAGGTGGGGAAAGGGAAAAGGGGTGGTACGCACTTCTAACTGTTTTTAGACTACTCAGAGTCGGAGTCCGAGTCCGACACGCAATCGCAAAAGTCCACTGTGATTAGCACACTGGAGACGGATGAAGCGTTCTATGAAGATATTGTGGATTATTTTAGTTTACTTACCGACAAAAAGTGCTGCAGACCATTCCATTTGATACGTAGGATTAAGAATCGATCTCTTGCACTCGATCGAATTCAGCAGTGCCTGTTGCGAAACGTTCAGCAAGATGTTTTTCTCAAACAGTTTATTTCGCTTTCTCTTTACACGGTAGTGCGGATTCTCTCTGCACAGACCTCCTTTCCTACATCCGGAAAGAAAAGCCCGTGGAAGTCGCCATCAGTAGTTGTCGCATCCTCGCGCTGCTCCAGATCAGTTTAGCGTTAGGTTTCCTTTCTATTTTTTTCCTTCTCTCCAGACACGTCCGTCACCTACGACATTGCCTATCCCGTGTTGCTCCAACGCCTCCGCAGCTCGAAGAGCGTTCCTCTTCTCATCGAGTGCTTCCGCACGGCCTCGATCATCCTCTTCGTCTGCGACGCTCGCGATGAAGATGTCCTCGATCTCCTCTCTCTTCTCTCCGACCGCATTTCCTCCTCTTCCACGTTTCTCCTTTCCCCTCCACCTCACCGTCCAGCGACCCCGCCCTCGCCGCGACCGCCATCGACATGTGGATGTTCCTCTCCTCGACGCGTTCGCGCCACGAAGTCCTCGCCGCGCTCCCTTCGTCCTATTCCCGCGGTTCTCTCACTCCTAGCATGGTCACGTGGGTGTCGGCGAAACTGTCGCAGCAGAGCGTGGCAATCCGGATTGCCGCCTCCAAATGCCTCGCGTTTCTTCGCGAGCTGCACCTCTCTGTAGCGAGAACCGCGGGGATGGCATGTAGACGGGGGAGGCGGAGGTGCAGGCGGCGCGGGAGATCGAAAAACGCGTGGAAACCGCGGTGAATGAATACGATCGGAGCTGGAAGCAGTCGAAGGACAAGGAGATGAAGAAGGTGATGCGGGAGATCGTGGAGTCGTTCCGCGGAGACGGGCATCCGGAGCTGAAGGCGGAGTTCAAGACGGGGAGCGGAGAGCGCGCGACATTGATGTTGGATCGGTGGCCGCTGGTTGTGCAGTACGAGGTGCTGAAGTCGGTTCTACAGAGTGGTTTTGTGTATTTTATTACGGTTTTGTTTGTTTGGACGGGATGATGGGAAGCGAGGTGAGTTCGTGAAACAAGTGTTTGGAGCGCGGCTGGAGGTGCAGGGAAAGCTGAGCAACTCGCAGAAGTCGAGCATCGCCGAGAGCAGCAAGATGAAAAGTGCGAGAGAAGGAGGGAAATTGAAGGGTAGAATCGTCGATTCAGCACATGCGGAAGGTGAGGGAAGAGCAGATGTGGAACTACGAGAAGGAGTGTATGGAAGAGTATTAGTCAAGGGATGGAGTTGTTTTCGATATGGAGGAGGATTGTTTGTTAGAAAAACAGCAGAACAAAAACAAAGATGGAATAACCGCGGGAGGATGAAAATAGATCATTTTTCGCTTTTCCTAATTCCAATACTTGAAAGATGGTGTTAGCTGAACTAGGAAAGGGACTTACGAGTGCCCTATCGAAGCTGCAGACCAGTGTTATTATCGACGACAATGTTGTCAACGAAGTGATCAAAGAAATTTCAAATGCGCTGCTTCACGTGAGAGGATGCAGGTGGACGTAACGGATGTAGTCTGATGTGAATTTGAAAATCGTGATGAAGCTGCGAGAAACAATAAAGAATCGAGTAACCATAGAATGTCAGGCAGCCGGAGTCAATAAGCACCGCGTCATTCAGCGAGCGGTTTACGAAGAGTTGGTGAATATGCTCTCGCCCGTGGAAGTGCAGCCGTTCAAGCCGGTTCGTGGCCGCAGCAACGTCATTATGTTCGTCGGCCTACAGGTAGAAGCCATTTTCTGCCCGGCATCGTAGGGTTCCGGTAAAACCACGACAATCGGCAAGTTCGCTGCGTATTACAAGCGAAAAGGCTGGAGAACGTGCATGGTGTGCGCGGATACCTTCCGTGCGGGTGCCTTCGACCAGCTCAAACAAAATGCCGTGAAGGTGAAGGTTCCGTTCTACGGCTCCTACACCGAATCAGATCCCGTTGTAATCGCAGAACAAGGCGTGTCGCAATTCAAAAAAGAGCACTTCGAGATCATCATCGTGGATACGTCCGGTCGGCACAAGCAAGAAGAAGGTCTCTTCGAAGAAATGAAGCAGGTGCAGTCGCACATCCACCCCGACAACATCGTGTTCGTTCTGGACTCCACGATCGGCCAGGCGGCCTTCGACCAGGCCCAGGCTTTCCAGCGCACCGTCGACATCGGCAGCGTCATCATCACCAAGCTCGACGGTAACGCGAAGGGCGGCGGCGCGCTCTCTGCCGTGGCGGCTACCGGAGCGCCGATTATTTTCACGGGTTCGGGCGAAGGGTTCGATGATTTGGAACCCTTCGAAGCGAGCTCGTTCGTGAGCCGACTGCTCGGAATGGGCGATGTCAAGGGCTTGGTGCGCGAGATGAAGGAGGGCGGCATGCTCAAGGTCAACGAGGACACCATGAAGCGCATTCAGAAGGGTGTGTCCGCGGGAATCGCGTGATTTTGTAGGGAAATTCACCATCCGCGATATGGGAGAACAGCTGCAGAATGTGGCCAAGCTGGGGCCGCTGGACCGCGTCATGTCGATGATTCCGGGACTGCCGCAGGGCATGCTGCCGCAGGGAATGGAGAAGGAGGGAGGAGAGCGCATGAAGCGCATGATGATCTTGATGAACAGCATGACGGACGCGGAGCTGGATGGAGGTCGGAGAGGGGCAGAGCTGTGATGTAGAGGTGGAAATGGACGAGAAGCGGCTGCGACGGTGCTGCATCGGCGCGGGATTGCTGCCCGAGGAGGGAGCGATGTTCATGCAGCAGTACAAGGCGATGGAGCAGATGATCGGGAAGATGGGCAAGTCGCCGCTGATGCGCGGTAAGCGAAGAGAAGAAGGAGGTGAAGCGTAGATGAGAAGATGTTGCAGCAGATGCAGAGAAACCCGCAGGCGTAGGGCAGACGGAGGGAACTGACGTGTAGAGTCATGCAGCAGTTGCAGAAGACCATGAATCCGCAGATGCTGGCGCAGATGGGTGGAGCGAAGAACTTGATGTCGATGATGAAGAATATCGACATGAACGCAATGAAGAAAATGATGGGGCAATTCTACCCTGTTTGTTGCAATGATCCGAATTGGCAATCTCTCTCTACTACTACATTATCATTCATCATCACCACCTTCGTTCCATAAAATAAAATAAAATGAATTGTCCAACAAACACATAATTCGATGAGTTTTGGTTAGAGTAAGCTCCGTTGAGTTCGCCCTCGGAGGGTCTCGAAAACCCTCCGAAGGTTGCTTGCATTACTTTGAAAACGACCAATTCACAACACCCAGAACGTAGACTCAGCATATCGTAGCCATGAACCAGAAGTTGCTACTATTCCTTTCGGAACGGCACTTTCTGCCATTTAGGTCCGGAGAATTTCCCTAGTCATTGAACCACACCTAACTCTCAGCAAAAAAAGACAACTCCCTACAATCGCAAGCCACTAGGACCTGAATCAGCGAATGACCATAGCAAGCCTTAACCAAAACTGACAAACCAAGGAAAAGCACGGCGTTGTGCGCGGATTCCATAGGACCCAATTATTATGATATGAAATACTTGGAATTGATCCGACGAGATAGTTCATCCAATAGAATTGAGTCTCTGATTTTCGATGTTTTGCTCTTCCTGGGATTTACTGCCCTGCAATGCCAAGGTCGCTAGTGCGATGACGGCTCTCTACAACCGAGAACTCACAACCACCTCGGGAGGAAATGTGTCCGTGAAGGATGAGGATGGTTCTGTCTGGATGACACCCACTGTATGTGGAGCGGTTGTGAGTCTTTAACTCGTAGGGGGTGGACAAGTGTCACGTTCTGCCTGAGCAAGTGTCTCAGATCCTTCCAAATGGGGAGAAAAGAGGATCCTACAAGCCGACGAGCGAATGGAAGATGCATTACAATGCGTACCTAGTTTTTTCCCTTCGATTCAGAGATAGATACGCTGAACGAAGTGAAATTGGAGCGATTGTGCATACGCATTCTCCCGCTCTTCTAACATTCGCTCTTTCGCACAATATTCCGGAAACTCGGATTTTCCCTCTGATTTCTCAATTTCTGGGCGAAGTAGCGATGGTTCCCTATCGTATCTGTGGGAGTGACAAATTGGTTCCGTGTTCAAAGCGTGTGTTACATAGGCGGATGCGTTCTGCAGCGCGGTTCGCAGCCATCCCAAGGCGAATTGCTTCATTCTAGAGAACCATGGTGTGATCGTCGTAGGGAAAACGATCGAGGAAGCGTTCAATCGCTTAGAACTCTTAGTGAAAATAACAAAACTCTGCATTAAAGCCCCCAACCCAAAAACGCCACAAGCATCTTCTCCCACCTTTCTTGATACTTTAACACTAATCGATTCTTCTGACGAATTTTACAGCAAGGAAAACGAAAAGATTTACGAACGAATTAACTCCTTTTCCAAACGAGCTTACGATCATGTACACTTCCGAATACGATTTTGACTTCCAGCATCTTGTTGCCTGCGAACATTTGTTTTCAATTCGCGATGAACACGACTGTCACATTGTTCATCATAATCGAATCGGATGTTGTCCGCAGATGTGGGAAAATGGCGCAGTGTCCTCCAAAGCAACGAATGGACGAGTTGCATTACATCAAGCCATGTCTCGAGTCTTGGGATCCCTGTGAAGTGTAGATTTTGTGGTTTTCCGGAAATCGGTTGTATTTTTGATTGTGTTCCTACCTTTGTTTCCCTGCTGATGCTGCGGGGAATCAAGATAAATCCATCGTAGATATATGGCACAAACATGATATAGAATAATGCCCGAGTCTCTGGTGGTGATAGGGAATGTGGACTTCATTTCGGCGGAAGCGTTTTCTAAGGAAAAAGTATTGGACTCAATCGAACAAGGAAACCATGTTCTCTTGATTGAAGGGTACGGAGTGCTCGTAATGGGCAAATCTGCTATTCAAGTGTGTTTTCATACTGGAAATGAAAGTGTAGGCTTATGACAGGCTGGAGGTTCTAGAGGCCACGTGTGAAGCTGTTTGTAATTGTAATGATTTGTGGCACCCGATCGTAGAGCTATCAGACGTGGAAATTCAGGAGGTTTTCAGTGTCTTTGGGGGATCGTTAATACCGAAATAGTTTTTGTTTGTTAAAATTCCGCGGGAATCGATGAATGTTATCTCACTTTTGTTCTGTTAAAAAGGCAATAACATGGATGTTAATCAAACAGAAGATAATTCTAAAGTCCAGCCCAAACTTATTGCTTATTTTCCATGTAGGAGAGTTGTTTTTGGGTAACAAAGTAGCCTATAAGACTTTGTACGATAATGTTCTTTGTAATAATAATATTATTCTTCCTAACATTGAACAAGTAACAGCAAAAACAGTTTTAAGCAGCCTAAAAGAAAAGCAAGCTAGAGAAAAAGTATTGTGTGATGCAAGGAGTTCCAGCTTTCAAGATATTGCATCTCTTGATGTAAAATCAGAGGGTGAGGTGGAAAAAGCCGATATTGCAGATTGTAATAGTTATGGCGAAGATAATTGTTATATGGTAAGAATCCCAGATGAGAAAGATAAAGTGATTCTTGATTGGGGCGATATTACACAAGTGATCTACCGTGATTCTTTGGTCCCTAAAGTTGACAAGAGTCCAACAGTACAAAAGAAACGTGTCCGCAGAGCAATTCCTTCCACTGAAAAGAGTTTTCTTCGCGCTGTGTATGCTGAATTCTCTCAAAAATGCTCGCCGGCGAAAATTACAGATATAATCATGCAAATATATTCAGGAGATGGAGGCGACTATCTGCTTCGACTGCATAGTCGATTTCCAAATTTGGCAATTCCAAAAAAGCGCGTATTAAACACACATGAGCAGATCTATCTATGTATCTATAACAACTTTGTTAGAAAAAAGAAATAATAGTCTGTATTGGGGAAAAATGGTCCATATTGAATTGGTCAGTTGTTTTGTGTTACTTGTTTGAACAAACAAAACGGGATATTCGAAGGAGGCGTGTGATTGAGCAGGTTCTGCGAGTGTTTGAGTGATGGAAAGGAGCGATTGCTTGTGAAATGAGCGGAGAAATGGAATGAGAATGGATTTTGTGTATGGATTGAGGATTGCGAAGGTGTAAAGGGTCGAAAGCGGGTGATTCATGAGCGAAAAGAGAGAGGGTGAATGACTCATCGAATCGCTTTGAAAACAAACAAACAAACAAACAAGCATAGCGATTTCATCAACATAATCTGTCTCCAACAAACACTCCTCAATTCATTTCTTCTTCCTTCTTTCCTTTTTCGAACCCCATAAACAAACTCATTCATTCCTTCCTTTACTCCTCCTTCGCCCTTCCCTTCAGTCCCAGTCTCTCCATCACCTTCCTCACCATTCTCTTCACATCCTCCGCTCCCTACCCATCACCTCCTTCCTCCTCTTCCCACTCCGTGCATCGCCATCACCACTCCGTACATTCCCGTCAGATACAAGCACACCGCGCCGAACGTGTACACGTCAAACAGCGGAGACTTCGCCACGAACACCGACACCTCGCCCTCGTTATCCGCGAACACCTTCACCTCCTCCTTCAGATCCGTTTCCACGTTTGTAACGCTCGTCCGCGTCGCCCACGCCTTCATCTCCTCCTCCACGCTCTCCAGAAGCGAGTCCCGCGGGGAGAACAGCGCATGTCGCGGCGTCGACGCCACTTTCTGCAGCCAATGATTCACGTACACCGAATCCGCCTCCAATCCCCGCGAAAAAATCTACATCGCACATTCCCGCGGTTCTTACCAGTCCCGCATCGGTAACGCGGAAAGTGAAGCGAGCCAGCGCCTCCGCGACGAGCTGAATGTGCAGACAGAGCCGCGTTTCGTTCAGCGGCGCCGCAAACAGCGACCCTGCAAAATACGGCGAGTTTTCTGGAGTTCCAAAAATCGAGGGAATTTCTACCCGTGTTGGCGGCGGTCAGCGTGGCGGCAGGGAGTCGGCGGAGCGCGAATCGCTCGTGAGGCAGCGTTCTGTGCTCGTCCATGATGTTCACCGTGCGGCTTTCGACGGTCAGCGGAACGCCCAGCTGCGCGGCCACGGCCTCGAACGCGTCGTAGAGGCCCTGCAGATCGGCGCGCGCGGCGTGCTTCGCGACGCGGAGAACCAGCCGGTCGGACGCTCTGCACGAAACGTGGAAACCGTGGAACCTACAGGAGATCGTCGAGGGAAAGGACGCAGTGAACGGCGTCGAAGAGCTCGGGCGGCGAGCGAATCATCCACTGGCGGAAGCCTTCGAAGTCCAAGTGCGCGCCGCCGCTGAGCAGGAAGAGAAGGTTGTAGCTGGAGGGAAGAGAGCGCGGGCCACGTACCTGCCCGCGGTTTTCTGGTCGTCGTAGAGGCGGCGGAACATGCGGAGAATCTCGAGAAGCGCGACGGTGCTGGCGGCGCCGTCGGTCTGCGCGGAGGCGAGGGAGGGAACGAGGGAGAAGGAATCGTAGCTGGCGGTGAGGAGAATGGTGGGAAGGGAGGAGGGCGAAACGCCTTCTTTGTGGCCTTCGAGGACGCTTTCGATGGTGCGGATCTCGGGAAGGGGATGGGGAGACTTGGTGCGAGGGAACTTCACGTTGATCGTGTAGATGTTCGATGGCTGGGGTTCAAATGAAGGGAAGAAGGACATACACTCAGAACTCCCGATTTCGACTGAAGCGTGTTGTAAACATTGAGAACGTCGTCTGACTGCTCAATGAAATACACAGGGCAGGCAAAGGAACGATCCAGCATGTACTTCTCGACAGACTGGCAACGAGTGATTACTGATTCATCATTCTACCATATCAGCATAGTATAGTACCAGCAATTACCGTTGATGGAATAATAATGACTAAACCACCCACTTCCTTCTTGTCCACAAGGTTTTCCAATATTTCCTTATCCAATTCATTCATCATGACGAGGGCAGTATAATGATCAGCTTGCATACGAGCATCACTGTCAATTTGCAGAATGGACTCTAGAGAAGCCAGCCGAAGTTCTCCATTATTCTCTTGTGATCCATAAAGATTGCCCTTGCGTTGGAACTGCACCATTCTATGAATGGGGAAGGTGAGTTGAGATGAAGCAGCGAGTGCGGCAATCAGTAAAAGGACTCCGAATTTCTTAATTTCATATGCCGTTTATACAGAATACCATATTTTAAGGGGAGCAATTGTGAAATCTAAAATGGTACAAAACACAGAACTCCTTATTATTCAGATGTACATCAATCCATAGTGTGTGTGTGAACAAACAGTAAAGTGTGGTAATCGTAGAGGACTTGCCTTTTACAGGTCACTGTCTTCCGATAGTAGAATATCCCCAGAGTCGGATTGCTCGATCGGCAATGGCATTTCATCCCGAGGCACATCTGGAAACTCGAATGGAACTCTTCCCAAATTGATTGGAGGCTCTGGCAAAAAGTCGGGTTCCACTGCTTGCTCTTCGATGTATTCTCCACTTATAGCACTGTCCGAATCCTCATCATTATTATACTCAACTTCACGTGTTTCAGTCTTCAACTTCACGACTTTCTCTTTCTGCAGAAGCACTCGATTATCGCACGTCTGCACGATTTCCACGTTGATGAATCCATTGTGATCAAGGGTGTATTTCACATTAATCGCTTGAGATGTTGGCGTTGCATCCGTGAAACCAAACTCATTAAGAAGCTTGGCTTCTCGCATGGTTCCGTCTTTACTTTGATAAAGATCCACATTGGCCCAAGTAATATAAGTTCCATCTGTCTTTTTCACCAAATAACAACTCGTGCTAAACACTCGGTCCGTTGGATACTCCGTGTTGCGAGGAATCATCACCTGGAACTTTTCGCGATGCGTGTAATCATCATAAATTGGGAAGCCATAATACTCAGGAATGACCTGCTTTAAAACGACTCCAGTTCTCGCTTCTTCAATACTAGAAGCTCGCAAAGCACCACGAGCAACACATTCATCCGGATAATTCGATACCATCACTTTATTGCCATACATTTGTCTTAAGGCATCTTGAACCGGACGCAAACGGCAACTTCCTCCCACAAGAATCACTTTATCGATCGAGTCTTCACGGATGTTTCCAATCTGAAGTGTTTGCGTTGTTAAGTTCACAATTCGATCAACATAAGGTTTCACCAGGTTACAAAACTCTTGGTAATTAATAGTGATACAATGACCGTCTTCATCATCGCTGGAAGAGTCACTAGAAGAGTCGCTGGAAGAGTCACTATCAGCGGTAATATTGGAATTAATAACGTCCAAATCGTAAATCGTTACACGATCCTCTCTCGCAAACAGTTTCTTCGCCTCCTCAGCTTTATCTTTCAATTGTTCTTGGCAAACTTGGAAAATTTTACTCGTACGAGGCGCAGTAATTAGTGGCTTGTTAAAGACTTCTTCATATTTTCTAAAAATATACTCACGGAATGTGTTGGTAATATCATCTCCTCCCAAGTGATTGTCTCCATGAGTCGACTTCACAGAGTAATTCTTGTTATTGATATCCATAACACAAATATCCGTGGTACCACCTCCAATATCTACGACCATGATTCTGCAATTTTGCTCTCCAGCCACTACACCATAATCCAATGCAGCTGCTACAGGTTCACATACAATCTTTATATTATCTTCATTACAAATTCCTGCAGCAGTTGCTGCCTTCAATACCTCATTCTTCTGAATATTATCGAAGAAAGCAGGAACTGTGATGATTAACTCATCAAACTGCATTTCTCTTTGTCTATAGGCCAGATTCTTGACGTACTCAATAATATGCTGAGTACATAAAGTAGGGGTGAGGGAATTACCAGGGAAACACTCCATTCTAAAAGCAGGGAATCCGTCATCTCCTTCAATTACTCTGCATACACAGTTTTTCATGTAGTCATGCATGACCCTGGAATTCATACGATATCCGATAATTCTCTTAAAACAACGTACAACGTTCTTGGCACTCCAGTAATTTCTGTATGCGTTCCTTCCAATGCACTGGACAGAGCCATTATTGTTATAACGAATGACTGATGGAATTAACGGATCTCCCTGGTCTCTCACCATTTCCATGACCCCATTGTTAGTCACGCAAGCACAGGTGTTAAAAGTACCAACATCAATAGCTAAGCACGCCATATTTTAACATAAACTGAACACTTTCACGGTTATTTAACAAACAGTTTAATGTCACATTTGAGTAGTACGAATCCCACGAGCATAGGACACTCGCGTTGTCGTATTCTGAGCGATCTGTGGCTTCTTCTCCGTTTTCGACGCAGACAGCGGTAATTGCTGACCGAATCGTTCGCGTCGCACCGTTCTTCCTCCCTACGCGTCACCTCACTCCTCCGCCCTCACCAGCGGCGTTGGATGCTTCGGCGTCGCCACCGGCGCCCTGGCCAGCGCTCTAGACGACTTCGTCTCCATCATGTAATGCGGCAGTGTATGCGTCACCGTGCTTCCTGCGCTTCCTGCGGCTGTTCCTGCGGTTGTTCCTGCGGCTGTTCCTGCGGTTGTTCCTGCGGGCGGCTGAGCGAGCGGGACGCGGGAGGCGGCGGAAAGAGGCTTCGAAGCCGCGGCGCGCGGCGGTCGATAGGACGAAGCGGGGATTTTCGCGGGGATGGCGGGCTTCGGGGGGGCCGAGGAGGCCGAGGAGGGTGTGGAGGGAAGAGAGCGAGGGAAGGAAGCCGGCCGCGTGGGGGAGAGGGAGGGCTTCCCCGCGGAAACGGAGGAAGACGAGGAAGTAGAGGAAATGGAGCTCCGCATCGTGGAATACGACGTTTTGAGCGGGGAAACCGGGGGTTTCGGAGGGGAAACCGGGGGTCTGGAAGTGGAAACTGGAGGTCTGGAAGTGGAAACGGGGGGTTTGGCCACGGGAACCGCGGAACGCGCGGGATTCACGGGCTTGGCGGGACGGGAGAAGGAGTTTCCATTCGGAGAAACCGTAGAAACCGTGGAAATCGTGGAAACCGCGGAAAGGAAGGGAGGAGAGCTTTTGGGTTTGTAGAGCATCGCATCGGTGGCGAGGGTGTCATATTCATCCACGATTTCACCCGGCGCCGATTCATACGAAGTCAATAAACTCCCGGAGGAAGATGGAATGTCATAACGGGCAGAGATGACACCTTCTTTGAGAGCGCACGACGACGCTTCCAATTCTTTGCACGCCTCGCTGGCTTCGATATTCATTGCGTTGTACAACGCTGCGGAGGGCTTTGCGTCCAGACTTCCGTGATCCTTGCGATCAGGAGGAAAATAGGGACTTACACACACGTTATTCTCTGGAGCTATGTGATAGGTGGGATTATCCTGCTCGGGATTAGACGGATCAAAACCATCAAATGAAATTACATCTGAAATAGGCTTTGTCGGGTCGATCGAACCTATCCATCACAAACTTCTCCCTGGAAACAACCATATCGAAAAAGTGGTTCATTCTTTGAAAAACTCATCAATTCGAGACTTCCGCCGTATTGCACCCATCGATAATGCACGTGGCTCGAGCCTGAATTCAATACAAGCGTACGATGTCTTACCAAATAATTTGCTTAATTCTTCATCTGTGTACTGCTTCAAACTGTCGGGAGTACTGAAATCGTGATACTGTGGCGCGTCGAAGCCTTTCTCCTTAAATTGCTCCACTTCTTGCTGAATGTATAATGACTTGCTCCCCACCGCTGATCTGGAATACATCAACCACCAGTAACAAGGAGAAAATGTCAATCGGTGGGATCCCACCGCTTTCCGCACGTGTCCAACAAACAATCGAACTAAAACTACGAGCTGCATAGTTGTCGAAAGAAAGAACGCAAATAGGAGCACAGCTCGTCGGCCCTCTTCTTCTCGAGCAGGTTCCTAAAAGACATGATCATCTCCTGCGAGCATCCATTTTTCGTTAAAAACACATCGAAAAACCATCTATTCCTCGCCCTTCCGCCTCATCTCCTACGTCGAAATATCCGCGTTCTTCTTCACCGTATGAAACAACAGCAAACCGATCTCATTAATCGCGGTATTCGCCTGCGGATCCGCCATTTTAAACGCGGGACACTGATGAAGCGTGAACGCCACCGGAACCACCTCGCTCAGCAGCACCTCGCGCAGCACCGACCGGCACTACACTCGACAATTCGATCGAATTCGACCTCTTCGGGGACCTGCACCGCGGGATCCAGGCATTTTTCGCAGAGTTTTCGGAAGCAGGCGAGGCACGTCTTCGCCACCAGCATCGACGAGCCCGCAGCGATGCCGTCGCGCAGCAGACGGAGGTACTGCGCGAAGAAGGGAGCGTTGGCTGCGGAGAGAAGCACTTCGGGCGCGTTGGAAATGACCGTGTCTAAAAAGCCGTAGAACTTATTGACCGTGTCTTCCTTCTTGCCTGGGCGTTATTGCGGAATTCCAGAAATACCGATGATTTCTTCGTCGCCGGGAAGGTCGGCGAAGACGTGCTGCGTGACGGAGGAGAGGATCTGGTCGATCACGGGGACGGCTTGCTCCTTGTTGAGGGCGAAGACTTGGGAGAGCAGGTCGAGGCAGTTCGCCAGCGCTTTGTACGACTGCAGCTGCGCGAAAAGCGAGCAGAGCCGCGGGATGCACGACAGACTGCGCGTGAGACACAGAAACACAATCAAGGAACATGTCAGAACGCAGGTGGAGCACAAGACGGTGCAGCAATTGGTCCATTTGGCTGTTGAAATAGTCGGAGTCTGGCGAGGACGTCTGCGGCAGAAGCGACACGTACAACTCCAGCAAGCGAAGCACTTCCTCCGTCATTTCCCCGCGGAAACAGTCTGGCGAGGAGTTCTGCGTGATCCCGCGGAGAAGCGAGCAGAGACAGCCGAGGTTCACCGCGATTACGAGCCCTAGAATCGCGGAAAGGGAGAGAAAAGAAACGGTGATAGTGATCGAAGGCGGTGCCTTGAAGCTGCTGCTGTGCGGTTTGGATGTTCGACGCCAGCAGCGAAAACACCGACTACACGTCAGCCAATCGTGGAAACGTGGAAGTACATGATAGAAGGCGACGAGATCGCTCTGGGCGTTCCAGGGTCCGGAAATAATGGTGGACGTGATCAGGAAAAGCGGGTAATTGGCTTCGAAGAAGGTGGCATTGCCGCCAACGCGCGCCAAATCGTCGGCTGTGGGGATGACGATCATGTTCTATTCGTCAGATTCCAACCCCGATCGCACCTGCACGGCATCGAGAATGCCCTGCTGGTAGGGAATGATGCCTTCTTTGATGGACGCGACGAAACGAGCCAATGAGGAGACGGCGCGGTCACGAGATCGCTCGCGATTGCTGTTGAGTCCGGTGATGAAAATGGTGAGAAGCTGATAGCGAATGGACTCGAGAGGAGCGAGGAGAGGGAGATAGCGAGAGATGATGTCCATGGCGACGAGGAGAATCGAGAAATGGTAGTGTTTGACGATGATTTCGGAGCTGAAGAGATCGACGAGGATCGAAATGAAGCGGTTTCGATGCGGGTTGGTTCCCAGATTGACGTTGCAGCCGTCGCCGAAATAGAAAAGAAGCGTCAACACGGCTTCCGCGTCGCGCCAATCCGACACGGCGAACCGATCGATCGGCGTCACCGTCGCGAATAAGTGCTGAACAAAGTCGAGATAGCCGTCCGGGAAGAGTTTGATCACGCCCACGATCGCTTTCTTCATCGCACTGCGATAGAGATTCGCGTCCGTGTCGATTCCGCTGTCCGGATCGAACGCATAATCCTCGGGGAGGCTACAAAGAATCGACTGCGCGTCGCGTTGCTACCGGATCTGAGCGAAAAACCCGTCCAGAAGCATGGAGAGAACGTGCTTGACGCCGATCGGCGGCGTGGCTTCCGCGATGGCTTCCTCGCGCTGCAGCTGCTGGACGAGACACTGGAGGATGTCGGGGATTGTGAAGATCGGATTGATGTATTCCTGGTGCAGCAGCGTGGGGAGGAACGAGAAAATCACGCGGAAATCGTGCTGGACGTTCGCGACCGCGTCGGCCTTTGCGTCATGCGCTGATTCAATGGGCACGTTCCCGCAGCACTGCTTTAAGGCTTCGATTTCTTCCTTGACGACCGCAGCGAGGACGTCGATGATCTGCATCATCACGTCCTGATCGGCGGAGTATTGTTCGGAGGTCACGAGATGGTTTAGGAGATCGGGTGGAATGAAGGAACCTCGCTTTGGAGCACAGTGATCACGCAGATGATCAATCAATCAATCAGTTATTCAAAAGCAATCAATCATTCAATCAATGAACAAATAAGCACATAACCACACAGACAACCAAGCACACAACCAACCAACCAATCAATCAATCAAACAAATACACAGACAACCAACCAAACAAATACACAACCAATCAATCAAACAAATACACAACCAATCAATCAAACAAATACACAACCAATCAACCAAACAAATACACAACCAATCAATCAAACAAATACACAGACAACCAACCAAACAAAAACACAACCAATCAATCAAACAAATACACAACCAACCACACAAACAGGATATTGATAGTCAGCGAGCGGATCAACGAAATCTTGTCCAGAGCGTTCATGCCCTTTCCGATCAGCTCTTCGAACGTCAGCAGCGTCTTCTCCACGTACACCGGCGACTCCACCAGCGTGAAGAGCGTCTGGAGAGTGACGGGGTTCACCATGAACGAGATGTCGATCCAATCCGAGTATTCGGAGAGGATCTCCAGACACACGTTGCACAACTCTTCGCTCAGCGTGTCGTGCTGAGAACTGTACTGCTGTAACACCTCGATCCTACGGGTCATCTCAACACATCGAGGGCGCTTACCACGACTGGAATAGTGTTCCGATGCAGTTGTCGCGGAGCGTGTCCTTGACGCGGGTTCCCGCTTCGAGATTCGCTCGGTCGGTGGGAGCCCGCGTACCTCCGGCTCCTTGGACGATTTCCTCGTCCACGTAGAATATGATTTTGAGGTACATATATAAGTGGGATGGAGAGAGCGTCCGAATCGACAGCAGCGTCTACGAGTCATTCCTGGCACAATCATCGGACTTCAAACACGTTCGGCCAAAAGGATGGATAATCCATCTTGATTAAGAGCGCCACCAAAACGCTATACTTAATCTTGAGGTAAGGGGGAATGGCGGACACCTCATCAGGTGACTTCTTACACAGCCAATCTAGGAGACTATTGTGGATATACTCTTTCTCCTCAGTGGCCAACATCACATAGGAACCATCACGAATGAATGAAACAACCAAGTCAATGCTCGTGAACATCACTCGAAACTACAGGTTGTCCCAAAAACGATCTCCTACGTTTTTCGACGAAAGGAAGGTTGAAATTGCAATTTTCCAGCTCGATGGGTTCGCTCTCATATCGTTAATCAAGGAAATTGCAGCATTTCTCCGTTCCTGTGAGCTGCTTGGGGAATCAGTGTCATAGGCATAGATAATTGCCTCTTCTAACTGTTTGCAAACATCATCCATTTTGTGATTGAATGAAACAATATCAAAAAACAATTGAGAATATTCTGGAGCATGAGATAGAAACAAGAGAGATTTCCTACAAAGGGTACACTCTAGTATATAGAAAATCTATTATCTGATGATTATTATTCGAGCCAACTTTCCAGTCAACTTTTTTCTGAGAATAATACGATGTTACCGACAGAGCTCCTTAACAATGTCACCAAATTCGGCAAATAATCGTGGTTCCCGCACAACTCGTTGTCTCGAAGGTTTAAAATTGTTTACATCCTCCTTTGTCGTTAGCGATGATTACCCATGCCCATTACCGCCTATAAATCCAAAAAATAAGGAATTGTATTCAATAAACCGAAGAATTTCATTATCATAGGATTTTTCCTGGAAACTTCTTTTGTATATTAAAAGAAAATACTTCATACAGCTTTGTGGTTTTTTTTATTTAGAAGCTTTGTGAATGGACACTGAGAAACATGATTCTCAAAATTTGAAGGAGAATAAGTCTCTCTTTGGAAGACCTGCTTCTGTAAGAATTGGGTGTGGCTGTTTTATCCCCTAGCCGGAAAAAATGCTTGACCGAAGTAAAGAGGCCCTTTTCTTGCGCTTAGAAAGTTATCATTTGGTAAGGAAGGAAGTGTGTTTCTAACCCTCTAGCAAATTCCATCGCCTGGTGTAGATGATACAGAGGATGTTAAAACACGTTCCAAAAAGGATAATTACGTTTATCGATCTCGCCGCCATAGTCAAGACATTCCTATTAAGAACGAGTTTGCTCCTTTACCTGCATTTAGTTTAGGAATGTTAGAAGACCCGTTTTTTTAAAAGAAGGACATGGCTTTACTGATGACAGTACGAGCAGTTTTGGGCTTGCGTCACCCTCTAGTGTATTTTGCTATGAAGAGTCGCTGTTACGACGATAGTGAAAGTGAGAGTGGTTCGGTAGGTGCGATTTGGGTGTGTGAAACGTAGCCTATACCTCCTCACTTGATAAAGAGTAGCGCCTCGCCACTCTCTTTTGCTTAATTGACTTTATTGATCAAACACGCATGTTGTATGTTCCCCACTATACGTATATTAAAAGACGATGTTCCACTGTGTTTCCTTGCGAAGAAACAACGATTTTATTCCACACCTCACCACTAAACGCACACCCATAGACATCTTCCGCGCAGGGGCCTCGCAACAAGCGAGGCGCGCCTCTCTCTTCGATCCCAGAAAGCGATTGGAAGTCGAAGATCGGAATGCTTTGCGTTCGCCGCACGATCGAAGGCACCCAGAGCAAATCGCTTAGGAAGCAGGGTCGGAATGGGCGCGAAATAATGCCATCCCACGTGTATTCGGGCTCGCTGCAGAGCTCATCAGAGAAGAGCCGAACCGACCCGGAATAGCGATCGAACACAGCGATGGATCCGTCCGAGAGAGTGGAGAGCACGTCATTCTACGAGTGAAGAGCAAAGAGAGAGGAGAAACAGCCGAGAAGAATGGCTGCATGGAGATGGGGGAAGCGTGGATAGGGGATGGGAGGGTACAGGACGAAAGGAAGCTCGGAGACTGCTTTCCGGTAATGGAGGAAAAGCGTGTGTTCCGAATATCGATGACTTCCATGGAGAGGAGCGAAGAAGAAGAAGAAGAAGATGCAGACTGGAAGGCTACGAGCAGCTCGTTCGGCTTTTCCGGATCCAGCATGATTCGTTTGACCTAGTGAAGAGTCGAAGGGAGGGCAAACGCTCTTTTTCCTGGAGAAATCCGTGGTCCAGGAGGAAGAAAAACGCTGCGATTCGCGGCAATCGATCATTTTGATTTGGCCGTCGCCTAACGATACAACAAAGCAGCCATTCAGATGGGTAGGAAGCACTTGGTCCAGAAAGGACGGAAGCGAGGCGAGCCTCCTCGACTGGATCGCATTCGAATCAAACACGCTCAATTCACGGCAGGATCTTCGCACGAGGAGAATCTCAGAAGAATTGATCCAGTGACATGATAGGATGGGTTCCTACGAGGAAAATCCAAACATGGGAACGAAAATACTTTGAAATAGGCTTGCGTGGATTGCGTTCGCTCTGTGTTAAAGAAGGAATACAGAAGAGAATCCTGCGTGTCGAAATCCGCAGTTTTCACGACCGAAATGTATCCCCCCTTAATGCAGTTCGAAGCGACCGCTAGATAGTCTGACGATGGAGAAAACTCCATGTCACTCGTTCGCGTGTTTACAATGCGCGCCATCGCATTTCTCTCGGTGCTTGGAAGCTGAAACGAAGTATTAATCGCAAGAGAGCTGCGTTTGAAACTTGAAAAGTATCGAGTCAGGATCCATTCTCTGTGCTTCTTCTGCCAATCCCGCCTCAGTTTCCACTCGATAAATGGAAATCGCATTACTGAAGGCGCTAAGGATTTTAGCAGAAACTAGTAGGATTACCTTTCTTTTTATAATTTCGAATATCACATCTCGTAGGCTCTTCATCGGAAACTATAGGATCCTCTTCTACTCGATTCTGAAGAATCTCTTCTTGTTCATCACTTTCACTCACATCCGATACTATAACAGATTTCTTCTTTCGTTTGACACTTTTCTTTCGAAAAAAGTTCTCCATGTGTGAGGGTGTGAACAAAGAGTGATATGACGCTGTTAGGATCGATTTTTATATGAACAAGTATGTGCCGTGTAAAGGTTGTACAGATATATGATTTTGTTTGACATCGTACTTGCTTATGTAATATCCACCAGAATTTTACACTCCTGCGAATCTCCTTTCGTTTGCGTTTCAAATATCATACACCTCTGGAGGAGAGCACACAATAGAAATCTAGGGATCCCAAGAATTCACATTATTCTGCTTGGATTGTATCTATCATTTTGTAACTTTGAAATCTAAATTGTACCCTAACTATGCAGCCGTTACCGAGTGATAGCAGTACAAAGAACGCGTCTGAACAAACATCACAGCGGTCCCCAATCCAACATTCCAAACGGTCAAAAATGCCAGGAAACGAAAAGAGAATGTTTGTGGAGTTCTTTATCCCTCCCCCTCCTCCTTTGCCCGGAGATGAGGAATCAAGTGATAGTGACAGTGATACGCAAGATGAAGGATATGATATAACTGGAATAGGCAGAGGAATGAATATTCTCGATTATTCAGAGCAAGTTGTAAAGAAACTGACAACCAAAAGCGAGCCGCGAGGAAAGGGACCGACAAAGCTGACAACCATCAACATGGAAAGCATTCTAAATAATGCAACAAGGGGTGGAAGCAGTTCGATTCCAGATCCTCAATTTCGAACTGGAAGAGTTTCCCCAGTGCGTCGTTTACCATCGGGATCTTTTAACCTACATGCGGGTGTCCCCGGTGCAAAGTCGGATCTGGGTCGTCCGCTGCGAGCGCAATCCATGCCGATTCCCTACGAGGGACACATGGACCTGAGTGCTTCCACGTCCTCCGAGAGTGATGCAAGTTCCAGCTCCATGGGAAGTGCCTCCGCGGCGGAGTGCAGTACAGAAGTGGTGATTCAATCCAAACAAACCCCGATAAAGAAACTATCACCCATCGAAGAAACCACGCCTCCTCTTGAATCGCTCGAGCTTTCCACAAAGAAAATCACGACCGAGTCTTCTACTCCTCCCCCCTCGTCTCCTCCTCCCCTTTCGTCGGCTTCCTCCGTTCCATCCACTCCTTCTATCCCGACCTCTGCTCCCTCGTCGACCTCCGCTTCCTCTCCTTCCTCTCCCGCTTTGGGCCCTTCCTCCACCTCCCCGCTAGCCTCCCAATCCACAGCCAGCGGAGTCCACAGGACCTCTTCTCTCCCCAGCTCGCCCTCTCGCTCTCGTTCTCCTCAATCCGATCACTCCATGCCATTGCTTTACTCCCCCAACTCCACGCCTCCTCCCTCCGAAACTCGACCTTTCACCACGAGTCCGCAGACTCCCAAACGCGGATTTGATGAGCGAGTGCTGTCGCCGCGTCCGGAGAGCGAAGACGTGGAGGCAGAGGAAGGGAAGGGGGAGGACCGCGTCTCCTATCATTCATCACGTGACCATTCTCCAGTGGTGTTCGCATTGGAGTTGGCGCAGGCGCGCGAGGATTTGTCGAACCGGACGTCACCGAAAACTCCGACGATTCCGATTCCGACTCCGATTCCGACTTCGACTTCGATGTCGGAAGGAGAAAAAGGAGAAAAAGGAGAAACAGGAGTAGGAGAAGAAAAAGAAGAAGAAGAAGAAGAAGTGAGTCCGAAAGATGTAAAGAAACTGCCTACACCGACGATACCGACCGAGCCTGGAAACGAAGAAAAAGAACCGCCAAAAGAAGATCCTTTGGAGGAGATTGGGGCGATGCTCTCTCCGAGACAGAGACGAATGAATCGACTCTCGCTGTCGCTAGTGAACACGGATTTCGAGATTGATTCTCCCCGAAAATCGCGCGTGTTCGATCCGTTGATGGTGAAACACATGGACACGATGCCAACAGGGATTTTGGAGGATATCGGGGAGATCGATGAGGATGTGAGGGGATTAGATCTGGATTCGGAACTCCCCTTAACGGATATGGACGAAGACGAGAAACTGAGCCAGTTTACCGACGAAGAACACGATCAGTCGAAGCGATTGCGACGTGTGGGTCGATTTGGAAAAGAGTCTATTGTGAAAGATGTAAAAGTGGAAACGTGGAATTAAGGGTAGAGTCAGAAAGACTTGTTGGATGCGGTGTCCAATGGAAGCCTCGACCGCATCGTGGAAATCTCGAACGAAATGGTGTCGGTAGGATCGAATGCGTTTCTCTCTATTTCTAGAAGTTCAAGTCGGACCTTCAGCTGGTTCATAAGATGGATTTGGAGCAGCAGTTCTCCACCATTCGCAAGATGATGGTGATTAACAACACCTATGTCCATTGCGCAGGTCTGCGTCTCATGAAATATCTCTGTGTGAACAAAGAAATCACGGAGCGCATGCTCAAATACAAGCTCAACATTTTCATCATAATGTCGCTTGAGCGCTCCGACAAGCTTCACTACGAACGCGAAATCGCTCTCGCGCTCGTCACGCACCTCATCCACGTTTCCCCTTCCCCCTTTTTTCTCTCCATAGAAGTTCACAGAGCTCATTCCTCGATCGATTATCCTCTCCATTCTCTGTATCGCCAACGACAAAACCGACTCGCTTCGCACCGCCTGCCTCAAGCTCGTGCTCACTCTCCTCATCCACGTTCCCCAGCGCGTGATCTTCTGCGATGGCGTGCAAGTTCTTCTGAATGGTTGTGTGGAGACGCTCAACTACTCCTTACTGCAGTCTTCGATCCTCGCGTGTCTTTATTATCTGAACATCCCATACTTCCGACAGAAGAAAACCATTCTGGATCTCCAAATCATCATCGATCCGCTCCTCATCGAATCCAAATCAGTCGCAGAGGACAAGCAAGACGAGCTCCAAACCTCTCGATACATTTGCAATGTCGCTCTCCTCACGATTCTCCGAACCTGGACTGGCATTTTCATCTTCAGCGGCGATCTTAGCGGGTTGAATTCCTATATCAATATCCTTAATACGCACGGAGAAGAAGAGCCAGAGATCGCGAAGGAGATGCTCTCGGTGTTATTCACAGTGATCGGTGTGCCCACACCGAATTATCTCGAAGAGGAAGGCCGGATCTCGCAGAACAATATTTATTGGAACAATTGCTCGATGTTCATTTCGTCGATTTCGAGTGAGCGATGCTTGAATAGCATTCCCCAAACCAATCTCCTCGCCACCTATCTCTCTTTCATTGTGTGGATCTTGGTCAACAGCAAGCTACCCGAAATCCTATCCAATTTGATGGTGGTCAGCAACCCGGAAGTTTCCTTCCTCTGCAAGAGTCTGCTTCGCAATTTGATTCATTTATCGTCTGTGTTCGCGTGTATGAGCGATGTGACGACCGTGAAAACAGTGCAGCAGTCCACTCTCAGTTTCCAGAATGCGGATAAAGATTCGGAGGAGGAGTTGAAGTGGAAGGCTCGATCGCGTGAGTGTTTTGCGGATATTGGATCGACCAGCACCTATCTGTATCCGATTCAGGAGAGCGAGACCTTCATTACGTCCTCGCTGACCGATATTTTCTCGGAGTTCTCGCTGTTTCATTGCGTGCTGGACTGCATTTGCGATGTTTCGAACAAGTCGAATTCGTTCAACATCATCGATTTCGTCTGCAATCAGGGCATTCCCTTCCAGCAATTCGTTTCGAGTTCGTACGAGCAAGTGAATTGCAATCCGGACTATTTCAACAATCTCGTCAAACAATTAGAAGTACGCATTCTCTGCTTCCTCCTCATTCCTCCTATAGAAAGACATGCTGAAGCCCTATTGCGCTTGGAACTGGTCTCTTCTGCAGGATTGTCTCATCATCGCCGTCTCCAATCCCAAATGCACCATCAAGCTCAGTCCCTTACTGCCTCGTCTCAATGCCGTTTTTTCAGAGTGGAGCAGTGACGAATGTCTCATCAACCAACCCATCAACGTACTCTTTCCCTCTCTGTCTCTCTTTCTAATCTTTAGTCGCAATCTGCTTTCTATGCGACCTGCATCGCGCTGTGGTTCGCTCTGCTCATCGTTTCGGAGAGTTCGCAGTTCGGGCAGCTTCGCAAAGGCCGTTTTTTCCGCATGTTTGTCGACCAGTTCATCGCGCAGCTGGAAGACTTCAAGAAGCACCACCACAGCGGACTTTTCTTCCCGAACAGCCTCAAACACACCAACGTATCTCTCTCTCTCTCGCCTCTCATCCAGGCGTACTTCTACGCGATCATCTGCATTCGGCTGTGGTATTCGAATCGAATGAACACGCTCGTGCCGCACGATAGTCTCTGGGCTGTGATCGAGAAGATCGCCAGGCAGGAGAACTACAGTAACTCCAACCTGCTGCTGCTTTGGCTGCTCATCGACACGATCGATATCGCTCACGAAGGAACCAAAGCCAGAGAGCACTTCGCGCTCTTCCTCCAGAACGGAAACCAAACCATGAAACTGGCGTGTTTGTCGCGGTTAAAGAGCGTGCTGAAGGAGCAGAAGGACGAGCGAACCTTCCTCGAATGGGCGTTTCCTCGTCTGGTTTCGCAGATCAGCGTTGATTCCAAGGTGACCGAAATGGTCACCGACATTCTCTACCAGAACACCAAGAAGCCGCTCAATTTGAACATCGTGGTGAAGCACTTCGTGAGCAACCCGCATCTGGTTCCGCCTCTCACGCGACTGGACAGTGCGCGCGGTTTGATCTACCGCATTATGTCCACCAACGAGGGATTTGCGCTGTTTAAGAACAACTCCAATTACCTCGATCAGGAGTTCAAGGATTTCGTGGTATTTCCCCTGTCTCCCTTCGATTCCTTCTAGGCGAACATCTACAACTACACTTCGGATCTAGAGGACGGACTGGCCATCCGAATCATTCAGCCGCCCGACACAATTCTCGACCAGACCGTTGTCCTCGAAAACTCCACGCTCCAAGTCAAGCCGCTCAAGATTCAGCCGCCCACCCACATCGTATTCAGCTACTTAAAAGACGGCGACCGTCGCCTGGAGTGGCTGAAGCACATTCCATGGCGCATCGAGGTGGGTTCGCTGCATTGATTCCACGCGCAGATCGAAATCGAATCGCAGGACAGCACGCGTGTGTACGATGTTTATACGGACGTCGATATCACCGCCTCCTCCCCCGAAAACCCCTTCTATAACCGCGATGAGATCTCCATTCGCGGAGTGATCCTCGATCCTGACAATCACGAGCCGCGTTCCATTCGAGTTCCGTCGAAATCGACGGTTCGAGCCCATCTTTATATCGGAGCCGATGTGATCGTGCAGAATCCCTATTGCTGTGGCATCCGAACGTCCACGGATCGAATCAACCCCATCACGTCGTTCGATGTTTTCAAGCAGACAGCGCAGAAGAACGAGCGCGATGAGAGGCGCGAGATTTCGAACGAGGGACATTCAGATCCGATTCGGATCGTGAGCGATTGGATGGATGTGGGATGTAGGAGCGGATTATCGACTACAAACTGCACAATGGGTGTGTGGATGTGTTCAGCGCTGCCTATGACGAGATCGTGTCGCAGCTCAAAATGTTCAACAGCAGCGAGAAGACCAACGCAGCCTTCCGCTATGCGGTGAAGGGTCGTTCTCTCCCCCTCCTCTCATCGCTAGACAGTCCTTGCGTCTGGAACTTCGTTACCTCCGAGAGCGATTTCAAGGCGTCCGACATTGCCATGGGTCGTCCGCTCAATCTCGACAGTGTCAACATCATTCTCGACCTCATTCCTCACAAGTACTTCCTTGCTTGCTTGCTTCTCTCCCTCTCACGCTCAGACCCGCTCCTTTCACGGTCCCTCCGCACATATTCGGCGCCTTATTCCCCACCGAGGAAGGCCGCAAGTTCCTCAGCAGCCACATCATATTCATCAGTCTCGCCAACATCTTGCTCACCGTCACTCCCACCGGCGACGATCTCAAGGACCGCACCGCCGCGCTCTGGTGCCTCGCCCACATCGCCGTCCAGCCCCACGGCTGCGCGTTCATCCAAGAAAAGGCCAGTCTCAACTTCGTAGAGAGCGTGATCCGCATGGCCGAAATGGATCCGTTTCTCTCTTTCCGAGGCAGCTGCATCCTCGTTTTATCCTTCCTCGCTCGCAATCCCGAGCTCCACCCGCTCATCCACAAAGCCAACTGGGTCTGCGGAGCGGCCAATCAAAACACGATCTGTCTCCCCCGCGATTATGAGCACTTCTTTAGCAATATCGTGAGTCCCGACGACTGGGCATTGCCCTATTGCAGCCACTTCCTACCCACCAAATCCACTCATAAGCACAGGAAGAGCTCGGTTGGAATGCCCTCCATCACCAGCCCCATTCCGCGTCGCTCGGTTTCCAATTGGTACGCAGACGCAGGAAACACACTTTTCACAGAGAACTCCATCGCTTCCTCGCTGGGAAGTCGATTCACACACACCTCGGGAGCCAATTCGTTGGATTCGCATGGAGTTTCCAATTATCATATGAATATCGATGACAACACACATCATTACTCACGATCACAAAGTTGTCCCTCGGATATTGTGATTGGCGATATCTCGCAGCATAAGGATATCATTGACCTTACACAGAAGATCGGTACTACGCTTCTTTTCTATTTTATGTGAAGCCCTTCTCAATTCCACCGTGTATAGTTACAACGCCCATTTACAGATCGAGGACATGAAACGCAAGAAGCCTGCACTCTTCAGAAGTCCCTGTACCTAATTATTCGCCATTTCACTTGTAGTGTGTCTTCTGTGCATTCACCACATGTTTTCGATCTCTCTATTCCCGAGAGGCTGTCGGAAGTTTGTGTTCCAGCTGTTCGATGACATAAAATGGGATGACGAAAATTGGCGGGAATTTGATGGCGTAAAATGATTGGCTGCTTGTTTGATTCGTAGGTTTCGGAACCTGTACCCATGCAGACCGAGGAGTCCGAGAGAGAAAGTTCATCGGAAAATGGAGAGGAGGAAGTGGAGGCTGTGCCCATGCAGGATATGTTTTCCGATTACGAAGGATTGAAAGTGGGATTACCATCTTCACACTCTTCCTCCGCTTTGCGTTCTTCCGCTCTCTCTGGATCGCTTGGAGGTGGTATACACAGTTTTGTGAGGTCGGTTTCCCATTCGCCGTTTCCTAGCAGCATTCTTAGTGATAAGTAGTAAAATGTACTCTGCCTGTATCATGTTTGTTTACAAAATCGTTGAGATTGAATGAGCGAAGAGAACAAACGAACCTTTGGAGATCGAGAAGAGGAGGAGGCGATCCAGGAGAGAGAGGAGATGTTGAAACGATTCGAGGGAAAGAATGGTGTATGGAGTTTGGATAATATGTAGGAAACTATTGCAATGGACAGAGGATCAAAAAAGGGAGTGGATTGCCTCTCCTTCTTGTTCTTCACTTCTTGGAGATTCATTTATATTTGCATGCAAGCAGGTTCTTGGATCGATGTTTATATTGGATATTTGAGATCAAGCTGTAGATATGAATCTCAGGTTGAGAGAAGTCACATATGGAATACGGATCTGCTTTGTCAGAAGTGGCACATGCGAAATCAAGAGATCGGGATGATAATAAGTTTGGCCGATCCTGATATTTACTATTGCGATATCGAGTAGTGTTCGATGATAGAATATCATGTAGCGAATTTGATGATTGGGGAATTCGCTATATTAACATGCACATCACCTCATCAATTCCGACAGAAGAAGAGCTGTTGAAAATCTTACAGCTTCTGTTCCAATTTCACCAAAAGAATCCATCTTTACTAGTTGGAATAATGGACATGACTATATACAATTTACCCTATTTCATCATTGCTCAGTATTGTTATTGAGTATTACACAAATAGATATTTATTACGCACAAAGAAGGCGACAATCCATGAACTCGATTCATTCCTTTCGTTATCCAAAAGTTTTTTCTTTTTATTTTTTATCATTCGTTCAGACATTCCAAATGCAAATCTATTGTCACAATTGCGTTCTTTTAACGTTCATACCACGAATTGGATGCAACGTTTCCACTCTTTTTCACGGCATTCTCCATGCCTTCCTATGAAAGTTTTATCCCATTTCACAACCCACTCGCCTTTAGATCGATTCTCCACTTTCCACTTTGCCTTCCGATGGAGAATTCATGTGTTCGTGGCTTCCCCGCGGTGAACGTGTGTTCTTTTTCATCGAGAACGGAAATGGTGTACTGGTATTCACAAAGAACAGATTTGATAGTAGATCAAAACAGAAAATGGAGTTAACTCCATGCGATGCATTCTTCCACAGACATTTTTGGATGCAAAGAACCATCCACACAATCACACGCTCTGTGATGGGATTATAGTGCACGAAAAGTAGAGTTTTCAGTGAATTAAACAAAGAGTAGGAAGCTAAATCCTCCCATTCTGCGACTTTTGCTTCTGGATGTTTTGTACATTAATGGGATGTCGCTGAAAACGCTTCCATTCGTACAGCGAATCCACGCGTTGAAGAAGGAAGTGCTAAATAAGATTCACGAACGGAAAGAGTTGGAAAAGGAGAAAACGCAGCAAGCTGAAGTAAAATCGATCGGATATCGTGAGTGTTGGCCGATCGATCAGTTGAAAAAGATAAAACAATCGCTTCTTCCGTCCCTGACACATGATAATGATGGGATTAGTGTGTTTGATGCGAAGGCTCCATATGTTTATGGTGACACAGAATCACGTTATTGGAAATATGTTGGTGATTTGGATTGAATTTGGTTGTTTGTTTTATAAAGGAATAGTGGGAGAATTGTTGATGGGAGTACTTCTTTTCAGTGTGAGGTTCAGAATGATCATGGACCGACAGTGGACGTGTGTATTTATTATTTGATATGTCAGAAAAATGTAATTAGTAAATTCTGTTAGATGTTGCAATAATAATAATAATCAAGGTCAAATTTTGTAGAAAATAAGGAATTGCAGTTTTGATAATATCAAGGAAGGAAATATCAAACAGGGACAGGGTATCTGTATGAAGGCAATACTCAACATACAGCTACTACCGACAAGAAATAGGAATATACTAGAGCAATTACTATAGAGTATAATAATGAGAATAAACAATAAAGGTATTTCAAACAGGATAGCATCACCACATTTAGTCTATATGATAATAACATTCTATCGAGTAAATAGTAAGAGTATTTGTATCGATTATCATATCATCAAGGATTATTTTTATACCAGTAATCACAAAAAATAAAACAATAATTACTTGAATTATTATTATCAAAAAGACTTTGTGAATATTGAATAAAATAAATTGACAAAAAACAAACACAAATCAACAAGAAATCTAAATCAGTCTAGAAAAGAGAAGCTAGCCTGCTATTCACGTCTAAAAATAGAATAGAATTAATCACATAATACTCGATATTGATTTGCATTCTACGTTTATGAATGAAGAATTTATGTCAACATTTTGCACATTAGGAATATCTATTTACATTAATATGAACTAACAAAGACGACTTTCCAATGTCACTGAATGATATTCACGGAAACTGGAATATGAGGAACTAATAGATGTTAGATTAGGAAGATCTACATTCAATCATTTCGAATCATCATATTCATACTTCGCATTATTAAGGAACAAGAATCTTCATCACTTCCTTGTAGTGTAAACCAACCGAGTTGAATGGATTCTAATGATGGAAGATCTAGATCAACTATTTCCTTTTCCTTGTTGAATACTTTCAATTATCGTTAATGTGGAAGCACGGAATACTTGATTACCTAGTATAATAGATTGAAGATTTGGAAGATCTAATCATAATATAATTAGTCCTATAACTACTTCGAACCACAAACGAACTATTATAAAAATTGTAAGAAGAATTCTGATTAAAAGCACAAAAGAGTACAAGTTCCATATCTTCATTGTCTTCGTATCTATGAGGATTTTTAATATTTCCGATTTTGATTGATCGTAATGAGGGCAGATTCTTTAATTCAAAGTCTCCAGCAAAATCGCTGAAACAGTATTGACCAATATCAATTGATTCTAGTGATTCACAATTCAATATGTGAAACGATTTCGATTCATCTTTTCCATACTTATTCTTTTTTTCGGTAAACGAATTCATTTCTATTTTTAGAGTTCTCAATCGATGCAATCCATCAATTTCGAATGTTTGTACTGATTCAAAACATTTTTGGCAGATTACAATCGATCGTAGCCATTGGAATCGATTCAGATCTAATGTATATAAATCGTTACAGCAATTATATGAAATCATTAAATCCGTCACTTGCAAACTCACTTTACTCAGTTTCATATTTTCTGTTACAGTTATTTTAAGAGGAGCAGGAGCAGGAGCAGGAGCAGGAGCAGGAGCAGGAGCAGGAGCAGGAGCAAAAATTTTAAGAGGAGCAGGAGCAGGAGCAGAAGCATATTTACAAGACAACTTTTGAGCCTTGTTCATTGAAGTAAGGTTGGCTATTTGAGAGTAATATAAAAAAGAATATACTATTTTTGAACATATCAGTACACCAAAAAAAGTATTAATCTACCATCAAAATGGAGAAACTCAGTTTAATTCACTGTTAATTTATAACAGAACGGTTCAAATACACTTTTGGAGATTCACATTGTATATGCAAGTATAATTATTGCGGAAATCAATATAAAAATGACTTATTCAAGCAAAGGATTCGTAGAGTTCAATTAGCTTTCAATTCATGTTCTTTCCGTATTTTATTATGTATTAATCAGGAAAAGGCGCCGTTTGCACAACACACAACATGGCCGTAATATTGTACCCTTACAAAAAACCAACAAAACCAAGAGTAGTTAGTAACAGACTCGTTTTGCGCAAATACTATTTCCCGTTTTTTCCAACCATTTTCGATCAAATTCATCTTTCAGACCCCATCTTCCATCACTCACCGTTGCTTACTCTGGGTAACTCTTATTCTACCCTTCATTACCAATAAGTCGCGAAATGTTAACCTTCCCTGAAAATCGACGACGAACAATGCAGCAAAATTATCGGCCGAGGGCCAAAGTGAATACTTGTTAGATTATTATCACTTATCAGCCAATCGGGAATGCCCGAAAGCCAGTTTATGTACATTATCGACCAGGATCCAACGCTTGTCATCCGTGCAAGTCATAAGAGTCTTAGTCTGTTCCTTGGTGGTGATATCGAATCCCTGGTTATTGATGTGTTTGAAGTTGCCTTCGATGACTTCATTTCCCTTCATCTCTGCCTCAAGAGCACGTTTGAATAATTCGATGTTCTTCACGCTCATCCTCTCACCATCGATCACCACGTTGCGAGGAACTCCCTTTGCTGCGTTGTGTATCACATGCTTCTCATCAACCAAACAGTACATCTTCGGTCTAAGTCCCACGAACTCCGTGATGCGATGTCCGTTGTGCTCGTCCTTGAATATCGGACCAGGCAACTTCTTGTTGAAGTTGAGGAACGAGTCCAATGAAGGGAACTTGCTCTTGTCCACTTCATGCTCGTAATAGTTCACGAGTTCTCCATAGAAGTAGCTCGTGTTGTCCAATTCCGAGAAGTCGAACGATTTGTACATGTCACACATCTTGTAAACGATGTTAGCGCGATCGTGCAACTGCACGATGAGTGAATCCGTGTCCTGTCCCAACAGCTCCACGGTGTCGAATGTGTTCTTGAGCACATTGTAGTAGAAATCGTATATGATGTGTTTGGACATGTCGAGAATGGCGAACCCGATGAAGAACGGCTTCTCCACCCTGCGCACCGGTGTGTTCAACTTGATGCCGATGAGATTCTCGGAATACATGGTTGTCCCAGCGATCATATCGTACCCATGCTTCTGAATGATTGCCTCACGTTCATTCCACGTGTTAGCGAACTTCACTTTCATTCGTTTCAGCCCAGTCTCAACGAATTTGCCATAGGTCGAGTTTGCCAACAGTTTGTACAGGTTCTTCTCCACGGTGGTCTTGGACTTCGCTCGTTTCTCACTCAGCATGTTCACGTACTCGAAGATGAATGGTGCCTGCTTGAATCGAATGAGGTGGTGAATGTGTGTGACACGATATCCCTGTTGAATGCCCAGTTGTAACAGTGAGTAATGCACGAGATACTTTTGACGAGGTACAAGATCGCAGATGAGCTTCGGTGTATTCACCTCTTTCACTTTGTCCACAATGTCGTTCTTCTCTGCGTACTTCTTGATTCCATCGGAGTACATTCCCGCCTTCTGTACGGGGAAGAATGGCAGATCATTGAACTTGTCGTGCAGCTCCACTGGTGCCTCGATGTCACACTCGATGATGAACCCATACTTGCCGAACGTCTTGAGTGATTGTACCCACCCATTTGGATCACGATTGATCTTCTCCATCACTTCTCGTCGCTCAGGTACACCCACCAACTCATAAGGCATCATTCGATGCATGGCTCCACCGTACAGGTTGTTGGCGTCCAGGTAGTAGATGCCTTGGGACGACGTTGCTTGCTCCTTGTTGTCAATGTCAACCTTGGCATGTCGTTTCACTATCTGTGTGATACCTCCTCGCAGGTTCTTCAACAATCGCATGAAGTCATCGATATCATTTGTTTCCATCAATCGAATGCCCTTGCTATCATAGAACTCACCCATGCGATTCAAGAACACTTTCACGAGTTGTTTCTCGGTGAGCCCCTCATTCGCGTTGATGCGCATGATGTACTGAGCCCATTTCCTTGCGAGGGTCATGAGGCTACTCTCACTATGATCGCCCTCCATTGTGACTTTCAAGAAGAGCGAATATGCCATTTGTGGTGCTGTGATGTAATGCATGGGATCAACACCGAATGCATTCAGTGTGGTGTTTCGGAAATGCTCGAATACATCAGCCATGAGAGTCACATCGAGTACATTGTACAATTCGTAGTATTCACACCATGTCTTGATATCGAAGGTCTTCCACAGCTTCACCATATGATCATATTCGTCTTGTGGCATCATCTCACCCTTCATATCATCAATGCATTGCTCGCGAGGAGGAATGACAGTATTGTTCATCGTCTCGTACGACTTGATGAGACTGTAGAACATGGGTTCTTTCCGTGTCAACAGATCGATGTATTCGTCATTCCATTGCTTGCCTCGAGACTCACAGTACTTGCATAGTTGTTGTTTGGTGTGCACATAGAGGTCCAAGTTACCACCGAGTGTCTGTGCCACAATGGAACGCAGTGGACTACTGATGAGCTTCAACGAGTCCTTGAATTGAATGCCATTGTACTCGATCTGCATTTCCTTGTCCTCAGTGGTTGGAATGACTTCAAGGTCCCCGGGCATTGCCGCTATGAGTTTCATGATGAATGTGAAATCATAGTGCGATCCATTGTGGAAGTAGACGGGTAGACGATAGTTCTTCTTGTTGAACGAGAGCTGCAAATTGCATTTGGTACAACAGGTGCCAATGTACTGTCCAGCCTCGTAGAAACGGGTCTCAGTGTCATTCGAATACTCACCTACCACATGTGCATTATGTTTAACCTTATTATCCTGAAGTTTCTTGCGACAGAATGGACACATAGACGTAGACTGATAATCTCTTTCAATCTCGGGAGTGTTCTCACGGGGTAATTCATCGAATAGATACTACTTCACGTTTTCTTGTAACTGAATCAGATTCTCCATGAAAGGACGAAGATCACTCTCGTTCTCCTGTGGTGAGTGGAAGATCCACAGTTGAGTCTGAATGGTTAAAATGTGTGATA